AAACTGATGAACAATTTGAAATCGTGAACAAATGTCTTGAAACTTATTTGAGGTGTATCACATATGATCAACCACATACTTGGGCTCATTAACTCTCTTGGGTTGAATATCGATACAACACTACCTTTCACTCTTTATCTAAATTCACACCTTTTCAAATAGTATACAGTCATGATCCTCCTCCTCTCATCCACTTTGACTCACAACAAATATTTATAACTTCTCTCAAGTAGTAATTCTAAGACCGTGATCAAGCTCTTCAACAATTGAAATATCACCTCAGCACTAAAAGTCATATGAAGCTTCAACATGATAAACATCATTAAGACATCTCATTAAATCTAAGGGATCTTATGTGTCTATACTTACACCCTTACTATATTCATACTCTCTTTAGGAAATTTAATAAGAAGTTGATTTTATAATATTGTAGGTCATACTAGATTCTCTAGCACATTGGTCTGGTGACATATAAGCTCAAGCTTCCCAAGACTTCACATCTACCTCATATTTTACATCTCTTAGCTTCTACAAGCATTGAGAAGTCAACCTCCTAGCCAACTATTACCACCCTTTCTAGATGCAGATCACATTTGGAGTGTCATTGCAAAATGAGTCTTATAAATATGTGTCACTAAACACAACTAAGGAGTTTCAATTAAATCGTGAGACTTGTTAGATGATGAAGCCACGTGAGAGAACATTGAACAAGTTCAACAATAATTTTCTAATTTCAGCCTTGAGGACAATGTTGCTCTCAATGGAGGGGGTATTGATGGGCCTCTTGCAATCCACCATGTCTCATATAAGTAGTCATGCTGATAGCCTCCTCTTCTACCATGATCCCTTCTTGATCCAACAACTATCTGAAGTTATTCATGGGAGATCATGTAATATTGAGAAGGATAGCAGCTCTTCTCCTCTTCACTATTATATGAGGGTCCATCAAAAAGAGTAGGGTGTGAAGTATCTAAGAGTGCAAGACCCCTTGAAATGTCTCAAGAGCAACATATTCTCCTTCAATCGAATTATCATTCTTCTTGACAATACATTCATCTCTCTTTCTCTCTCGAAACATCATGTTCTCTCCCTCTTTGTGTTAGTCGAGTCACTAAAGCTCATGTTCATTGAGTCTCCTTGAGTTCAACTTGTTTTAGCCCATAGTCAAGTCTCTCTATTTCTCTTCATCATGAGTCATGGTGGAGGTTGGGTGTCCAAGAGTCATTCTCTATCACTAAGTACTATTGTTGGCTACATTATGAATATTATATTCAGTTGTTCTCTCATGTTTACCTCTCTCTTCCTCTCACGCTCTTGCTTCTCTTATCATTATTAGCAGATGTACACTCTCTCTCCTCTTCCATTGTAATAATTGTTGACTCTATTTATGAGTTCTAACATGGATTTATGTGGGTTGCTTACAACAATCACCTAACATGGAGGTATCCAAGAGAAATATATGAATAAAATATATTTCCCCAAGCACCAAAATCATTTTTAGGCTTAGGATCACTTAATAAGCATGATGCATACTTATGGAACATAATGATAATTTTTTATCAATTACTTAATACATTTATTATATTGACTAATTTATAATGTTTATTTAATTTTAAGCTCATAACCAATATTCCTTCAAACTCTACAATGTCATTTAGGAAGTCCATTAAACAAGCAGTCCAATGTTTGCCATACAATATAAAAGACAAAACTAAGACTTTCCTAATATATTTTATTTTTAATTTTCAATTAACTAACCTATGAATGTCAATGTTGTTAAAAAACTCAAATCTTGTGAATAATAGAATCACACACCCTTCAAGTATCCTACAACCTCTTCTATGTATGCATCTTTTATTGACTATGACATTAGCTTGACCTAAGCATTGTATAATAAATCAAATAAATTTAAAATTTATAAAAATAAAAAATATCACTTTTTGAATTTTTATAAATATTTCAAAATAAATAAATCCATTATAATTCGGTAAAAGGTTCTAAAAATAGTGAGAAATTTTCAAGTTAATCAAAAGATATAAGATAATATCAAGAAATATTTTAAAATTTTCATCAAATAATATAATTTTTTAGATAATAATGAAAATAAAATATATTTAAAAATTTACAAAAAAGAGAAATTTAGGTGTGGACTTTGAGATGATGTTAGTGCCCTAATGAATATGATTTAATTAAAAATAGAATTATGCTTGACAATTCTTATGTAAGTTATTACAAACTAATTAAGTGACTTCATAAGGGTATCTACTTCTTATAAATTAGGAGTACTTTAGGTATTAAAATTATTGAAAATCTATCAAGAAGTAGTGGTGTAGGTTTTGTCCCACATTGGTGATTTTTAGAGTTTTAAGACAAATATATAATAATAAATCTTCCTATAGTCAAGATCGTACTCTTACGTGTATATGACTACGTTTTGCCCCACACTTGACTTGCCACTAGTGACATAAAAAGAAAGTGCCGTACATATGCCTCATTGACCATTTCTTAACCGTTCATGACTCTACTCAATACTTTTGACCCACTTACAGGTCCAGCTGGCCAAAGATCCCCCCATTATACTTTTGACTTGTGTGTAGGCCCAACGAACTGGTGGGCCTCTCTTTTTTCTACTTTTTTAATTTTTTATTTTATCTCAAAAATATACTTAGAAAAATTATATAAATTCACATAAAATCACATAATTAGTCCCAAATTTATATTAACTAATTAAAGAGTAATTTTCTCAATTTAACATAAATATAAGTTTATTTATCATGAGTTAAGATATAAAATATATTATTAATAAATTATTAACTCATAATAATGAAGATTTAAAATATTCCATTTGATTTATCTAATAATTTAACATTTAAAATTATTATAAATATTTTTTTACTTGTCTAAACTTTCAATAGTACACAATCATGATACAACACCATTGTTATAAACATTTTTAATTAAAGGGACTAAGAATATAATTCTATATACTTGTCTTGAATAGTTCTAACTCACATTGCTTAAAAAGTCAATATTCCAACCATTTCTCTATCCTTATGCACAATAAATTCTCATCCCCAAGACCTTATGCCAATTATGTTTTTGTCCTTGATGTATGGCAAGATATTAGGTCTCTTGGCAAGAATGTCTTAGAGATTCACTAAATACATGTGATGTCTTCTTAATTCCATTCATAACTCATCATATGCATGGCTAGGAGTATCATGCAAAACTTTCATTACAAGAAACTAAATAGGTACAACACCCTACGTCATCATTTTTCTTTTAGATTTGAGGATTCTCAATTGGTTCACTTCTAAATTTACAAAGTACTTTGAACAACACAAATACTTGCAATAAATTAGAAACAATTATTCTTAGGGTGTTGAGTTATGAAGTTTCAAGTATCAAACTAAAAATTAAATTCCAAACATTTAACTCATTTTAATTGTAAATAATTAGTCAATATTACATAATTATGTACATGTCCTCTTGTATCATACCATCTAATTCATAGTCATGATGCACATTTTTATTTTATTTAAAAATTTATGTACCACCCACGAGTTATAATAAATTAGGTGAATATTTTCCAATCTATTAACATCATGTTTGACATATTATACATAAATATATTTTGATTAAACATGTATTAGCATCAGGATTTAAGCACAATACGACTGTGGGAAACCTTTGCACTGATATTTCAAGCTACATGTCTACTAGTATGAATTTAACTTTAACAAAGCCCATGGAAACTTTGCTGGGAGAATAACATAATGTAATTGAGAAATTCACCCTCAAGCATTTTTTATTCAGCATATGGCATCATTGGGTTTGAGATTAACTTTTTGGTACCCACAAGGAGGTTGGAGGTGTGAAAGAATCTTTTCCGGCATCCATTCCTGCTGAACAACTAAAAACCTGTCATTCTAGGCATTCGTCCAACAACCAGTAATATCATCTTAGAGCAACACTCACTGACTGAATCACCAAAATTTATGTCGTCAATGGTCAATATTTATATGGCAATGGTTCCAACAGGGATAGCTGCCCCAAAAAATTTTCATTCTCCCAATAAAGAGTCCAATATTTTTTTGTCTCCCAGGAGCTTGCCCTCCCTTCAAGTTGTCAAAGGCTTTCATGAGTTCGTTTTCTTATTACCTCCATTTGTCTAGTCATGTGGCTTACAGGGGACTTGATCTGAGCAATTTATTTCCCCAATATGGAGAATTCGTTCAATGCGAGTTTAGCTTGTAGTTAATTCATAATAGTCTCCAACCAAACTTCTTCAGAAGTGATGGCACACTTTTGTGAGGGAAAGAATGAAATACTCTTAAAATATAAAGGAATAATATAAATATACTTATTGCAGAACAAGGACTCAGAACAGGAATTAAAGCAGGGGACTGGACAGGCGAAAAAAGAGGAAGGAATTACAGAGGAAAAGCTGAGAAAATTGGAGGAAAAAGGGTAATCACATATCCAGATCTGGTTCTCAGCAATATTTCAGGACCCAGTACTAGAATAATCCGCCATCATCTTGAACTGCAGTGATTTGATGCTTTCTTGAGCAATAGCAACAACGGTAGCAATATTCATAGCAACAACCAAGGATTCCCTGTGCACCCTTGTGAAGCGGGCCTGTACAAACTAAGGCTTCAAAGGGGGTCTCACTTGGAGACCGTTATCAGGGTCTCTATAAACTCACTTGGAGACCTTGCATAAGATGGGTCTCGAGCAGTGCAATGAGCCATGATCTTATAATAAAATAATTTTGATTCAATTCATCTGTGTTGACACAAATAATGACTGTCAATCACATTTCTTTCTCTTTCTCTCTCTCTCTATCTATCTATCTATCCATCTCATCTCTTTTGCCCAGTTTATACCTTTACATAAATTCTGGGGGATGAGGGGGACCAAACCATTTCATTGAGGAGCTCAAGAGAAGAAAATGGGAAGGAATGGAGCCGGCCAGATCAACAGCAATAGGGCTCACCTTACAGGGAGCTTATGCAGTCCTTTATCAGCCCAATGATTGGAGACCCTTCCGAAGAATCCTCCAGCCTCTCAAAGAGGATCCCATCCACTCTGGCCTGGACTCCAGAGGACCCAAGTTCTTGCAGCACCTCCTTCACTGTCTTCTCCAATCCAAACAGGGACTGTCCAAAGCCGGTCACTATTTCTGGCAATGATGGTGAGCGCCTCGATACCTCCACCAGTTTCACCTGTTTGGGGAGAGGGAAACCAGACAGAAAGATTTCAAATAACTTACAATAAGACACATGAATCCTACGATTTCATTAAGATTACGAAGGCTCCAAAGTTGGATGCCAGGGTTTGGCATCCCAATTGAGAGAGAAAGAGGGGCTTTAGAATTTAGAGAGAGAGAGAGAGAGAGAACTGAGGCTAGGCTGGGTTCCCCTGTTTCCCTTGGCTATTGCTGCACATGAAATGCTTGCAGGGTCTCTAAGAATGCAGAAGTCAAATCTGTGAGTTCTAAGACTTTTTTTTTCCCTCTTTAGCAAGCATAACAGCTCCAATGGAGAGATTGATACATAATCGAAAAAGAGATAGGCTTGACCTGACTATCTTGGGGAATGTCAGCCTTCTGCTTAGCAATTGCAACAGCTCGAGAAAAACCACCAATGGCATCAACTAAACCTCGGGAAGCCGCATCTCCACCACTCCACACCCTTCCTTGTGCGACTGTTTCCATCTGATCCACCTGTCATTGGATGGTACGGGTTGGGAGGGGCATCAGGGAATGCAAAGAAAACAATAGAACAATACAATAACGAGGTACATACTGTCATTGATCTTGAGGAGGCAGCCTTGTCTCGAAATCGGATATAGGCATCCTGCGCAGATTTTGCAAAGAGTTCGGCTTCATCTTGACTGCAAGAGAAATTGATCCCTTTCTCAAAATCAAAGATATAAACAGTAAAGGCCAAAATACACTATAAAATTGATAACTCGTTACGCAACAGCATTGATGGCTTAACAATGCCAAAAGCCAGATGCCAGAAATGAAGTAACCTTTGTTATAACATAATTTGGCCATTTATCAAATAAGGTTAGCTAATTAGGGAGGCAAATAAGGTCAATTTAAGACACCATAATGAATCAATGTTATCAAGTACCCGTCATCCAGTATTTTTAAGGAATTAATGCCGTTAAACGTCTAGCCAGCTGTAAACATAAGTTAAACTTGCAAGACAGCGTCAACTCCACCTTATAAGCACCCAATATAACAACAGTGCTCTCTGACTGGACTTGAGATAAATTTAGTGAGCAGAATCCAAGCGTAGCCCATATGGAGGGTCTGGAGGGTTTTAGGGGGGCTCTGATGAAAATTACTACAAGATTTTATCCACCATAGAGACGATTGATTTTAGGGCACAGAACCTGAATTATCTCACACTGTGAAAGACTAAAGGGAGCAGAAAATATTCATGTCGTCTAAATATCCTTCAATTTAAAATGGAAATTTTATATGCCTTTTTTTATGAATTAAAAGAAAAATAAACTGCTAGATGATTGGGATTGGCTAAAGAATTCGGCTGATTTGTTTTGGAGTGAAACTTTTCACAGAGGTGGAAAAAGGGAGGTAAAGCATGAAATGGTCCAAGCCATAATGAGGATGGCGTATGGAGTTCACCTGGTCTAGCATAGCTTTTACTTCTTTTCTTTCTAGTCCTACCTCTTCCTCTGGTCCTACTACCCTAGTCAGAAACGTACAGGGCACTCTGCCTCAGGAATCTCCTTCGCCCTTCCTCAAAATGCAGAGTTAGGTTGAGTCAAATGACTCAGCAGATTTTCTATCCAGGAACCTTGTTCTGACATAATTCGTTCATTTTCTTCCCATCGCCACCTTCATTAATCTCACTCTCCCTCACTCTGCGGCTCCATCAATCTTTTACTAGCTTCAAAAACATCTTAAATCCATTTAATTTCCAAGATAACAAAAACACAACTGAAATAGGAAGACTTATTTCTGGAATCTTAAAATCCAAATTCTTTCTTTTGAAGTGAACTCCTTGTTTAAACACCACTTCCTTCAGTGTCTGAGTGATCAACATAAAAGTCACTCAGCAATATTTTGGCAGTTTCCTGCCCGCTTTCTGGTTTCAAACATCTAAGACACTGGTTTTTGGCGATTGGCACAGCCCTACTCCAGGCGGGTGCCAGCATCTTGATTTATTTCTCTTATTTGTCATATTTATATTGATTTCCCATTGAACATGGACTCATACCGAATAAATGACAAATTGAGATGTTGAAATATTATGATTTTCCATTAGACCACGAGAGGCCTATTAACGCAAGTAAAACATGTATCACAACTCAATTACTGAAGAGGAAACGTTAGTGGCTCAGCGCTCCACCTCACAAATCTCATGCCACTTCAATTTGCATTGAGACCCACGAGATTTGAAGTGGTTGAGTACCTGAAAGGGCGCTGCTCAGCAACTTGGAGCTCGGCATATTTTCCCCTAGATATAATTTCCTTATTGAAACCAATCATTTCATATAGTTTTTGTAAACTGAACTTTCCTGTAAACAAAAGCCTCCATCACATGAACTGTTTAAAACATAAATAATTGGAACAAAAGAATAATACGTGTACAAGTAGATTATGTGAGACAAACAGCTTTCCTGATCAGTTCTAAACAGTCACAAATTTTCCGGTTAATATAGGCAATTTCTGCGAAATCAGGAGGGGTGGATGCGCCAATTCGCAATAAAATAAATACAAAACGTGCATTACATGTATTTTTGAGAAAAGGAAAAACCAACGGAATTTTAAACCTTTCCCATATACTATTCTCATCTATGTTAAAATTAAGCTGCAGCAGAGAGCACAAGCAAACAGTTGCTGGCAATAGCAGACATTTTTTCTCCCTCCTGTTCTCAGTCATTCTTTTCACCTCCTGCTGTTATTATAACTAGTCATCTCTTCTTACTCTTCTTCCTGTTTTCCAGTTTTTTTTTTCGCTCAAAGGGCCATGTCGGAGGCCCAGCCACCTCAGAACTAGCTGATCAACGTGAGATTAATCAATTTTCAGATGAATCTTTCTTTCAAAGGGAATTAAGGTCCACCACTTGAAACTCAAACAACGAATATCTAAGGTTCACACAGTACAAAATCAAGTTCTGCTAGTCTATTGATTGAATAAATCATTCCCATTTTCTCATTCTGGGATGCAAAAATAAATCACAAAGTCGTGCTATAATTCAAAATATTAGCATATAATTTGAAAAATACAATGTAAAAATAAATAAGGGAATGAACTACTCTGTTCTCGTTCAATTATAGCACTATAAACAAGTCTTTTCAATCTAATCTAGTTGAATAAAATTACTTGCCTGTAACCACTCCAATTGAACCTGTCAAGGTGAGCTTTTCAGCCACAATTGTTCCTGCTCCCATAGCCATGTAGTAACCTCCACTTGCAGCAACATCTGACATTGAAGCAACAACAGGTTTTGAGGCAGCAAGAAGTTTGATCTCCCTCCACATCCTATTCAGGAATAAGGGCCAATCATAAGTGACATTAAGGTTGCATAAAATCATTTCATGTAAAGGGAATCTAGAATGACACTTAGAAAACAATGCAATAACTACCCCAGAAGCAAAAGTGAGAAAAAAGGGCCAGTGTTCTAGATTATCCATAATCAGGCTACATGAAGAAATGAAAGCACATGAATACAATGCATATTTATAGAAGTTGAAGTTTTTTTGATATTTGATGTATAGAACAGAGAGGTAGTGGCTCGCCTTAAAAGGAAACTGTAATCATGCATACAGCTCCTAACAGTGTTCATCCATATTGTATAGCTACTATCTTGCACGATCTCTACCACAAATATCGAATTAGAAGCTAGCAGATACTGACGATGGCATAAAGGTCAGAATTATCCAACTCAACTCTGACTCAAGCAGTTAGGACACCTAGCAGAAGGGATTCCGAGGAGTCAGTGAATGGGATTGGAGTGCTTAGTGGCAGATTTTTCATGCCATTTATGGGTCGTTGGGGGAAAAGTTATTGATGATATTTGATGAGCTTTCCACGGCTCAGGAGTATTTGTCTTCTTTTTTCCCGTGAGAATATTGGTAGGTTAGTGTTCTGAATTAGAACACCTTCATACCTTAGTCTGAACAGTAGATTTGGATTCATAATCATCTTTTAAAGTTGGCCGTACTACTTGTTCATTGAATTTGGGGAGACTGGGTCTATAACGCATCACACCATCTTGAAGGCCCTTACACACTGGGAGTGTACCATGTGGAATACTTTTCTCAAGTAGTTGTCACAAAATGATGTTGATACTAAATTTGCATAGCCCCACCGTTTTATTCATCAACGAACCAGATAGCCAGCAACTTCCACCAAAAAAAGAGAACGAGAACGGGACAACAGCTACACTTCAATTTGGAAATGTGAGGTACCTGTGATACTTCCAACATTATATGATTTTGGGATGATTCAAGGAGTTTTACTGCTCGCTCAGTTTCTTCTCCATCTATCATACAGGAGAAGGTAAATATTGATCCCAATCCACTGCACGATAAAAGCATGTGCCATCACCATGGATCTCATAATCAAAAGAAGCTTTCATAGACCTAATACATACATTCTAGATCACCACAGACAAGAGTGGACAACACTCTTTGATTTCTTTCAATGCTTTTACATGTTTTGTGGTTTTCGATTATTGATGAGATGTACTACTATGAATTACATCTAGAGTTTTCTCCATGAATCCCTGTATATAATATTTCTTAATAATGAACCAAATTTTACATCAAAAAATAACAAAATTCAGTTCTTCATATAGATCCCAACGAATTTCATGGTTTTTCTTCACTTTCATTTTCAAATCTCCAAATATAACAATTCTATAACAACACATTTTTCATGTACATAAGAATCTCAATTGCGGTCTTCACAATATCTTTCTCCAAAACGAACTGGAGAAGGCTTGTTGGCTTGTAACCCCTTTTGCTCCATAAATTCATGAATCGCTTTATGAATCGAGCAAAGATAGCATGAAAAACATGGATTATCCAGTCAGGAACCGACCATTATCACATTAGGCCCATTTGGCATAAGACCTCAACATAGGCAACTCAGGGTTTCTGTCAAAAATTCAGAAGAAGCTTTCACCACACCTTGAGTAGGTCTTTCTCACAAACATGTAGAAATAGCTAAGGAAATGCCAAAAGATCCATCTACATGCATACTACTGTATAAGACATTTACTATTGTCTACCCGTTTATCCAATCTTGTGCAATAATATTTACTTGAAAAATGACTGGATTAAGTCGAGTTATTTATAAAAATATTTTAAACAGTCATTTATTTTATTACTATTTTTATATATCATTTGCTTTTTAGTTGCCTGTGTATTGGAGACCAGTTGTCTTCTGCCTTATAAGCTTCAAATTCAGAACACAAATCTTAGTCAACCTTAGATTTTTTGATTTTTCAAAATAATTTTCAATAAAGATGACCATTGACTACAGAAAAATAATAAATTGAAGAAACAATACAAGTGAAAAATTGAACATGAATATATGATATTGATTTTTTTTTTACATCACCAGGCATGTAATACTTCGAGTACGAATCAAGATAAATTAAATATAGGATGCAAGACCAGCAATCAACAGAACTTACAAATCGGAAGCTAGAGCATCACCTCCAGGGCTATCAATTCGTAAGATCACAGCCTTGTACTTCTTAGACTCTGGATGAAAATGAACTATTTTAGATGTACTCCGAAAACTATAAGTTCGCACATAAAGAGCACAATGGAAATTGCTAACAGACAGATTCTCAGAAAAGGTTCTAAGTTACCTTTCACGAATTTCAAAAAAAAAAAGATTATTGAAGAAAATTGAAATTTGAAATGACAATTGCTTGAGAAGAGGAAAAGCAATGACAAGTAAATCATCTCTGAATGTACTGAGCTAAGTACAAGAAAATCTCTTCTAAGAATATTAGTGATTTTCAGCATGTGGGCCAATTCTCTTTAACACCAAACGGGTACAATGTTTCACGGAGGATTCTTGGGTCAGACAACCAATTACCAATTTGCACAGGTATAGTACGTTATCCATATGAAATAAATGATCAAACCAAATGTTCTACTGATCATTAATGCTTTTAAAAGCAAGATTATAAGTAATGCAAGACTATGATCAAGTTATTGAACTCATGAAAGCAAATAATCATGACAAACTAAAAGTGGAAACATCAACTCCACTAATCGACTTAATTCCCAGTGTCAAATATGACTAACGGTAGTTTTAGACTTACCAGAGACACAAGTCTTGTTCCAAAACAAAAGCATCTGACTAAGAGTTGACATGTGGTATCCAATAACGAAGCCATGAAATACAGTCTTCATAGTTCATTTACAACCAATAAATATGCATATACCCATATACGGGAATGATAGGCATACTTATATTTTTCCTTGCCCTTAGTATATCGCTAAATACATATACAAACAGTATTGGAAGGTCAGCTAGGGACTAAGGCGCTAATATATCCGTGTTATTATTGTCTTGATAAGCTTATAGAATGAAGCAAAATGTGTGGCTAAATAATGGGATCCGTGACAGACACCATGAATCCACATTTCCCTTAGCATTTTTTGTGAACACTCTTTGTGTAAATGTTTCATGTTTCAATATCTAGTTCTGGAACTTGGGGATATGAAGCTGAAAACGGTGGGTTGAAGAGCACATCTCTATCTCATGACAGTTTCACGCAACAAATCATATTGTTATATTTTCCATGGCAGGTCCTCTCCATGGTTAACATCTATTCCTTCAAAATTTGTAAAGTGCGTGAAACTGATGTAGGTCCATGTTGAGTTTCATCATGATGTAACTAAGATCATTATTTATTATAATAAAATTCTTTCCACATTATGGTAGTTAACTAGCAATTCCTAATTCATAAACTAGCTAACAATGAGAGACGAGAAAATGATGCCAACCTCTGACAGTGCGAATTTTTTCAATAAGTTCATCACTTGTAATACCAGACCCAGGCAAGCTTAAGGGGCCTCGAGCACGACTAATGCTTCCAGATGCTCTAATCACTGCTATCACATCTCCATTTCCTTCCAACCCAAGTGTCCACTTTCTAACTCTCGAGTATCGCCTGGTTCAAAGTAGAAAAAGGCTCAAATAATAGCATCAGTAACCAGTCATAATGAGCTTACGTTTTAGCAATGACAACAATGAGACAAAACTTTACAATAAAAAAAAAGACATTCAATATATCCATGACAAATGGCACAATAAATCTAGCATGAAGCCATCAGAAAAAAAACATAACACAAACACTGTTGTAAGCAACCTCTCTGAGCTGCTGATTTTTTATTTATTTATGATCCTTTATCTTCTTAAGTCTAGGGCAGGACTATCATTATTCGGACTCATACTTCTCCTCAATCCGCTAGGTGCTTATTAACCTCTCTTCGTCAATTTTTAAGTCGAATGGCTCAATAAATTGAGCATGATATGAGAGCCAATGAGCACTATTTAGTTGTATCACCACATCTGTGTCGTCCATGTCACAGAGTTCAAAAGTCATGTAACTTGCATGACTATAAAAAAATACCTCACAACGTTCAGGGAGATAGAATCTTGTCATCTACAAGGTAGGTCTACTTTATTTAATCCAAATTAGTTTTAAGAGGAATGGCTCAATATATTAACAATGATGAAGCTTTGAACCCAATATTTCCTTAGTGTTTAACTACAAAGCACCAATGGGAGTGCGTTCCATCTGTAAACATAAAGTATGCCGCGATTTTGCTCTCACCTGAACGTGACAATTTCTGAGAAACTATGATTTTCTAAATGATATTCCAAAGGGCTTTATAAACGCATAAGAAATTAATTAATGTATGCATCAAGCATGGGCGGTATTCAGGGAGCCCCAAACAGGATGCCAATGGTGTACATATGGATACATCATTGGTAACAATACACTAAATGGGAATCATTTAATTGATGAAGGATCAATTTTAACCATATTAAAAAACGAAAAAAAACCTAAAATTGAAATTAACATTTTAACATACAAATATAGTTCTTTAAAACAATTAGACATTACAGGTACGCAGTCCACTGTCACTGGAGACTTGATAAGCTCAATCCAGATAGTGAGTGGTATCTGAGTGAGAACGAAACTCAACACAATCGGAGTTTCAGTATTCTTGTAATGGCTTAATCCTAAAGCTTGTTTCGAAGTACAGCTGCAAGTTTGACTCTTAAGTCATTGAAGACAACATTGTTGGATGAAGCATGGATATCAATAAATAGAAGCATTCTCCCATGAATAGGAAGCCACATATGGTTAGGGGCCAAACAAGCCCAGCCATGGTGACTGATAGCTGAGTGATAAAAAAGAAAAGTGGCAATTCTTTTATACAATTCACTAAAAAGTTGTTGGCTCCACTTGATGATACGTTGACCCATTTTGCAGAGCAAACGTTATGAAAATTGAGCGAACCGACCAGTGTAGAAGCCAACTTGTCCATTGGCTAAAACCAGTTGACCGAATCAACTCGATGAGTCAAGCCAACATTAGTAAAATCAGATAACTTTCTCAATTCAAATCTAAGGTTTATAAACTAAACGTCAAGGATTCATTCTCCTGCGAGCTATCCAGTGGGTGTAAATGGATATATAATATAAAACAAAGCATAAATTATATTATTCTTTAGCCATCGCAACCATGTTATAGCGCTTCACCATAAATAAAACTTTTTCCTCGGAAATTATTCAATTAGAATGAAAAAAAGTTATTTCAACATGATCAAAATCATTCCATTAACAGGACTAGAATTACAGTAATCTACAACAATACCGATTACCTGAAATCGACAGTAGAAAGACGCTTTTCCTCTTTTTGTCCCAGTTTCTTCTTTAACATTGAGATGATCTGCATTCAACAGCATAAGGTGATGAAAACTGAAAACCATAAACCATGACCCAACAGTTAAACTGTACATCACTGAATTAGACAGTATGCACAATCCACAGCTACTAATGAAAGGAACTGAATCTGGAGCCGTAGTGGAGTTAAAATGGAGGTAGAAATGGTGAAGTTTACTACCTCATTGTTCGAAAGTAAGAATGTGGACCTAATTTTAGCAAGCAAATTCCCAAAACATGTGTGAAAAAGTGAACTTTTGGATCAAACTCAATATGCACAATGAGTTCAATTTAGAGTTGTCTTTGTCAATTGAATATATTTAATACAATTTACATGCAGGTAATTCTACAAGGCATAAAAAACACTCCCTAACAAAAAAAAACGCAAGTCAGGGTTTTCCTTGACTTTTGTGTATACCTTCTCTAATTTTGCATACAACACATTGGCCAAAGAATCAAGCATATTCCCTAATGCATTTTTTATTAACAAGAAACTGCTTTTTCCGTCACCACATTTACTGTCTTGGTAGATACCACATAGTAATTACTCACCACAAGAAGAGAATTAGGAAACGGCCACGAGGGTGCAAGGTTGTATTTATTCACTGAAACATGCTTTAACCTATCTGTCATATAACTTCTCTAATCATCAATGCCTTTCTCATTAAAAAAATGCAACAGATTCCCCTAACGTGTCCATGTTGAAATACTGTGTAAATGCTACGTAAGCAGTTGGGGGTGAAGTGTATCACGTGCTTCACTTAAAGAAGCACATGAATATCACATGTATGTCTCGGGATGTAAGGATCTATGTCTAGAACCCTCTCCCATGGGTCTATTATAAATAACAGACCCATGTCTCAATGTAAACTGATGTTGAAGGAATTTTTCCTCATATATTTTGAATAGTTTCATTTTTCCCTTCCACAAGAAGGTCTGTCGTTCTTCAAGAAATGAAGGAACTTGAGGAAATTCAACATGGTATCAGAGCTAATCTTGGTGTGATTGTTCCCTTCTTATTACCTCCTTCTATATAAGAGATTTATGCTGTTTCTGTTAGCCTCTTCTTAAGGACTTACAAAATCAACATCGTTCTTTAAGCCCCTTCTCAAGACGATTCTTGATCTTTCTTTGAAGACATAAGAGAATTATGTTTTTCGCTCAGTAATTAGTTGTTCCTATTCCGATTTGTTGTTTTTCTATATGTCTGAAGGAGAAGAAACCTCAGTAGGTGACGTCTCTGCCACCATGATGGATGGCAATCCTATATCATCAAGATTGATGATTGAACTCCCTACCCCATGCCTACAGAATTTAAGTTGATTAGATATAATCTCATCCAATGGTCAGAATATATTAGGGAGGTTCCTACTAGCAGAGGGATGCTACATCATCTAGAGGAAACTACACCATATCCAATGTCAAGGCAATTTAGAAAATGGTGAGAGGAGGATGCCTTGATAAAGGCATGGATCTCGGGAATAATGATTCCCCAAATCAATAGAGATTTTTTCTTATGAAAACTACGAAGGATCTGTTGGGAACAATACACATGAAATATTCAATGAAAAATAATGAGTCACACATATATGAAATGGAGATAAAATTTCAATCAATTGCTCAAGGTTCGAAACCAGTGGAGTACACAAGAGAAGTTAAAAATCAATGGCAGGAGCTTGATTATTATCTTGATCTTGGGACTGAAGGACCCAAAGAAATTTCTACATTACGAAATTTCATAGAATGAAGGCAGGTCTTCAAATTTTTAACTGATTTGAGTCCTATTTTTGATCATATCAGACAGCAAATTCTAGGACGTGAAAGGAGACCAAATCTAATGAGGTGATATCAACTGCGCTGAATGAAGAGAGTCGTCAAAAATTGATGTTGTATACTCAGGAGTCGGGTAATACAGCTCTTTTAGCGAAACCAAGACATACCATTAAATCAACAGAATATCTGAATCATCGATCATCATCTGTGCAATGGAAGAACCAAAAAACCTATCATAGAGATAATCTCTAGTGCACTTATTACAAGAAATCCTGCCATATCAAGGATCAATGTTATAAACTCCACAGTAAACCACAGAATTCTAATAATCGAGTGAATCAGGTTCACATGGTGATTGATTCTTCATCCAATCAAAAGTCTGAACAAACAGACTCAGGAAACATTAATTCAACTCCATCAAGCAAAATAGAGAAACTTTGCCTTGAATTAGAGCAATTGAAGGCAATGGTAACACAACATTCACAGTCATCAACGAGTCATCAACGAGTCATCAAATTTGTGAGTTCCACTCTTCTCTTGGTGTTCAAGCTACATCCCAAGATATTACTGGAATTTAGGTAATAGACTCAGGAGCAATAGATCATACGACAAATTCGTCATATCATTTCATTACCTACACCCCATGTTTTAGTGACCGAAAAGTGTCTACTACTGATGGTACACTTCTCACGGTCGCTGGTATTGGAGACCTCACTCTTGAACCTTTAGGAATCTTCACCAAAGTTCTCCACGTTCCCAAGCTTTTCACCAACCTTATTTCTGTAAAAAGACTTGTTAAAAACACACCTTATCATGCTCTCTTTGATGAAGATCTTTATGTTATCCTTGACAAGGTCCAGAAACGTAGGATTGGAGTTGCTAGAGAATGAGGATTTCACATCTTGGAGGGATGTAGCCAAACATGTCTTGTGGAAGCAGATCTATCTCTAAAACATCACAAGGATCTGAGTCACATTTAGTTCCTTCATCAAAGACTAGGCTATTCTTCTTTTGCTACTATGAAAAGTTTTATTCACAATTGTAAGTGTATATATATATATATAAGAAATAAAATAGGTAGAATTCTTACTCTCATTACCCACTTTCCTTGAGGATCGCCTCTTACTTATCCTAAATAGAAGAGTGAGATTTTATAAATATTATTTGCATGAACTTAGTTACATCATAGTGAAATATTTAACCCCCAATGAGTAACCAAATGTAAAAAAGGTGAAGACAAGAGTTATAAAAATATGACAAAAAAAGAGAGAATGGATCTAACACAATAGAATGATAAAATAAATAATAAAACTAATTCAAATTAAAAATTAATCTATCTATAGAGAGGATTACAAGGATGCCTCAAATCTGAATTTTGCACAAACTTTGTTGTGCGCGAGTCTTAGGCCGAGTGATGTTTAATACGTGACACTTCTTTGTTTCAAAAAGTGTGTATAAAAACATTTAAGTATGACGTATGTGAATTGTCTAAACATACTCGTGTTTCCTTTCTATTTAAAAATGAAAGGAGTGACATTACTTTCTCTTGTATCCATAGTGATGTTTGGGAACCATGTCTTAATGTAGATCGACTAGATAAAAAATGATTTGTTATGTTTGTGGATGACTGCACCCATTGTATGTGGGTCTTTCTTCTTAAGTAGAAATCTGAAGTTTCAATTGTGTTGAAATGTTTATGTGCAATGATCAAAACATAATTTGATAATCCTATAAATAAATTCAGGTCAAATAATACTAAGGAATACTTCGGCAATGATCTGAATTCCTCTCTTCAAGCTAAGGGTATCATACACAAGCCTTCATGTGCTTACACTCCTCAACAAAATAGATTGGCAAAAAGAAAAAATGGACACCTCTTGGAGGTTACATGATCACTCTTGTTTTAGGTGAGTGTATCCAAAAAAATTTGGGGTAAAGCTCTCTTAATAGCAACACATCTAATAAATCATCTTCCCACTAAAACCTTGGATTTCCAAAGTCCTATGGAGAAGTTAGCTTCTTATTTCCTTCTTAATCATCTCTATATCTCATTGGAGTCCCGCATATTTGGATGTGTCTCATTCATTCATAATCATAATCTAACTAAAGGTAAATTAGATCCAAGATCTCTCAAATGTATATTTATTGGATATTCAACTACTTAAAAAGGGCATCATTGTTATCATCCACCAACTCAAAAAACTCTTTACAACTACGGATGTTACATTTCATGAATCTCTAGATACATCTTTGTCATTTCCACCTTTACTTGATTTTTCTCCAGAAAGAATTTCTTCTCCTCCAGGTCAAATTATTCTACCAATTCATGCATCTGACCAAAGTTCATCTCTTCCTGATCCACTTCCTGAAAAACTCAGATTTGGTCAGAATTATTTCAGGACACAAATACCTCTAAATTCTGGATCAGCCTAAGACCCTGAATTGGCCTTAACTAATGACCAAGAAACCATAGTTATCCCTACAAAAAATACTACCAATTCCCAATCCAATGACCTTTCCTATTGCCCTCAAGAAACCTCGACGGGCTTGTACAAAACACCCATTATACCCTTCAGTAAACTTTATTTCTTATCATAAACTTTCTCCATCTTATAGAACCTTTCTTGTTACTTTGGATAATATTACTATTCCAGTTAATATTTCAGAAGCTCTTTTCAAAAAAGAGTGGAAACAAGCCATGGATGATGATATGCATGCTCTTCAGAGAAACAATACATGGGAGCTCATACCTCTCCCGAAGGATAAACGGGCAATTGACTATAAATAAGTTTATTCTATAAAATGCAATGATGATGGATCAATTGAAAGGTACAAAGCCAGACTCATAGCTAAAGGATATACACAAGTTTATGGAATTGACTACCATGAAACTTTTTCTCATATGGAAAAAATGAACACAGTCATACTTATTTTGTCTCTGGCTGCTATTTTTAGTTAGAATATATAGTAATATGATGTGAAGAATGCCTTTTGTCATGGAAATCTTACTGATGAAGTATATATATAATATCAACCTGGTTATGGAGGACATTTATCATCTAACATTGTTTGCAGACTAAGAAAGTCGTTGTATGGACTAAAACAGTCTCTATGTGCATGGTTTGGGAGATTTTCTACTATCATGCAAAAATTTGGTCATTGTCCTAATAATGTTGATCACACATTATTTTTCAAATATACTTCATTAAGCAGAGTTACTATACTCTTATTTTATGTTGACGACATTATGATTACTGGAAGTAATGATATTGAATAGGGAAATTTAAGCGAATATCTTACCAAGGAATTTGATATCAAGACTTTGGGTTGTCTTAAATATTTTCTAGACATTGAGGTGGCTCATTCTTCTAATTGCGTATTCATCTCTCAATGAAAATATGTGACAGATTTTCTAAAACATACTGGGAAGTCTGCATGCAAACCAGCTAGCACCCCCCTTGATCCTAACCACAAACTTACTGTTGGTAAAGGGGAGGAGTCTTATTGCACAATTGATATATCTCATACACACTAGACCTGACATCTTTTATGTAGTTAGTCTCTTAAGTCAGTTCATGTATCAGCCAACCAAATCCCATCTTCATGTTGTATATCAAGTGTTACACTACTTAAAGGGAACTCTTGGAAAAGGCATTCTCTTCAAACGTGGCGGTAACCTAACAGTTGAGATCTATACTGATGCTAACTATGCTGGTTCTCCTTTAGATTGTTGGTAGACTTCAGGTCTTATGATGTTCCTTGGAGAAAATTTGGTTACTTGGCACAGCAAGAAACAGAATATTGTTGCTCGCTCAAGTATAGAGGCAGAATTCCAAGCACTTGCGCATGGAATATGTGAACTATTTAAGGTGAAAATTTTACTCACTGATTTAAAGATTCCCTCTTCGGATCCTATGAAGTTCTACTGTGACAATAAATCTACAATCAATCTTGTGCACAATCTTATTCAACATGATCGCACAAAGCATGTGGAGATCAACGATCACTTTATCAAAGAAAACTTAGAGTCTAAAGAAATCTGTATTCCCTACATTTCCACTCAACATCAACTAGTTGATTTGTAGACAAAAGGTGTCTCTAGGACTCAACTACAACAAGTTGGGAATGGATGATATCCACTCACCAGCTTGAAGGAGAGTGTTGAAATACTGTGTAAATACTGCATTAGCAGTTGGGGGTGAAGTGTATCACGTGCTTCACTTAAAGAAGCACATGAACATCACATGTATGTCTTAGGATGTAAGGCTCTGTCTAAAACCTTCTCCCATGGGTATGTTATAAATAACAGACCCATGTATTGATGAAAACTGATGTTGAAGGAATTTTTCCTCATATGTTTTGAAGAATTCCATTTTTCCCTTCCACAAGAAGGTTTTTTGTTCTTCAAGAAACGAAGGAACTCAAGGAAATTCAACAGTCAATAGATTCCACCTTCATATGCCACGAGCACAATACTTAATACAGACACATGAGAAAAAAAATTGTCTAAACTTGAGGGGTAAAAATGGACGCTGCAAGGTCATTTATTAAAGGACAAAGACATCAAAAATAAATCGCAGCAAAAGAAAAGAGCAAGGATAATCCCAGATTATATGAATTATTAAATATAAAATGTACGTCCAGAAAATATATGCTGAACTTATATATTAAAAAAGAAATAAAGACAAAAAAATATAAAAAACCTCAAGAAAAGAACTACTAACTTATAATATGTCATCCAAGTTCCTATAGATTTTGGAAATCCAAATCACTATGTCCGCAGAGTAAGAAAGAAAATACCCTCTTGTCCAAGAAAAGTGTTACATGTGAGAGGATAAATAACCCGAAATTACCTCAGCTGACAATGGCTGTTGACTTTATATATAACAAAAGAAATCAATCTTAGGTTTCCCTAACACATGAGTAGCTTAATGTGCAACAGTATTTTTATTCATTACTGTTTTTACCACAAAATTCATTTCAAGGTAAGCAGATTAGACAGAGAATTGCACCTCATCGTCATAAACTATATTTGTTATCCAACCTTCTTCTTTCATTCTTTCGACTTGGTAAACCCCTGAGTCAAGGAAATCTATAATTTCTTCTCTACTCTTTCCTGAAACGAAAGAAAATAAGAAGACCACTCAGGTTAACATAGAGATGGCCATACACAGGTATCTAGCATGTGAAAATGTTAAGTACCTTGAGTTGAAGAAACAGTATCCAGCCAATTTTCATAGATGTTATCGAGCAATGTTGTAAGCATCTCACAATTTTCTTTTGACATGCTTCTAAGAGCTATTTGGTCTCCAGCACTCTTATATCTACCAATACGCTGCACCTGAGGCTCAATCCCTACTTTATCAAGGATACCTGTGTAAAAACCAGATGCCACACAAGCATAAAAAAATTGGACCAAGAAATATGAAACAGGGGATGCTATGGATTTCTGTGAGAATAAACTGCTAGCTTAGCAGTATTTTCTTTAAATTTAACAAACTACTCGATTTTTGCTCTAGTGAAGTCAACATGGCATTCACACCTAGGATTTCTAGGTGAGATGAGTACATCCAGTCATCACCTACATTCAAGGTCTTTAAGAAATATGTAAACAGAAAAAAATTATTGTCATACCAGCACAGTCATAAAAACAGAATTCTAGTAATTTCATATGTATAGTTTTTATATAAGAACCCAAACCACAAATGGAAAAGTTGATGGCAGTCCTCCATTGATTATTCAAAATATTTTTCCCTCCTTTTCTTGATTATGGGACAGACCAAAATTTTATTAAGAACAGAGGTGAAAAACTTGTCATTCAAAGACAAGGAAAAGCTGATTGGACCAAAATAATCAATAAAAAAAATTGAACAATAAACAAGTGATAAAAGAGATAAATGTGAAAGGAGAAAATACATCCTATTTTTTAAGCCAACGCTACTGCAGTTATATGCTAAAAGGATCAATACAGCAGTTAAGTATTTCGGTGTATATTTTATGATCCTAAAAGGTATTAAAAGATAAAAAACTCAACAATTTGTTAAAACGCAGTGAGTTACAAAATGAACAATGGCCCCAGAGTTGCATCCCATTATTCTTGTAAGGTTCCTACATGTTTTTGTGCAGATGAAACACAATCGCATGTGGATAATGTCTTGTGGGTAGCTAAATCTCTGCTCGTAACAGTGACTAAACCGTTTTACCTAATATGGAAACAAATTCTTCAGAACCAACGAAAACAAAGTTACCTCTGATAAAAGACGCTTGAACAGTCAACCCATAGATACCAACATATGCACTAGGAGGCACGTACAGTTCTTCACAGGCACAAGCCAGGTAGTACTCCTTGACTCCACAAATGGGTACATAGCTAATTATTAGCTTTCCTGTAGAAAATCCGAAAAGTATCATGCCATGAAACAAAAAAGCACTAGCATGACGAATGAGGAAATAATCGATGAATCAGACAAACAATTTGTATAATTTACCGTTTTGGCAAGAAACCCAATAGAATACAAACAAAACAGATAATATCGGATAAAAGACTATGGGATTATTGACAGAACTACAGCTTTCATGTTTTCGTACAAAAAAGTGTTTTAAGGATTTCAACATATAAATGTGTCTACAAACCATGATAGGGCACACTGATAAAAACGTTTGGTGTATCTGGCTAAAAATCTCCCAACATTTCACTAGAGTGCCAATAAAATATACCATACATCCACTTACTAGACATGAACTGATAAATAAATCAATGTTTTCAATCTCTAAAGTGTTTATAGATGATTTCAAACAAAGTTATGTTGCTAGAATAAATAAAACACAGTTTGCATTTCACATAGGCACGTGCCTTCAAATAGCGAATGTAGTCCAAATCTTGTCAGTCAATTCAAAAGAGCATTTTAAAAACAACATAGTACAGCTAAAATACGAATGATAAATCAATTCATCACCTGACTTCCTGAAATTTACTATATGCCTCCGTATTTCTTCAATTTTGCCCCATCCACAACTTAGTGGTTCTATTTGGAGATATATTGCAGAAATACGGGGATCATGAGCTGCCTTTATGAAGTTTTCACAAATCTGAGGTAGTGATAATCCAGAAGAGAAACTGCTCTTCACTTGATCAGCGATCTGCCCAATGAAATCATGCATATCAACGATTAATGAAGATTATTTCCCTCATCAAGGTGATTACATTGTGTTAACTAAACAGAATAGACATGTTAAAAAAACTCTTAAAAGAAGAGGGAAAAAAAACAGGTCAGTAACTGGTGTGATGTGGCATTATCCGAGAGATAATCATTACCACTATAAAAGCTGTCTCACCCTTCTTTTTCAACAACCATATGGGAGATACGCTACAATCTAGGCACTCACACTGAGAGACATGTCACAGGATAGCTAAGGAAATTGCTTTAGGGTCGAAGAGATTAGGGAGGGGGAGCAGAAATCATGGAAGTTAATGTACTGAAAATAAGATACTAATGTCCCTTGGATAGGTAGATGGTAGATTCATTAGCATACATAAATGACAAGCTGACTTGTTTCACAGCAGTAATGAATCTCATAAGTCTACCCTGATGAGCAATTTATAGATTCACCCGCTCATTCAAAACCGCACTGAACAATTGGATAATGGTTATTTTCTTACGGACAATAATTGCTTTTTTACAGGAAGTTAATGAAGTTTATGGATATATAATAATATGAAATGAAATTAAGCACGATATCCACTTCCCTATTGGATTCTAATGAGGCTACAGGTGACTATCTCAGATACCAACCTCAGTAACAAATGACACTCTAGGGAACACTGATGACTTCTCTAAGAGCATTTCTTCTCTCTGGAGTTTACCTATTTTGGATGGTGGATTGTCGATGAGATCTCCTTGGATCCTTGTCAACTTAAATTGCCATATTCTCCTGTCATGGAAGAGTAATAGCTACAAGACTTTAACAGAAGTAATGTGATTACCACTACCAAAGCTAAGACTCCTTCCTTCAAGTTGGTGGATTCAATGTCTGATAAAATGAAATCCCACAGCATAGTTACCAGAAATTTCTAAAGAGACAAAGAGAAGCGATTTAGAGACAGAAGCGGATGCAGCCTGAATTTATCCATATGAGGGCGGATGTTAATGTACTTAAAAGGAAGTAAAGGCTTTCCTTTGACAGATTGAAGGGGAATTCATTAGCATACCTCAAAGAAGAGCTGATTTGTTCCACATTGTGGGGAACTTTGTAATTATTTTTTTTATTTAGCTGCATTGGGTATTTGAATTATGCCTGCGATTCTTCTATGAACGAGTGGAGCAGTTAGGTGGTTAGTCTACGATGTGTTGACATTTTTTCTAGTAAAAATGAAGTTAAACAAGGGATGATGTTCCTAATTGGGTCTAATGAATGAGGAATAAATATTTCTAGTATTGAGCCCTCTAAGGAAATCACCTTTCAGTGAATATAGTCAAATGACATATTCATTTCTATATCCCAGCCGCCCATACTAGTTTAACACTGGTGAACAGTCATTCAGATGTCTCTACCATTCCATGAGTATCAATTGTCGAATCCAACTGATTCTTCACTAGAAGATATTAAAAGGTATCAAAAAAAATACATACAAAAATATCTGATTAGTTAACACTTATCACAATTACTTTATTGATGCTTCTTGGTTCTCATGTTATGAGATAAAAGGTTATTAGCTTAAGTAGCAGTTTACCACAAAAGATCCTCTTTACAAGGTTTCTTGTGGTCCAGTACCATCCGGAGATACAGACACAAGTTCCTTTCTTACTTTTTGATGTAATTTTTCTGATAATGTTCATAAAATATTCGCGAGCATTGAAAAAAATATATTTAATGGGTTATATAGGATTTTTAAGTTTTCATTAATTTCTCCCAGATGGGCGCACATGACGAAGACATAATCTTCCCTTCCACCAGGACAGAGAGAAGGCTGGAGAGAGGAAGAGACTGACCGTCCCTTTGAGCTTCATGGAGAGAACACTGCCTTTGCGGACACGTTCCCATGGCAAGGCAAACAGCATCCGGAGGCGAACCAGGAATCGCCTCCACCAGTCAAACTCCATCATCTTGAACTCTCCACTCGGAAACTCTTGCTTCCCCGCCGGGCCCCCGTTGCTCTTGTCAACATCAACAGCCACTCTCTCTGCATCGACACCAACGGCAGCAGCCGCACTACTGGCGGTACCATCAACATCTCCTGATGAAGAACTGGCGATAGGAGGCGGGTCTTCTCCTTTCGCCTCATCAGTCGGCGAGGAGGATGAAAATGAGGATGAAGAAGAGGAGGCGGGTAGCACTCTCCATCGACGAGAGCATCCCAGGAAGGGTGACGGGGAGGAGCGAAGGAAGAGGTAACACGGAGCTGAAGGTGGCGGAGAACATCGGAACTGGACAGAAGAGGCAGCGACGAGGTGAACGCCCGCGGCTGCCGTTCGGTTTAGGGAGTGAAAGCAGTTGGGAGGGGATAACAGGAGTTTCGCCATCAACGCTCCCTTCACCACACCCCCTTTCTCTCTCTACTCCCTTCCCCCCTAGCTCCCTCTGTTTCTCTCTTCTCCTTCTCTTCCTCTTCTGGTTGGCGATGTCTCGCTCCTCGTCTCCAACCCCCGGCTCTCCCTCACCCCCGCCCACAGGAGGTGGACCGAAAGCCACGTCGTACATCTGTTGGTGGACTAGGCGGACCAGCCATGTCATGGAGATCAATCCTCTAACCTTGACACCAAAGCCCATAGTCAGAAATCTTCCGCCAAACAAAGGTTTTGTTCATATAATCCATAATATGGGAACGCCCATCCCCCAAAATCCAATCTGCCAAGTTCCATGGGGATGTCGTGGAGGTTGAACTGTTAACTACCAGCCCCAAAACCCACACCAAAGAGGGCGTGGTAGGGTAGTTCAACCTATTAATCATAGAAGTAAATTGTAGGAACTAATGTGTAGTTTTAGAGTTTTACTTACCAAATAAGGAAATATGGGGAGCCATTTGAGTTATTGGAATCTTATTAAATGTAAGTCAGATGGAATTTCATGTATTATCAATTAAGTTATTTTTTTGTGAGTATGAGAAAAAAAAGGACATAATAATTGCCCATTGAATTATGTTCCTCTTTCCTTCCCTTGGTTGCACAATGATAGCCCTTCATACTTGATTATTCTATGTGTATAGGCATCGATCTCAGAATCCAAAATTGGTAATTTCCCTTGAATTTCTCATAATCTTTTCAAGAAGCTTGTTGAAGAAACATCACTCCATGTCATGCATTTATCTTTAAAAACTTTGTTCAATTCTCATTTCTATAAGTCAACTATTTAAAATGATTTTCACTTTTCTCTCACTATCATAAATAGATGATATCAAGATGTTGAGTTCAATATTATGATGACTAACCTTAATGAGGAATGAATTAGGTTATAGTCTACTTTTAGAGACATCAATGAAAATAGAACTCAAGAACAATCATTGGTGAAAATAGCACAAGCTAGATCGTTTAGCCTCTCCTCTTTGATTATTCTCAAGTCGTTATCAAGTGCTACTAACCCCACCTAATCCTAAAAAGGCCTTGTCACAAATATGGCAAGACTTAATGTGATAGCTCATATCTTAGATACACTATACTTGAAGCATCAACTTACCACTGGCCTAATTTCAATTCTATAATGGTTAAATTGAAGATAAACATTATTACAAGTCATAGTATCTTGAATATCAAATAAATTCAAATATAATACCCATTGAGTTATGTCTCTCTTTCCTTCCATTGGTTGCGTAATGATAACCCTTCATACAAACATGATTATCCTATGTGCATTAGGATCATCCTCCCTATTCTTCAGCTTTCTTCTATGAGGAAGGACATTTAGGCCATGAATTTGCGATTTTTAAAAAGCTTACAAGTCTAAGTTCAAGATGGTCCTTCTTGAAGGCATTTTCCAAAACTATAACTTTTGAGGAGACTTGAGCATGTGGAATCCATTTTATGTCATTTTGAGACTTGAATCATAAAAACAACTGAATTTAGTGTTGAAATCCATGACAAGTTGATTGATTCCATACAAACCTTTGACAAAAAAATGCAATTGATCTAACTATGTTGCACATTTTCTTGTTAATTTGGTGATGTGATTCACTTATTGCCAAGCTTACCTTCCTCATTTTGAGCATCATTTCGGTAGAAAAATGTAATATTGAAATTTTCCTTAGTGAGATCCATACAATAGTTGTGGAATTGATATATAATCTGATCAATATAGTGGTTATGAAAGTGATACATAATTTGAAACTAAATGGGAGGAAAAAACAAGTATTTTTTAATGATCATAATAACATCTAGTAGTTAACTTATGATTGCCTCATTGATTAAAGAATAATTGAGGATTCAGCTATCATCAAATTTATTGCATTAGAATAAAAAATTGTTGTTCCTCAAAATTTCTCCATAAAAGTATTGGGGTTTCAACAAAGTGCTTAGCTTCATATGATTGGTTTTAAATGGCATACATTCAGTCAAAAGGTGAGATTGTCAATGTTTAATAGGATTTTTCTAATGCCACAAAGGGTTGATAGCCCAAATAAATCCACCTTTTGTGGTGATTTATTTAAATCCACTTAGTGATGACTAATTGAGTCTTAGATCCACATCTCTACTCCCATTTTTTTTAATTCATTCATTGGGCCCATGCATTGTTTATTTTAATTTCTTTTACATAATCATTCACAGTCTAAACCGATCCATCTTCCATCATGAGTAACCATGCTAGGTTGGAATCTATTAACAAGAACTTACGTTATATAATTTCAGGAGAGCCATTTCTTTGTGGGGTATTTTGAGGAGTGCTTCCTTTACAACAACTACCACACTTAGTTTGTAGATTATAGTCTAAAAGAGGATTCAAGTTTCTCATTCTCTAATGGACTCTACAAGAGGGTAAGTCTAGCAAGACATCACAACATGTTCCCTCGCATAGCAAATATCTCCTCCCATAATTGGCTTAAAGACGCATTAAATGCATAAATTATGCTGTATATAATACTCCATTTAGTTAGTAATATTGTCAAACTATATGACGTGGCTACCAACTTACCAACGTAGGAACGTGAGCCGCAAAATCACCATAGCTAGTTAGTGACTACCATAAGTGGGTTTTATATTATAAGTGAACATTATAAAAGGTAGTCTCGTATTATTTTTTTGGGAAAAAACCCCTCAACCAAATCACATTTCTTTAGTGGGATCAATAAAATGGTTATCAAAGTGATACATAATTTGAAACTAATTGGGAGTAAAAAGTGGTTGTTATATTATTAGTCTGTATTTAAAGTTTATAAATCAATAGAGGTAGTCTCGTATTTATTCATTTGCGTAAAAGCCCCTCCACTAAATCACATTTGAGTTTATTATCATGTAAACATTTTATTTGTACTTTTTTTGCTTCCAAAACCTCTCCTTAGTTGGGATAAAATTCTCTCATTGGATAACTCCCTTCTACTGGGGGATTTCACGAGCAGCCCCGAGGCAAAGTCGGCTCATTATTTATTGGTTCTATACAACGGTCGAGTTTTTACGAGGTTGCCCTGTCTCTGTTTAACCTTTTTTAAAAATAAATCATACTCGTCCCCGCCCCCCCTCTGTCAACCCCAATCTCGTTTCCTTGAGACTCATCCGACCACAGCCGCGGCGGAGTAAGCGGCGACGCGGGCGGCGTGTTGTTTCCATATCAGAGATTAGGTAGTCACTTTGGTTCTTCATGTCGCAGATTTAGTTCGGCGTTTCTGTTTCTGCAGACTGCAGATTTGGTTTCAGGGGGAGAACTGTGTGAGTCGGCTTTGTCTCCCGCTCGCTCTGCTTAGTTATTTTATTATTCTGTTAGAAAACCTTAGCTAAGTCGCCTGGTTTCTCTTCTTTAGCGTTTGTTCTGTTGCTTTTGTCAGTGTTCTAGCTTTTATCATCATGGTGCGCCCTAAGGCATCCGGCTCCAAGAAGCCAAAACGTACTAATGGCGTCGACTTCAAGGTATCATATATTTTCCTCACGTTGTCCTTCCTCATACTGCTTGCTTGTTTATCGCTATTGTTGCGCATGCCACTTGTGGGTTTTTTGCTTTTCTTTCTGTTTTTTCCGACTTGTGGGAGCGCAATGTAATATAACTATCACTGCAGAAAATTAAACGCAAGATTGGCCGGAAGTTGCCTCCGCCAAAGAATGCCACCAACACTCAAATCAAATCGAAGGGTATGGAAACAGGAGATCCTTTCCACAAATAATAGAGGGACATCTAACATTAGTTTTCTACTGTGCATAGAAGATTGTGATATTTGATTCTACTTCTGTGCAGCAATTGTTTTACCTGAGCAGAGCATGGTATCAGAGAGGACAGGCATGGCCGTTAACAGCAGGGGCCTGACATTGAAGGAGCTCCTTCAGCAGACATCACATCATAATGCAAAAACTCGTAAAGGTAGGAGACTATGTCTATTTCTCTCCAAATGCTTTATGTAAATGACATTTACATACTTGCCGAAAGTTTATTTTGCTCAAGGCTGAGAATATGTGTATTGAGAATGTGTCTGCTTACTTGTAAAATTAGTGGTCAATCTCATTTTCTTGGTATCGAAATATATGAGTAGCGACACAGGCTGGGAAGACTTAAAATGAGCCTAAAATTACCTGAGAATGTTCACACGAAGCAATTTTCTGTTTGTTTGAGTTCAAGTTTTCTATTGGATGCTACATAATCTTTTCTGCATTTTGATGAGTGTACATTTCCAGTGAGATATTCTTAGTTCGTAGTTTATAGTTTATATTTTGATCACTTTCAAATGATAGGAGATGCAGAATGGTCAGATATGACGTCGATTTTTTCTAGGCTTAAGAGCGAGTTATAATGTTGGCAACTTTTTATGCCGGCGTACTTAGAGTGGCAGCTTCCGATCTATACTTCACATATATTTCCAAATTTATCCAATCACATAAACATCTTCTTTAGGTACATTTTTCCATGTTTCAAAAATCTAGAGTGGTCACTTCGAATTATTGTTCATCCTGTATTCAAAACTATCTATCACTTCACATGGAAAGTAAGCAATTGCCGTAGCAGAGGGTTCTCTTTGTTATTCATTTGCTGTTGTTGTCATAATCCTGTAAAAGATATTCGTGAGTAGCAATTAGAAGTAAAGAGTTTGGGGAGGCCTGAAAGAGGGATAAAATTATTTGGTAGCTTGATTATATAAAGAAGCATGCAGAGGGCACAACTAGGTTGATTAGACATCAATAAAAAATTAGACAACTGTAAACATTCAATTATGAAACAGGTCGGAATAATTGATAATAGAATTTTGACCATGTTTATTGTGGGTGTAAGTGGAGAATGTGACGGTCTTATAGATGTAAAATCAGGATAAGAAAAAGAATCTTCATCCTGTAAACACCTTTGCAGTACACGTTAGGCAGTAAAGGGAACGAAATGATTCTTCTTGGAAGAAATGGGTGGGCTAATGTGTAGTCGATCTCAAATTGTTCATAAATGTGAACTGGTTATAGTGTCAATGGGGATTTTGGTTTGATAAGTCATATCTTAAATAACACCTGTCAGGATTTTCTTGCCTCAATCTGAAGGCATCGCAACATATATATCAACGATTCCACAAAAGGAGATCAAATTGGATCAATCCCTGGAGGCTTAGGCATAGGCAGAGAAAGCAGAAGCATAGGGGGAGGTTTTCTCAGGAGCAAAGAGGTGATAAAATGAGGGATGCATCTTCTCTTGAACTACTTGAGAGCTAGAAGATTGGGATATCCCAACCTCATGTTCTAAATTCGTGCATGTCAAACTTCATCGTAAAATGGGGAGTGAGGTTGGAAGTGCATTAATGGAGTTTGTGATCTCGATTATAATTTTGGTTCGATAAACATATTTTCCAAATAATAGAAGAACATTGGTACTGTCCACTTTCGAGAGACGGTAGAGGAACATTTATAACTTGGAATGTGGTCAAAATAAGGGCTATTTTTTTTTTCCTGGTAAACAAAACTGATAATTTATCTTGTGGAATTATATGATAGTTCCATGACGAGCTTATTTCGGTTCATAGCATTTTTATTTGACAGTTTGTTCAAACACGAACGTCAAATAAAACTACCGGAGGAAGAGATGAAGTTCAGTGCCAGAAAAGCAGTAATATTGAAGTTATATAAAGGAAAATTGTGGAGGAAGGGAATTGCTTTTTTTATTTTTACGTTTTGGAAAGTTGAATACTCACTTATTATCAAATAACGAAAGGACAGTATGCTGAAGGGTGCCATGACTGTCTAGGCCATACTGAGGTTGACATCCCCAAAATCTCGTGCCTTCCCTAGTTTCAAAAATCTCACCTAGCCTTCGTTTCTTGTAACCAAATATTTTACCCGAGATTTCTTTTGAATTTGACCTCCTCACTCCTCTCCTATCTTATGATTAAAAGGACGTGCAGTAAAGATGCTAGGATTTTACGCTACCTTGAAAGGAAGTTGAAACTATTTATTAGAAATTGAGTTCCCTCACTACTGTCCTTTGAAAATAAAGCTTTTTTGTTAATTATCTCATGAGTCCTTAAGCTGGCTACCACAGGATTTGAAGCATGCAGAGTGTTCTTCCACTTTAAGGAGATATTATTGATGCTATCAGACATTGTATGCTTCTTCTATACTACTTCTGTTTAAGTACTTTCAATTGAAGTTCTAGATCCTCGATCCTGGTTTTTGGGACCACTAAGTAAACCTAAGTTTAAGGCTCTTAGAAATACCAGGATGAAAAACTAATAGAGAGATGGTAACATATGACAAAACATAATGACAGTTGAGAAAGGTTATCCTAAGGGAGAAAAAGTATCCATAAAAATACAAAAAAAAGGTTATCTTGAAGGTATTTGAGAAATGGGAACAAAATAAAGAAGGCGTTTTATCTCATTAGTTGATGACGAGGAGCTAAAAAAAGATGGCGGTAAAGAAAATTTTTAGATTTGATAAGATAATGGTAGAAAAGGGGCCAGATTTGGATGTAGGTGTGTTAAAGTGGCAATTAGAGACTTCTAAAGAAACGCAAGGAAGGTAAAGAGAGAGGGGAAAAAAAAACCTGAAGTTATTCTGATAAAGTTTGATGGATGCAAGGGTATTGTGGCTTGCTGCTGAATCGAAAGGACGCCCAAAAAGCAGTGGGACAATTAAAGTGGGAAGAAAAAAGACAGACTGCATCCCTAATTAAATGTGGAGACAGGTAGGGTGTGGTCTGTTAACACAATAGTTCTTTTATATTAATGGACAATTAGTTTTTGGTGACGAAACTGTTTGGGCAGGGGTGAATAATCATTATTTTCAAAAGCCTTCCAAATGATATTTGCCTACTTATGGATATAAGATGAAATTTTTTGAGGAACCTATTTTTAATGTTAGAATAACGTAGTAGAATAAAGCTTACGTAGGGCTCCATTTCTCCCATGAGATCTTTTAAGAGATTTGGATTTCTTGCTTTCTCAGAGCTTTTCTAACACCCTAGTCTTCTTTTAGCATTGTGACCTAAACTTGTGATGCCTGTATCCTTTGCCATCTATTTCCTGAAAAGTGTAGTCAGGGCGTATTTATGAAGGTCTGTTGTACCAGCCAACCTTGATTCTTGCCTTCTGATTCATACTGGAATTGAAGGTCTGTAATTTACTTCCATGTTGGAAACTCAACAATGAAATAGAGTGAACCAAGTTAAAATTGTTATAAGTCGCCTGGAATGAGCATTTTTTGGGTTGGGCTATGCCTTTTGGATTCTTCTTCAGTTAGATGAATAGTGTAAAAGGAAACAAAGAAGACGGGGGACAGTAATGTTGCAGGCTGCAAAGAGAAGATAATTAGATGAGAAAGAGGGTTGAAGAGTGAATTGCATAGAGAAACGACAAGAGTACCGGCGTGGCAGGCCTTGCCATTGTGTGCTGGTGTCCAGCACTGCCCCTTGCCACGTCGGGTTGGTGAGTTCACATTATTTTTTAAGACACAGTTACATTATCTCGAGGTCTCTTTTTTCGTAGTTTACATGATCTAAAATGTTTACTCTTAGGTCTACCTCTCTTAATATGAAAGACCAGACGCAAAATTCAAATTGCAATTGCAATAATCAGCATAATGGTGAAAAGGGGCTTACTGTGACTTGCTCTTAATTTTTTCCCAGACAGTATCTAATGTGTAGAAGCACTGGCTTCAAGTCCCTCTTAGTCACATTAATTTAGTTTTACAGATTTTGATTTCAGACATTTCTTTGCAGATTATAAGGTGGGGCCTTCGGATCCTTTATGATGGTGATTGTTGTAGAGAGTATTTTGTGGGCTTAGTGTGCGAATTCTCGTAACTTGTTGAACAGTTTTTTATTTAAAGGAAGGATGGTAGTAAGATGTTGAAATTTCGTTTTCCTAAAGATGTTCTTTTCAAAGAAGAGTCTTTCATAACTTACAAATAAAATCAAGCTTTCTTTTATTCATAGGTTTGGGATGTACGTCTTATATCTTATGATTTATATAAGTGATATAAGATGGATATTTGCTTTCATTATTGGTGACAGTTTATCTTTTATTACTTGCTTCTCGAGTGGAGGAGAATTTTTATATCTCCTGGTGGCGTTTGCCTTCTATCTGTGAAGTTCTCTGTTTAGTTGCTACTTTCGTATAAACTTTTCAATTTTCATGTTGCTGCCAACGAATTTTTTGCAATCTGAATGCAGTATGCTCTCTTTTGCCTCTCTTCTCTTTTGCAATCTGAATGCAGTATGCTCATTATATCTTGACATATCAGAGGTTCTTTTTTTTGATGGACGATGTTAAATTTTGACCTACATTGTCTTTTACTTTGGTGAAGTTGCTTTGACTGGCACACGGGATCTGCTTATCAAACATCCATCCGAGCTTAAACTGCACAAGGTTGCGGTAATTGAGAAGCTACGGGAGCGTATCTGTGACAGTGACAAGGCAGTCCGTGAAGTGCTGTATAACGTTTTGAAAACAGTGATATTCCCTCACATCAAGGAGGTATGTCTCAATCTTGACTTCATCATCGTAATCGTATTAATTATGGTGCATGCCATTTCTTAGTGCCAACAATCTGTAGTTGGCAAGATTCTATCAAGGATCTGAATCTTATAAGCGTTCCAATTGCCTGTCCTACCTGAGTTCGTCTCTGTTAGGTTGCATGCAATTTTGGTAGCCTTGGATATTAAATGATTGGTGAAATGTATCCTTGTGTAGTCTAAGTTGGTGCATCTAGGGGGCGAAGCATAATAGTTACCTAGTCTTTCGGAAGTGTCCACCATTGAGAGAAGTGGGCAAGTTTGATACGTGGATCATTTGATGGACATGAATTTTCTGAAGGAAAATTATTGATCAAAAGGTGAACGGAAATAAGCTCCCCAATTTGTAGCAATTAGAATCCATGTGACAAGGGCTAGAATTTAAGTGGATTGATGCGTGAGGATAACCCTGTCACTTCAGACAGCATATTTTAAAGTCATCTAAATCATTTGATTTCTAAAATTATAGAAGGGATTATTATCTTCTGGAAAAGTTGTCCCAATTTCATAAAGTGCTTTGACGTCCTTAACTAATACTTTTTTAGGCAGGATTTGATTCTGATCATTCATACCTAGTGTTATCTTGTTTATTTGTACTTGATATGTCCATGCCACGATGTCCTTTCTTTGGCTCCATCTAATATGGTTGCTATGTATATTTAGTAAAATGTGGTTTACCACATTAGACAACAAATATTCTTTCTTCTTTGCTCATGTAAACTGTTAGTACTAAATTCTCATGAGTCTGTCAAATATATTTTTTGTAAAGATGTTTTCTGAGTATTTTATTCAGTGATGTTTGTCAGCTGCATTTATACACTAGTCCTACGTATCCTTCTGTTTTGATTTATGCTTGGAACAGTTTTCTTTTTCTTATTTCTGCGAGTGGGTTTTTGCATTTTAACTACTAATATTAATTATTTTCCTCAGGAAATTACAGCCCCAGTTATTTCCTTGATGATGGCCTATGTGTTTAATGCCATGACACATTTGGCAATTGACATTCGAGTAATGGGCTTCAAATTTTTTCATCTCATTGTGCTGAGCCACCCATCATCCTTTTTGCTCTATGCTGAAAAGGTTGTTCTAAACATTCCCTGAATATTTATATTTTTATGAGAATTGTCCTCTTGTGCTAATTTCTGCTCTGCTGTTTTATCACTATGCTGCTATGCTATTTTTTTGTCCACAAGCCCATGCAATAGTACTTTGATTTACCTATTTTCGTGTGCATCTGTTGGGCATTTTTCTTTCCCATGCCCTTTTTATATTTGTATGATTGATGAAACTTTCATTACGCCTCAATGCAGCCCTGCTTCATCTGGTCCTTTAAGCATAAACATCTAGAAATTATGCCTTAGATGGAAGTTTTCTGTTTCACTGCGTTAATATTACTTTCCTTCTTAGTCAAATGGTGGTATTGATAGTATTTTCTATTGAAGTGTCTGTGTTTGGAAAATGGGCTGGTTTATGTGCTAAGGTTAAGCCAAGGGCTTAGGATTCAAGATAAAGATTCCTTCTCCTTCAGTGAAGATGCATTAATCGCAAAGGTGAATTCCTATATTTTGAAAGTTTGGGGATGTAGGGCATTTTTTTCCCAATGTAAACTACTTTGGCATTTGACCCACCGTTGGAATGGATAGTCCACATCTGTTTTATGAGTTTTTGGCTCTCTTTTTTTTGTGTTTTTCTCTGACCTTCTGCTAAAAATTATTAGAAGGTAGAGACTTGCCGCCCATGTTTTTCTTTAAGTAGAAGTTGAGGCTCCGTGGATTTAAAAAATGAAACAAAATTAGGAATAAGTAAATTGATTTTTTCATTCTCTCTTATTTTTCTTAGAATGAGGTACTGTTAGTTCTGATATGAGTACGAATAAGAAAACTACCTGGTTTGCTTATTATGTAGATTTAACATAGTGTCAACAGAATCTTATCAGAAAAAAATGTGCTCAGTGCAAGTAACGCATAGGAAAATCTTAAAGAACTCATATTTTCGGGTGATTAGTGTCTCCTTATGGTTTTCTTTGATCTTGTTACCACATAACAAAAACATAATCTGCAGCTCTTTTAAGTTTCTTATTTTTGTTGATACTGTGTTTGGACTTCTCTTTTCTGGGAATTATCTTGTTTTTCTCCTGTTAATGAAGTAGATGTACCTTTTGTCATTCTGTTAGATTTGTGTAATTTAGACACAAATATATGGATAAATAAGCAAAATGTTCATCATCAGTGCTTTTTGCTGGTTCTGGCGCATGAATATTTAATTTACTGATGCTTTTTACTTTTTTCAGGTTCTGGATTGCTATAGTGATATTATGAGAAACAAGCAGCTCTACCTGGAAGATAAGAGCAAAATCAAAGATGTGCTTGATGGGCTTCTTCACTGCCTCTCTTCTTTTGCTTTCAGCGAGAAGAAATTTGATTCACAGAATGAAGTATAAACTTCTGTCTGTATCAGCTTTTTTAATTCTTCTTTCTGAATATGCAACTTGGGAGGCACATTCGTTATAAGAATTCTCTTTCTAACTCTTGGTCTTGCTAATATTTGGCATTTGGATTGTTTTTTTCTGTCATCTAACCATCTAAACCAAAGAATGAAGTTGTGGCCTCTCAGAAATATTTGCCAAATATGCCCACTTGATTCTGTAGGAAAGTTTGAAATGGGTAGGACCTTTGCTATACGATGATGATTAAAATTACGGGATGACTGGAGAATGGTGTTCTGTGAGGACTAGCTTTGCTTGACTATCAGCAATTCTCGATAGGGAGTGCTTATAATTAGTTTGTATTTACAGATGGTGGGTTAAGAAGAGTAATGCAAGTGACATTTATCTAAAACACAGCTTTGGGGAGTTATGCAGCTTTCATATTTTAAAATCCTACTGTACCAAAACTTGATCAAATCACTTTATGAGGGGATAATGACTATCTGATTGGTATGAAAACAGATGATTCGAGATATTTTTTCTATAATAAATCGTTGTCTCAACTTGTGCAGAAGTTTGACACTAGCTTATGAATAAAATCTACGAAGGAGTACTTTTTTCTCTCAATTTTGGGATGTCAGAAAAGGAACTTTTTGGTGCATGTTGTTTATTCTGAACATCAGGCACTCACGATGCTCGTGAAACTATTGCATATTCATAACACCTCTAAATTCCATGGTTTCGTGAACCCTGGGTTGCTGACAAATCATCTCAACTTCAATTAGTTTTTATTGTTAGTGACCTGTTCGGAAAGTGGCCTTTTGCCAGTACTGTTAGACTAGTCATAAGCTTGAATCATGCAATGATGTGTGAAGGCCAATACCACGACGTCATAAGTTTTTCTAATTCAATCTATAGTTTTCATCACATCTGTTCTTGTCCCAGTCACTTTAGTCAATTAATTAAGGCTTATCCTTTTTTTTGGGAAAAACAAAATGGCATTACTGTTGTTTCATTCTAGATATGCAAGAAATAGGTGTGTAATATTGGGCCTCCGAGGTACAGGAGAGGTGACTCTATGGAGATAGGTTCACCTTGAATGATTGGTAGCTGGATACCATGGTGAAAGGTCCTGTGTCTTTTTGAACCAACTCGTCTGGCATTTATAGCAAATCACTTTAGAAGGCTTGGAAAATAGTAGGATATTATTGGACGATTTATTGTCGCATATATAAATGGCATTTATTTAACTTGAGTCCATGACACTAGCAAAGTGCAGTCCACAAAGTTCGAAGCTGGGGGAAGTAATACTAGGAGGTGGGGTTATAAGCTATAACAGTGAAGAACTCCACAAAAGGATAAGAGCCATGTTGCTGCAAACTTGTTACCCTAACTTGGCACGTGTATTCTATCATAATTCTTGCCCAAATTGGAACTTTGTGATTTCCGCAGGTTAGCTGCGAAAATAGAGCTGTTAACAATATCCTGATCACTCCCAAATGCTTCTTGAAGTTTTCTTTCCTCTATTTTCGACCTTGTGGTTCAGAGTGTTTTTGGCAGAGTAAGTTTCAGCAATCTAATTATATAAACGTCAGGAACGGTTTCTCCATTCAATCTGTTTGGGCTATATTGACTCCGCATGGGAATTTCATGAAATGATTTATTCTGACAGAGTCCACAAATTAGGGACTCACTGTTTCAAAATAAACTGAACAGTGAAGATAGTCATCACTGACATCAGCTTGGAATCAAACAGTGAAGATAATCTGACCTGTTGGTATTTTTATTTAACGAATTTAAAGAGAATGACATTTTGCTGTACTTCACATTTCCACCAAATTATGTATCCTCTTACTTCTAAGTGTTAACAAAGAATGCCACTTAGAGACACTCTTTAAGAATCCATCTTCCTATTATTCTGTCAAATCCCAGAAATGCTCGATCGACCTTCTCCAATCTTGAGAGACGGCGACAGGAAAAGAGGATGAACGGAAGAGGAGGATAGAAGAACATCTGTGGCCCCAAAACTTTGTTTTCTCGATCATGATTAGGGTTTACTACGGGGCTGGTATTTATGCGAGCCCGTACAAGGCTGAACCGGACCGGTCCAGGTCGGGTCGGTCTAGTTCGTAAGAACGAGGACATAAAGGAAAAAATAGAAGAAAGAAAAGATACATGAACCGAGGTAAACAAATATATCATATATTGACTCTATCCAATGAAACACTTGAATTTGTATCAGGGTTGAGTTTCTATGGTTTCATTAATTCCTTTATTTTCTCCATCAGTAGGTGCTCTTCTTATTTCAAACTTTGTGCGGCTTCAAACTTAAAACTCCTAGGAATTTCAACAGTATATATTTCTGTATATACAAACGCAATATTCTATGCATGTCTTTAACGAACTTGTAGGTCCGAAATCAGGTGTATTCCATTATTCGTGAGATCACATGAATCCGATTGAAATACATCATAAAAAATACGGGTTTTGTATATTTTACCACAACAAATCAGGTTGTCTACATTTTTTTCTTGTTTTTGACATACACCATTGAATAACTTGAATTATCTATGATCTTTTATTCATAAGATTTTGAAAAATTATGTCACATCTGCTTTACAAAAACAAAAGCAATAAAGAAACATTCTCATTCCTTTTATCATTGTGACAGGAAAATGCCACGTGGAGGCCTTTGCATGCTTTTGGTGTTGAGATGCCCGATGAACACACAGGTTGGTGCAATACTGTATCCATCTATGGACTTTGTAAGCTAATTTCAAGTACTTTGGTTGTATTAATTCTATTCGTAGTCCTTTAACGTACAAGCTTAAAACATAACAAGTCTGTGATTTACAAGTTTATATCAGCATATTGTTTGTTTGATCTATATGACATCTATATTCAGTCTTTGCGTAGGTTTTGAATTCCCTTTTGAAATGTTTTTGGATATTGATCAATGAAACATGTCTGCAATGGACATGCTCTTTCTCATTGTCATCATTTAATGGTTTCATTAACCTGTAGGTTGGTTGGTAATTTATTTCCTTTTCAGAGATCTTTCCCTTGGACAGGGTTGTGTGCAGCCAAGAAAAGCTGTTTTATGACCTGTACACATCCCATTGTGTTTTATTTATAGGAGTTGAAACCATCATTAGGCAAACTACATTGTTAAAATGGGGTAATTAATGACCAAATGACAAAAAAATGAAAAACTACAGGACCTGGACTATTGTTTTATGATCTGCGCACAACCCATTGTGTCGGATTTATAAGGCACGAAGCCATCATTAGGCAAATTACATGTTAAACTGGGGCCTTTAATGAACAAATGATGAAAAGATGAAGAACTACAAGGAACTACAGGGACCTGCTACATTCATACTGCGTTGAATCCTGAGTAGCATCTGGATATCTCAACAAACTAATTTTGGCAATGATGCTTGTTTTTGAATATTTTTCAGGCCTTGATAGATTGAGAGCCTTTACTCAGTAAATCAGATTGATAGCCTAGCATTCATAGGCTCGTTTTTTTCGAAGTCTGTATATGATGCTTTAGAAGTGTGAGCACTAAATTTTTAATCCTTTGGAAGAACACTAGGTCTGAGGCGATTTCGTTCTGCTGTGTCTTCTAATTTTAATGTCTTACACTAAAATGACACATGTTTTGTTCTATGTCAGATGGTCATATAGTTTATTTCATCTTAATCTAAAACTGGACAATTTAATCTGTGCGCTTTTTGCGGTTGATGTTTTATCGTCACTGTGACCAAAGACGCCAACCCAAGTTCTTAATCTATTTCAAATCTCTACTGATGCATTTTTGAGTAGTTCCTTATTTTATGTAGTGTTTAACATGTGCTGCCTGTAAATTTCATCATGGCATAGGCAGGTTTTCATTCTTATTAAAAGGCCATGCTCTAACACATTTCTCCCTCCATTATCTCAATCTTAGGTCTTTCTTCAATTAGGAACAAACTCGAAGCACTACTGTCACTTCTCATCCACTGTTTCCAAGAGTTCATCGCTACCGTTCATGCAACAAGCATGATCGATGCACTATCATTTACATGTATGTCGTCTATACTTCAGATTATCAATTTGCTAGTCAAAGTTTCCTTTTCTCAGAGGGATCAGCAGGCCAGAAGCTTTGGGTTGTCTATTCCACCAATTATCAAAGACCACCATGCGGGTAATCATAGTGCACATATTTCCTTGAAGAAATTATGGGAAGTTTTTCCTATTAGTTCAGTGCATCAGTCTTTAGAGAAGGTTAGTTCTCTGATTATTTTTATTTTGACGATTCGAGGTCATTTTTAAAGAAGATTAAGAGATATATATCAGTATTGTTTTTAATCATTTTGAAGACTGTTAATGTAAGTGGCCTTTTGAGTTCCGTCTAATGAGTGCTTTGGATATATACTGCTTTTTTTCTATGTAGCAGCCACATCCTAATTTTTGACGAGCCAATTGAACAATTGTTCTGATTTCTTCTTTAATGTGTATAATCTCTCTGGAGCTTCACATCAGATTCATTATTCTAATTGGAACTGAGACTACTGGCGTTCTGGCCTTCACTTTTTTCTGCTGCCATCCTCTTCTGTTTGTAATTGACAGAACTGAACAAGCCTTGTATTTATTGTAATGAATTTCTATATTTATACCTGTATCATTGGGACATTGGAACACATCATGCTTGGAGATTCTGTGAGCAATCCAAGCCTTCCACTTGTCAAAAGATAAGCTTGCGGTAAATCCTCGTCCATTAAATACCTTTAAATTGTCAAGTAATAATTATAAGCCGTCTCCAAATTCTTGGCATTGTCCTGGATCCTTCGACCTAATATCTGGAAAATTGGACCATGGTGTTTTACATCTTAGAGATATGGAAGCTTTTCATAACTGTGTATTGTGTAGAATCTAGGGCAAGGAAATGGAGGGTTAACTCTGGTAGTTGCATGGTGGCAAAATTCTCCAAAATGTTGGAGATGGATGCATATTTCTTAGGCAATCCCTCATGTTCGATGGACTTTGCTTATTTTTGGAATTTTTTTGGGACTACACTCTGGTTGTGATGCCTTAGCTTCTTTCGTGAATGGAAAGAGTCTTGATTTCAGAGATACCTTTCTTTGCCTATTCCATCACTAGTAGAATGCAACTCGGGTAGCTTCAGTTAGATGTCTAGGCCGGCATCTATAGTGCCACTTGTATTTTTTGTCTGTCAGAATGCGGAGACTGCTCAGGATTAGGAGAAAAACAAATATTGTAGAAACCTGTAGAAAACCCGATTAGAAACCATATCAACCGATACGAAGCCTAATAATGCCTACTTCTCAATATTAGCATTCCATTCATCATGATTCCTCCCCTGTAAAAAGATCTTTGACTGAACAACGTGAAGAACGTAATCTTTTCTAGGTCCAATCTGCAGGACCCGAATGAAGTATAATTGTCAGCCTCCTAAGCGGAAAATTCTAATGCCTCATCACCTGGATGATTATAGGGCTTTCTTGAATTTATATCAATAGGAATCTTTTTTGGACATATGTGCGTGTCTATATTGATACTTTTCGAATGTCATTTATGTTTTTGTCCTTTGTGGTACTGTCGAATTAGATGTCTGTGTCGTTTCTATTATGCTGAACTATTGACATGATGCTGAATCTGTTGATCTTTTATGAATTGCCACCAGATGTTGCAGTCTAACTGATACCGTTATGTAATGTTTTTCAGGGAGATAACAGATATTTCATCTTGAACATTATGCTTGCTCAGATTTTTTTTCATCTCCCTAAAATAATGGATGATACCACATTTTTGAAGGAGAAGTTTCTTGAATTCATAGAAAGGCCTCTTTGTTGTCAGGTACCTCCATGTGCTGTATTTTTTCCTTGTCTTAGGAATCTCGTGTAGTTTGGGATTGTAACCGCGCAGAACAGTTCTAAATGCATAACAATATGCTATCTTTTCTGTCTCGCTGCATAGCGTATGTGCATCTGTACTTCTCATCATTATGGTTACCAATGCCTTGCTTACTTTGTTTACCAAGCCTATGTATTGTTCACTTGTAATTGGTTTCCTTGGCTGGTATTGTAGACTCTATAACGAGACGTAGAGGTGGCAGTGGCAATTACAGACACTAGGAGAGGTCGCTGTTCTTGTTCAATTCTTGCAGGCATCAGCACTCCTTTTATCACTCTAGTTAGGGAACCCACTTAGCACTACATAAAGAGAAAAATGCTCATGACGTAAGTCCCAACCGAGGTTGTCCTGTGAGAGCGCTGTTTGACGTAAGAGATTTTAAGTGGGGACTAAAATGGCCTCTGCCCTCGTCATTTTTCTTTCTACACTCCCCCTGAAGCAGAATCTCTATTATTTTTGGCTTGCTCCTTGAAGATTTGAAAATTCCTTCCCCATACCCTTGGTGAAAACATCAGCCTTATCATCCTTGATTGAACATTAAATCAACTACCCTGTGCCCAGATTTTCTTGAATGAAATACTTGTCCATCCTCTTATGTTTTGTATGATTATGTTACACTGGTCTTTGGCTCAGCTGACTGCAGCTATACTGTCACGACATAGACCCATTTGTAGTTTTACTGTCATTACAATATCCTTCAGGAAGATCTTTAACCAAAGTGTTGCAAATTTCTACTTCGATGTAGAAGTAGGTAGATACATTCAAGATATGTTCCTTCAGATAAGCAATATGCTTCTGGGAAATTCAGTGCGAGAAAAAGGAAAAAAGCATATGGAGTGTCTTCCTCATTATGTCAAAATACTTGCTGAAATGCTCTTCCTAGGTGGGAGATTTCTACAAAATGATCCAGAAGACTGACTAAAACCAAGAGCAGCATCAAAGCGCAGGGAATTATCTTGGGAGCTTGCTCCAGCAAATGAGGGAGAATATTACTTTATGAATGTTGATTGCAAGGAATTTTTTTTCAGAAATTCATGCCAGGTGTTTTTGTCTTGTGAACATTTCTACTTAGTTACAGCGTAAATACTAGGTCAAGGGGACTAGCTTAATAACCCAGGTTTTGTCCGTTGTAAGGTTTTAACTGGCGAGTCGGGCCTTTTTGATTGCGGATCAGATTTTCACACCAGTGAACTCTTCAAGCTTATTGTGGTGGAATAAACTGACTATGCAGATTGATTGGGTACTCTGTGCCATTTAATACATGTGATGGTCAACTTGAAAGTGTTCGAGTAACTCGACACAGCTTAGAAGACCTTGTCTAGCTTTTGATTACTATCAAATATAGATGGTTAATCAGTAAAACAGGTGCTGAATATCGTGGGTATCAGGTTTTGAGGACCAATCTGAAACTTAGAAACAATTTTTTTTCCCACTTGCCATAACTTTTTCTAAATCTACCTAAATAACTGATCAATAGGTCTGATGTTTGAACAAGCTGGAAAGTTTCTCAGCTCAAAATTTCTTCTCCTTGCATTATGGAGGCTGCATATGTAGGTGACTTCCAGTAGATTTTGAAGCTTTATTAACAAATAATATTTTTCAGACGGAAAATAAATAAAATACTCAATCAGAGTTTGCATACAAAAACAGATAAATCTGAATGCCTGCTTCTAGTCAGTTCATTTCAATTGGGTCTTGGGTTAAGGGAGCTTATGCTTTCACATCCTGTAAGGTGGCAGCAGCAGCAGAGCAGTCAATGCAGGCAGAAGTGGAGAGAAAATATGGGTGGATATGTCATGGAAGAAGATGGCAGTACGTGCCAGATATCCCTCATCTGGTTTTTTTTTCCCCTCCACCTTTGACTCTCTGTTTTCTTTCTTCTTCTAGTTTCCTTCATTTTCCCTACTTACGAACATTAGCTCAAGCAGCTATAGTGGGTCACTGGTTTCAGCCACATTGTGTTTGGAATCTGAGCGGGAGGAAGAAAGGAGAGAGGAAAAGAGGGAGATGCCGTGGCAAAGTGTGACCAGGGGACATAGAAAGGGAAGGACGAGGAAAGAAGGGAGAGTGAGGAATAAATGAATGAAGATGGGAGATTAAAGGAGGAAGGAGGCTGCTGTCTCTAGACATGGAAAACCGAGGACGAACAGGAGAATATTGTTGCTATTACCCAATTCAGGATTTTGGCAACTAGTTGTATCTGGATTGGCCAGGTCAAGATGTGTAAACTCAGGTTTATTTGGGTAGCATTATTTATGATCTATGCAGTCACATAAACACACGAGCTTTTTTTAGTCATATGGTAAGTAAGTGAATTTATTGATAAAATAACATGGTGGGAAACAGATAGATGAATATATGAATGCATCGCTATGCCAAGTTATTCCATAATCATGGTGTCCTCTTTTTTATTTTTTTCCCTCATGCATTCCATTTGTTGCATTGGTGTGCAGAGGACTAGAAACGTAATCAGTTTATTTTTGCAGGTTAGTGGCAATGCAGAGTCCGGTGGGGTGATCCAAGAAAAGTACATAATTTCTCTGATCGAATTCATTCCTGGTCTGGTGTCACAAATGATGGGATACTGGAAAGCTCGTCTTCTACAGGTTTTTAATGTGCTTTATCAATTCACTAAATCCTGTGTTTTCTTTTATTTCCTGAGAGTTGAACGGTAATGAATGGGGGTCTCTTTATTTGCTGATAAAATGATATCTCGTTGATTGGAATATACAGTTTTGAAGACTGTTCTCGGAGTATTATGCAATATAATTTTGGCAACTTTCCTGTTCATAATTTTTTCCTTTTTCTCCTTACAAGAAGTTAAAGTTCTTTTTTTTTTTTCTCTTTCATTGGCAGGCCTTTACCGGTGTATTTGAAAACTGCAGAGTGGACTCTAAGCTAATGTTCGCCTGTCTATCAGCACTGATGCAAATGCTACTGCCTGTGTGTTTCTTTCTCGCAGTTCTTCCCATGCTCATAGCTGGACATAGAAGTTTCGAATTCATAATCATTTTCCCATCTTATTCTGTTTAGAGACATGTTCAAAGCGTTCAGTCATCAAGCTTCAATTCCGAAGAAATGTTATGCTATCAGGTTGTTTGGCTGCGCAAGCTGCCAGAGGTTTTGCTACAACTAGGCGATAAACATCCTTCTGTATCAAAGGTACGATGCAAACCAATTGTGGCGCAGGTTATTGTCATTGATACTCTTTCATGAACTCCCTTGCCCTTTATCAATTCTGTAGTAAGCACTTTGATCATTTATTGATCACTTTTGACTATATAATCTTAGCACTACTTTTTTCTGTTTTTTAATCAGCAACAATTGACAGCATTTCTGTGGAGTTTTAGACCGGTGACCTTGCTTCAAACATCTCATACATCTGTCTGGACTATCGAACATGCAAATCCGCCATTTGATGCCAACACCCATCAATCCTTATCTTTAGTTGGGACAGAAGCGAGAGAGAATGGGATTAAAGGAAACAACAGGTGGCCCATGTCAGAAAGCGATGTACAAGGTGGAAACGGGAGATCAGGGATAGCAAAACGAAAGGAAAGTGAGGAATGTGGTGTGCGGTAATGGGAGTGGCGGGATGGACCTGAGAGAACGAGGATGGGGAATGGATCTCTGACAGTGGAACTGGCTGACGGGAAAGGATGGGAAGGAAGGATAAGGGGGATGAAAGATAGATCAGGGACTGAGGAAGAGGAACAAAGCTGGTTCCAAGCCCCCAGCTAAATGCTGCTGTGCTTTTTGAACTTGCCAAGATAGTGGGGACAGTCTGACTGTAGCACTTCTCTGTCGAGTCAAAGGGTCATGGGCATGGGATTGATCTTCTCTGCGGCTCTTCATTTTCTTTGATTCTGAATCTTGTCAATATGAGCACGATTTTCATGTTGTATTTCAAAAAGTGTACTGACAAAGTTTTACAAAGTTTATTTCTGGAAGATTGTAAATTTGATGTTGAAATTATTCCATTTCAGTTTTCCCTTCAGAATATTCTTATAAAAAGTTCTTTTATGCAGGTTATTCTGGAGATCCTACTGCGTGTTGGCCAGAGTTCCATGCGTGACTCTCCTCTTGCCCTAGAGTATGACAATTTGCAGTTCACGTTGCGAGACTATTATAGTACAAATGATGACCAAGGTATGCATGGCAATCTGTATTTTACTTTTTATGATATTATTTCATTTTCCTTCCTATCCCCATGGTATCTACATAGTACCCATCCTAATGGTTAACTGCAAGTCCTTGCTATATTCCCTTGATAAATCAGCTTTTCTTAGTAAATATGGCCTTCGCATGAGTAACTTATCTTTTTTTAATAATTTCCTTTGTTTGCAGGGGTGAAACAGTATGGTCCTTTTGTCAAACTTCCAAAAGACTGCCAGGATATTGCTATATGCGGCATATATTACTTCTCAAGTTTAAATTTGCCATTGCTTGAGTCATTGGCCTTTTGTTGCTTATGTGAGTAAATATCATCGTTGACCTTCATTTCTTCATGTGATGCCTGTTGATCTGTTGTGGGATGTAGAGAATGTGCTAGAAATGATATTTAGTTTATCAATAGCTCTACTCGCACTTTTTTTTTATAATAAAAATCACACTGGATCTCCCATTATTTTTTTCTCAACATTATTTTTATTTTCAGTTCCTTTTCCACATACTTCAAATAGTTGTCCAATCTAACCCAGAATCGGATGGTCTAGATTAGCATTTCCTGTAGCTGTCAATTTCTTCTAATTTCTTGTCAAAATGCTAAGATGGTAATGATATGACTATCATTGGTTGTACCTGGTCACTGGTTTCCATCTTACTGTTAACTTCTTTAACATATTAACAGGGTATGAGATATTTCAGATGAATTGTGCATATTCTGCTTTTTAAGAGGGGGCTTGAGTTGTACTTGACCCAGGAAAAGTGATATACAGACTATGGCTTGGCAATAGTCCAATTTGCCTGATTGTGTTCCTCCCAAGTGGGACATGCTGTCAGTAGTTCCTTATGGGACTCGAGTCTTAGGGATGGTTTCTGGGGCACCCTTGTTGGCCATGATCCTGAGAGACTCAAGGTGTCAGTCAACATGCACGCTTTTCCATTTCAGTGGTCGCATTGCTTCTCTTTCATTGCCATTTTTATGGAGCACTGAGTGCTGTATTAAACATTTTTGGATCGTGTACCATACACATAGTTTGTTGGCTTAATCTGGTAGAGACTTGCAGCAAGTTGTATGAATCTCTGCAATTTGACTCGAACCTGTTCAGTTCCAGACTTCTGGCTTTCACTTGCAACCATTGCTCAGCCACTGCAAATCCCTTCCCACTGCCCATCTCTAAAGAAGAAGAAGAAGAAGAAGAAGAAGAAAAAAGAAATCTACTTGCATCAGATTGTCATTTAACGTAATTGCTTGCCTCTTATCATTGCCTCTTCCTCTCTTCTTGTCAATCATTGGATTTGTTTTACTATTATGTTTCCCAGCTCCCGTGCTCACCACTTCCCTTATGCTAAATCAGTTCACTGTAGCCCAGGCCTCGTAAGGTTACTTGATTTGTGACAGTCAATGGAGTTATTTATTGTATGGCATATGGTATTTCTACATTTTGGAATTAGATATTCCAAGGGGATAACTAAGTGTTTAAACCTTATTGACCAACCTCTGAATCAGATACTTCAGAGGTTAGTCCCCGAGGTTGCCATCCTGACTTGGGAAACCGAAGCATATCACCTGCATTTGTGTTGATGCACAGCACTGTGGTAGGTCCCCCTCTTTCCTGCGAATCAGACGAGAATGGACATGCAAGCAGGAACGAAGATAGAATGGATAAACACGGAATGTCTGGGCTCTCACAGGAACCCTAGAACAGGTGGGATCATTCAAGAGGGCCTGTTCTCACTCAGCTAGAGCTGCCCTAGAATACTCCTCGATCCCCTTTCCCTCTAAGCCCTAATACTTCTTTTCCTTGTGTAAGGAGAAGACCTAGCTTCCCTTCATAAATTCCTCACTTGAAGGGATTGTTTGGTCCTTTCGAGAAGGGGTGCTGGGTCCTTTGGGCCTCATTTCTAGGCTGATAATAGTTAGGCCCACTGGGGGGCTAACAGATTGGAGTGATGCCACCTTGTACCGTTAATGCTGATGCTGTGCTGATGTACCGTCAATGCTATTCCAATCTCATAATTTCCTTCATGTTCTTCGTCTCTGGTACCCTTTTGCATTGTCGCTACCAATTTCGTCGGGGTTCTGAGAAATTATAGTTATTTTGTGTGCTATTTAATTGGTGCACCTTTCTTGATAAAGTTGGTGGCCTATGCCACTCTACCCATATATTTTATAGTGGCCTAAACACTGTGGTACTGGAACATAAATTCCTCTTTGTATCATCAGTTGTCTTTGATTTTTGCTTCTATAGCTTCATATACTTTTTGGTAACGAAGTTTGCACTGTATCCCTTGTTGTCCGTGCGTTTGATTCTAGGTTCATTTTTGTGTAAGAATATATCTTTTCTGTCATCCATCACGTTGTTCTATTTTTTGATATAGGTGATGACTTGGAACCAACTGTACGAATTAGGATTCTGGAGGTTCTGCACTCAGCATACAAATCCGGACATGTGAAACTCGCAGACCATATAGGCTTCTTGGTCACTATAGTTGCACGCTTCAAAGTCTCTCCAGGTTTATCTTTTCTTCTTTCTACTTCTTGGCTGGTTTTTTTCTTTTTTCAGTATATAGTTGTGGCGATGAATTGGCAGTTATTTCCTTGTGCAGTTAGACTTGAGAAAGGATATTCCAATCTGGTCCTGTGCTCTTAAGATTTGACATGAAGGCAATATGTGCTCTAATGAGTTGTTGCCTTTTTTGTTTTCAGATAATCTCTGTATGCCTTGACAGTAGCACATCATGCTCATTGAAACCGACTATTAATCATAACCTAGGATAATAAGCCAGTAAAACACGAGCATAATAATTGAGAACTGCTCATCAGTATCTTGAGTCATGCTAACTGTCACACATGTAGGTTGAGAATCAAGAGAAAAACTATCTCGGTTGATCCCACCAATCGTTATAAATTTGTATTTACCTGGTACTTGTGTGTGATGGATCAAGGGGCCATTTTTCCCATGTGGTAAACTCATCCTCGTGCTTCTGTGGGAATCTTTTGCTTGTTTGTGTTTTATTGCAGGTTATGTTTCCTTAGCCTCATATATAAAGGAGCATCTACTCTCTTGTACACAGTCAACCTCATTTGACTTGGTAGATTCTGTTCTACTATAGATGTCGAATATTCCAACTACATGCAAAATTTGTAGTAATGTGTGCGTGAGTGTGATACAGTACCTCTCAAGACATATGTTTGTCATAAGCGAACAGTTTAGAACCTTCTGTACTGAATATTAGGGAAGGAGCGGGCTGAGTGGTATAAATACCCCCTTCCTGTGAATAAGAGAGAGTATCATGGTAGAAGTGACACGAGAGAGGGAGAGGGGGGAATTCTCTTGAACTAATTCCCGTTTGTTACATTGTCTTCTTTATTTTCTTGAATCTATTGAGTCTTTTTCCCTTCTTTGTCTAAGAGGAGAGGAGGGGATCGTATCAACTAATATCAGAGTTAGATGCAGAACAATCCACTGTAGAATCAAGGAAGCATGGGATGCATTGAAGATAGATGCATTGTAGAATCATGGAAGCATGGGATCAAGATTTGCCAAAAATCGACTGGAGGCATTGAAGATAGATGCAGAACATATCAAGGAAGAACAACAACATAATAGGGAGGAACTACAGAAATCAAAGTTTGAATCGGCAAATCTGCTACAAACGTTCCTTCAACGAATGGATGAGACGTTTGACGAAGTCAAGAACTCTGTCAGTGAAAAGCTCTTAGCATTAGAAACGAAGGCTCCAACTGTAAGTATAGCATCTTGATCGGTCTGGAATTCTCCACATAATGAGCAATAAGAGAGAATCAATCCACGACCAGAGGTACAAACGTTTGTGCCGACTCCAAATCACATTTCAGATGAAAATTGACAAATAAAGAAAGGAGATCTTAGAATCTTTTATGGAGGCAATCTTGAAGGATGGCTCCGATGTGTAGAATGATATTTTGGGATCAACAAAATACAAGAAGAAGAATGAATGGAAGTAATCAGCTTAACTTGGATGATATGGCTTTGAAATGTTACATTTGGATGGAAGATTGATATCTGTTCAATAATTGGAACTTCTAAATCGGAAAACATGTATGACAGTTTCTTGATTTTAAGCAAGGAAGATTAATATTTGATTATAGAGAAGAATTTGAACACATATTCAGTCCAAATTATCCAGAACTAAACCAGTGGAATTATTAAAAATTATGGACGCTTCATTAAAAGCAGAGAAGCACACACATTGTGCGAAGCATGGCATATCAGTCTACCAAAATAGACAATAACAGAGACGCATTCAATATTTGGCTATACTAAGAACAATAGGATTGTCAGTGTCAAGAGAAATTCATGTACGAAACGATAAGAGAAGGTTTGATTCTCCCTGCAAGTCAACAACTCAACATGAAACAAAGAAAATAAGGGTAGAAGCCATACCTTTCTAAGGTAGGCAGAGACAACAAATTCAATTAACAGATGTTGAAGTTAATAAACACATGATTAAGGGCTTATGTTTCCATTGTGATGACAAATATGAGCCTGGTCATCGTTGCAATGAGGAAGAAACATTACTTACTACATATGTATCATTGAATTCGGTAGTTGAACTTGCACAATTAGGATCAATGAGGTTAAAAGAAACCTTGCAAGCATGGTAGATTGTGGGCCCACACATAATTTTATGTGTGAGTCTATTGAAGGAACTTGGATTACCTATAAATGAATTCATGAACTATGAAATCATTATGGGTAATAAACACACAGTCAAAGGCTATGGTAATGCAAAGATGTTACTTTACAATTACAAGGAGTGACTATTACTCAAGATTTCTTGTCTTTGTAATTGGGGAGGGCGGACCTCATACATGGCATATAATGGTTAGAAACTATAGGATGGATGCATGTGAATTGGTGGCTACTAATCATGAAATTCGTGGTGGATGAAAAAGTAAAAACTCTAAAAGGAGATGCAAGTTTGTCAAAAGTTGTTATTTCATTGAATGCTATGGAAAAATTAATTAGGAAGAAAGATTCATTTGGTTGGAATCAAGTCACTCAGAATGCTTTTGATCAACCTTGGAATGCAATTCCTACCACCCCAAATCCTTATCATAGGTGGCTGGTCAAACTAATGGGCTTAAATTTTCAAATCAGATTTGAAGAAGGGAAGTAAAGTAAGGTAGCAGATGTTTTGTCTCACTTCTGAAGTATGATAGAATTATAGAAAATGTTGGTCTCACATTTTCAACTGATCAATATCATTAAGATCAATGAGGAAATATCATTAGATCCAAGGGCATTGGGGCCCTAGGATCATGTTCAACCACTTCCTCCAAATTTAACACAGGAGCTTGATTGGAGAATGGTGCCAAAGTTATGCCAAGCAGTTCAGCCCACAATTGTAGGACCAGAGGTCCTCATCAAATGGGGAGGCCTACCAAATTTTGAAGCTACATGAGAAACATCTTCAGATATTATACAATGGTTCCTTGACTTCCACCTCAAGGACAAGGTAGATTTGAACGGGGGGAGTACTGATACAGTACCCCTCAAGACATGTTCAACATAAGCAAACAATCTAGAAGCTTCTATGTAAACATTAGGGAAGGAGCGGGCTGAGCAGTATAAATACCCCTTCCTTGTGAATAAGAGGGCGTATTGTGGTAGAAGTGATATGAGAGACGGAGAGTGGGGAATTCTCTCAAACTAATTCTTGCCTGTTACATTGTTTTCTCTATTTTCTTGAATCTATTGGTCTTTATCCTTTCTTTTTCCAAGAGGAGGGGATTGTATCAAAGTGTCTTCTCTCTCTCTCTCTCGCTCTCTCTTTGTTGTCAATTTTCTCTCTACATCATTATAGGGCTTCAAAAATTTGTGGTGAATTTTCTTATTTTTCTGTTTTATCTTTAGGTTCCTTTGGCACAATCCACATGCATCAGGTTATTGTCAACTCAGATCTTAGGAAATCCCAGGAAATCAATCAACAAATTTCGTTATTACATAATAAGTGAGGGGGGGGGGATTAGTTAAATGTAATTACTGTTTTATCTGGGATCACTTTGGTCCCTGGGCGAATCTGATGTTTCCAGGTGCTGGTAGGGCGAATTAGAAGGCTAAAAGAGTCTACAAGTAGATTTGGAAGAAGCTTTGGAATAAAAGTATCACGTTTTGTTGGTTAAGGCTTTAGTGGTTTCTAAGCTTAAACCGCCAGAAATCACATTCTTGAATGGAACAGAGAGTAGATGGATTTCGGGAGATTGATCTTTGGATTTCCTGATTATGTTGATAATATTAAGTTGGAATGAAATGCAGGAATTATGGACCACGTGAGGATACTGGTTCAAATGGGTTCTGACATGAGTTGAGTAATAGAAGTATGGATAGGTCAGAGTTTTCAGGTTTGATTTGTATCAGATCCTAACCAAGAAAGAGTGGAACATGGTTGGGTAACGATTGAAGGTTTCCTTTTCCGTCATTATCTGTATGGGAAGACGACTTTTATGTCTCAGTTCTTCTCTCATGTCAGTTTTCTTTTAGAATTTTCAATATTCCTGTTATTTATATATTAGAAGAGGTAAATGTGAAAATAATCAGCCAAAAATCTGTCTTCTTGTTGATGTGACCACTATTTTCCTTGCAGAGTTTCATTTGGATGGTGAAAATCGAGGAAAGATCTCAAATCGTGAAACATTCCGCTTAATCTCTGAGGCAGTTTTCTCTTGCCTTTCTGAGATGGGTGACCATTCCTTGGTTTTGAGGTTATTACAGAAAATCACGCTCGAAGTGATGGTGCTCACGTGACTACTCCTTTGTTTTCTTGACTTTTTAAGAATATTTAAAAGTTTTTTAACAATACTGAAAAAGATAAATTATTTTGATTTTCAGTCCATGAAACCACATCTTGATAACATGCAAAGTATGCTGAGGATGATCATCCTGCTGGACTCTACATTGTCGACATTTGTGGAGGAGGCTATTAGCACCCTTGGACAAAATATTGCCACTTACCTGATTGATGCTTCTTGTGTACGTTGTCATTTAGTAGAACCTTGTATCAGCAAGTCCTCTGTACGTCATCTCATAGTGTTAGATTGATTACTTATGCGTATCTGAAATTACTTTTTGTGCAGTACATGCCAGATAAAATCAATGCTACTGGAGATGACGAAGTGTTCCTCGTATATCAGTTCTATGCCAGACCATGTATTGTTCTCTTCTTAAGGAGCGGCAGACTTTTGCACGAGGTTCTCAAATCATTGGCTAGTCCCAATTACAATTTTGAGCCAAATAAAATCCACGCTGTTGCTTCTACAATTTTATTTATTCTAAAGAATGAGAAGCTCCGTCGTAATCTATCTTCAAGTGAAGGAGCCATAAAGAATATCTTGCATAATATATCCATCCTACTGGTAAGAACTGATTGTGTTGCCGGAGTAACATCTCCTGCTTTGCATTTGTTCCTTAAGTCTTATGCTTATGAAATACATGTATTTTCCACATGTACCCGATATTTAGGGAGTATCCTGGTTATATTAGGTAAGCTACTTGGTGAATGTCCTAATTAGCCTAATTATAATGACATCCTCAACTTTTTGATCCTGATGATAGTTTTCTTATAGGATTACTTGTCTTGTTGAATACATAATGTGAAACCACCCGAAGGTTGTCATGCATATTCTCTCTTTTGCTCGTAGAGCCTGGTCCGGATTACTCTGAACTACGAGAAAAGCTTGGTTCGCATTTCAGAAACAAACGGCTAAAAAAGATCTGCTATTCGTTACATCAGTAGCTCGTGAACCTGGGAACTTTTGAATTATTAATGTTTTACTGGTGGTATATTGAATCCCCTGCACAGTTGATTATCCTTGATGGATCGTGCTCTTCTGAGAAGGTGGCATTAATTGATATCCTTGGTGGATCGTGATCTTCTGAAAACGAAAACTTAAAACTCCTTTGCGTTCATTTTCAGCATTAATTGTGCACATCAGTTTTGTTGATATCCTTTTTAGTACTAAATGATTTGCATGTTCCTCTGGTTCTGTTGTTTTTTTCTTGAGTTCGTTAACTGCTGCAGCAAAGTTGTTCTTCGGACTATCTTGCTGTTTTATTTTGTTTAAGTTTCATCAAATTTTTTACCATGAACTGACGATGGCAATTTGCATAGTCCGAGAACAGAAACACCATGGTCTTTGAAAAGAGGTGCAGTTTGCAAAATGTGTTTCACCAACTGCAGAACGAAGCTTCTATGATTCAAAGGCTAGTGGAACGTGGACAGCGTGCCTGACGGATTTCAGGTCAAGTAAATTCATAACGTAAGCTGTAGGTCTTTTTCTTTCCTTTTGAGGTTCTCCAGGGCCCACCACTTAAATCTTCCATTGGTCAATTCTTCTCAGTTGCTATCACTTTCCTCTGCTATTTACCAAAACAGTCAAATACTGAATGAAATTTGAACATTCATTCCTTCTTCTGCTATTTAAATGCTTCTAGTCCATGCCGAAATGGGAGCCATTCTTCTTTCATTTTTGCAAAATTCTTCCATTTATGTTTTCTTCTGTTGGGTCGATCACGAAAACCTATCCTTTTACTAGCCACCCAGTTTCTTTCTTCCCTGGTAAATTATAGTCTTGTAAGGTATATTTATGTTATTTTAATTGAGTTCCTCGTCCCTTTTTCAGATGTTAGGGGGACAGCAGGATACAATTGCACTTCTATCAAGCTATGATAGAAGAAAGTTCTAGAGAAAATGAAAAGGTACTAGAAGCATGGTGAGAGGCAGATCTCATGGCAATCCTCCCTTAGTATACCACCATGCTTCTCAGTTCATCTCATTGCAATGATCTCCTTGTGAGGACTCTTGCGTCCACCTGCTAATCAGATTCAGGACGAGACGAAGTCCTTCCCTAATATACATATAGATAAATAGATCTCAGTCGAGGATATCCTCACGAAATTTTGATGTAGGATTTTCCCCTGTAGTCGTCCTCTCATTCTAATTTTCTCTTTTATCCTAAATCTGATGGGGGTTTGAGCGTTTTTTTCAACACTGATGTGCTCATCCCTGTTGGGTTTGTGGTCAGACGAGTTCCTTAGTTCTGTTCACAGTTGTCTTAGCATTTTGTTTTCCAGTCTTAGCAACAAAATGCTAAGGGAGTATGGTTATTTTGTAGTCCAACTTATTGCCCTGCTAAAGATCATTTTTGTGGTAAAAAGATAAAGGTGCCTCAAAATGATTACTTCATCTGTTTACTGCACTAGTCGACTTCTATAATAATCAAGTGTGCACCCACGTAAGGAGATCTGGCCTTCTTTTTTTGTCATTTTTCTTCTCTTCTTGTGACTTTACGGATTTCAACATGTTGAGGATATTTCTTAATTTATAAGGCATTTAGGGAGGAGGGTGGAGAGGGTTAGGCTAACATACCCCACATTCACACTTGAGACTTCAGATCAGTGTATTCACTCTTCACCCATTTTCACATTATATTGTTTTTGACTTATATATTAGAATGTACACCTATACAAGCAATGCTCAACAAACATGTTAGGCCTGATAGTGGGGTGAATCAGACTTGAGATAAACAAAAACAAAAAGAAGCTTGCTAGTGTGTTCTTGACACCAAAAGGAGTGAGAAAAATAGTTATGAAATTATAAGCAATTAGGGTAGACTTTGATATGCATTATATATGTTGAGTGGTTGGTGAGAGCAGCAAGATGAGGAGAACAGTCAGTAAGTAAAACCAGCAAGACAATGAGGTGATTAGATAACTTGGAAGCCAAGGGCAATGAGGAGAGAGAGAGAGAGAGAGAGAGAGAGAGGAAAAACTATTCAATTAACATTTATGTTGGCTGCCTTAGGTTAAAAGTTGAGCTCCTCCAATTACAACGGTTAAAAAACAAGAAAACTAGACCCACTACATGAACTCTCTCATTGAGGAAAATGCCCTCACTGATATATATCAAATTATTTTTCACATCCCCCCTCAAGTTGATGTAGATGTCGGTTACACTTAACTTGAGCAAGATAGAGTTGGATGTCACTAATGTCATTTCTTTTGTATAAATATCTACAATTTGATCTACTCATCTTATATAGTAAAGACAGTTTCTTTGTATTAAGCTTCTCTCAAATAAAATATTAATCAATTTCAATGTGTTTGATTTTGTCATGTTGCACTAGATTGTTCATAATGTTTATAGTTGTCTTATTATCACAACTAAATTTGAGTGGAAGTTCCACTACAACGCCAAGATCAGTTAGAAAATATTTGAGCCAAAATAACTCAATTAGTCAACATTTGACTTATGTCCTTGATTTGACCAGTACTATTTGTTTCTTGCTCCTCCATATCACAAAGTTGTATCTCAAAAGTTTACAATATCTTGTTGTAGATTTGGTCTTCATGTAATTCAGTTCAATTTGCATCTATATAGCTTTCCATCTTCAAAGTATTTGACTTGGTAAATAATAAATCTTTTCTTAGACATGACTTCAAATATTTTAATATTCTTTGGACTATCTGCATGTAGATGGTGTAGACAACATGTATGTATTGACTAACAATACTCACAACACATGTTAGATCAGGTCTAGTGGATGACAAATATAGTAATTTTTGAACTATTTGTTGATATGAGCGTTGGGTTTCAGCTAGAAGATCATCACCATTGGTGTTGGTAAGATGATCATTGCTTTTGTGGATGTAATAGTTGATTAACATCCCAACTTTTCTATTTCACTTAAAGTTATAATGCATACTTTTTTGGTAAACATAAAGTTTTTGTTCGATTTCTCAAGAAGAAATGGAAACCCTAGAAAGGAATAGTACTTAAAAACTAGTTGATTCACTAGCTGACAAAATGAATGAATCAAAATGAATGTTTACTATAAAAAAAATTCAATTGGTTAAATTTAACAATATAAGACTGGACTTGTGGCAAAAGGTTTTACTCAAATTTATGCAATTGACTATGATGAAATATTTGTAGTTGTGATGAAACTAAAAGCAGTAAGAATGCTATTATCATTGACTATTTGGTTCCCTTGAAACTTACATCGATTAAATGTTTAAACTATATTCTTCAATGACAATTTAGATGAGTAAGTTTACATATACCCATCAATATGAATTGACACTAAAAGGAAGGTATGAATCTAATAAAGGTATTATATGGTTTAATGCAATCTTTCATGATGTGGTTTGGTAGACTCCAACAAGTAATACTATAATTTGGCTATTAATAAGGGAATGTAAATCATATCTTTTTTGTTAAAAGAAGGCATGGACGGTGTGCAATATTGATTGTTTATGTTGATGATATAATACTTATAGAGAATGTAATAATATGAACTTTGAACAAAAAATTAACAAAAGTGTCCAAAATCAAAAACTTAGGAGATCTTAGGTTTTTTCTTAGAATTCTTACACACTTAGGATTTTTTGTAGCAATTGCAAATGAACTTGGCAAAACTATTGAGTCTATGGAGGGAAGAAAAAAGAAATATTGAGTTAAGATTCTTAAATAATTCGTATACCAATAAAGAGCTCCTCTTTTAAGTTTCAAGTATGCAAAATTTTAGGATCCAAAGGCATAACAACTTCATAAGATACTGATTGTATAGGCTGACTTTCCTTATCATTACCTCTACCTCATTCGAAATAGATAATGAATTGCTTGTTAATTTGGATTGACTAAATTTATTAATATTGTTTTCACTAGGTTCTCAAGTGGCATTATGATTTTACAAGTAGATAAACAAGTGGAACATATAACAGGGACTTGACATGAAATGATGGAAGTGGACATATATTAGATAAAGAAGTCTCCCCCTAAGTTGAAGGCTTATGATGATAGGAAGTGTCTGCTCCTACTCAACTCAAGCTAACAGCCTATATTCTATATTCAAAGTAAACAATGTAACATCTCTCAACACTTATTTTTTCATAGATAAGGGATCGAGAAATTTGTAACCTTTTAAGGAGGTGAATATCCAAAACAAACACCTCTAATCAATTTTGGGTCATGTTTATTATTTTTGTGTTCTCCAAGTTTTTGTATAGAGCACACACAACCAAAAACCTTAAGTGGAAAAGAAAATAAGGGTATTGTAGGAAATAGTAGTGTATAGGGAGTTTAATATTTGATGGTGAGTGATGGCATTCTATATATTAAATATAAGCATTAAATACAATTTATAACCAAAATTTCTTTGGCATATGAGATTGGAGTAATGTGAGGTGTATATTTTTTAGTGTGCATTTCATTTTTGTGTAAATATATGGGGGCACATAAGACTCTTGAATAAAACCCTCATCATTTGTAAAGATGTTCAGATTTTATTCAAAGTGTTGTTTGGTATTTTCAAAATAAAACATTTTTATACATTTGTCATTTTTTTATTATGTGGATAGTTCTAGAGATTTCTTCTCAAGATTTTATCAAATAGGCCCATGTTGAATGAGTGAAGTCATAAATAAAAGTAATAAAATACATATGACCATCTATAGAAATAACTTGAATTAACCCCCAAATATTAAAATATATAATTCTAAAAGGAGAGTTACTTTTAATGTGAAAATATGAAAAGCGTGTACAATAATGTGTTGCTAGTTGATAAGTTTGACATTAAAGTTAGCCAATATCTATTGGTGGAAACATCGAGGGGAACATAATTTTCATAGATTTGAAAGAGATCTGAATCTAAAGTGCCACAGATGGATCTCATTGAGCTTGTGTGGTACAATTCCCTTTTGAGGCCTAAAGAGATATAAACCTCTTATGTCAGGACCACTCTCAATCATTTACTTTATCTTTATATTCTGGAAGACAATGTAATCAGGAGAAAAATGATACATAATAATTTAATTGTTTTGTCAAAGAACTTAGAGAGAGTAAGTTCATATGAATTGAATGAACATAAAGTGCTAGAGGTAAGGTTAAACGATCATTTAACTCAATGGAGCCTTGGCCGGTAGCTGTGGCTTGGCTACAAACAACTATTGTCACTTTATCCCTACCTAAAGTTGATATGAGGTGAAGTAACGTGAAGCAACAGTCATGCAGTCGAGCTCCAGAGTCAACAACACAGTAATTGTGTGAAGAGTAAGAGGCTGCACTTAAGGTTTGTACCTGATTGATGTGGCTGGTTTACTTGAAGAACTTATGATCTTCAATCTAAGAACATACGATTAAGCTTCCATTTCTCAAGCCCTACAGCTCTATACTAAAGGAGGCTACATGCTATATTTCTAAGAATTGTTCGGTCCAATTCTCTAATATTTGTAGTTAAGTACGAAACGTACCCAGGGCTGACTTTAAAGTCACCGATTTAAAAGAAGTATGCAAAAAACCATTGACATCTCACACCTACTAAAAAGAAATGATAACTCTAGCGGTTGCACAAGATGTTTATATTTCATCTCTTAGAAGTCAACATGCACACAATGAAAGCATCCCTAATGAAAATTATAAAGTGAACACATTTCATTTATAGTTGCAATAGATTTAGATGGATACACTAAAACTAAAGCTGTCAATCTCTATTGAATAGGCCGCCACTAAATGCCTAGAGATGTGGATACTAGAGACATAAATTTATTGATCTAAAGTAAAATAACATGGTTATATTCAATAAAAGTATTCAATGACAACAATAAAAACTAAGAGATGTGACTTTAAAAGTGGGCTAGCCATGGAGCAAGACTAATAAAACCTTAAGGAGATGGTGGTCAATCTCAACATTAATGAGTCCTAGGGTGTACGTAATCCATTAGCTCAATATTTCAGGATCTTTTTGTAACGATGGTCAAATTTAGATAAAAGAGAACGAGAGTGATAAGTGTATCAGATGCAGGTGCAATGGCTTGGTTGATGTATCTGAGCTTTTCTTTGATAAAACATGGAATTCAGTCGCAAACCCTGCTAACTGGAGTATTCTAGAAAACATTTCGAAATCACTTGGACAGGGGCAGGATCGTCTGAGTCCACTCCCGTATCAACAAGATCATTGGCAACGGCAAGCTATACATATCCCCCCACCATTCCCCCCCCTCACATGCTCCAGTTCTCACACTCACCGCCTCCCTGTTCCCAACTTTCACAGAAAAAATAACATGATATAAATCCTGCGGTCAGACTTAATCAATTATACGGCACCGAGAGCGAGAGAGACATAGAAAGAGTGTGTGAGAGAGGAGACCGCTTCAGGTGGGCAAGTCCAGCGGAATGGGACATATCAGTCGACGGCGGAGAGACTAGCGGCCGGGCGGAGACCTTCTTCACCTGGAGAGAGGGTGCCTGATCACGCCGCGAGCTTCGTCCAGCACAAAATTGCCCTCCTTGAAGATGGAGCTGCCGAAGAACGGCCGCAGATCGTATATATCGTGCTCCTGAGCCTGTCTCGACCGACACGCACCGGCATGAAAACCAGCCGTCAGGAAAGACGGAACGAAGTTCCCCCGCCGCGCCATGATAGTTGGACACAATCACTCACCTTGCTTCGCAGATCCTCGACCTTGACTTGAATGTGAGCGAGCCGATCGCCGGCTCCCGAGATGATCTCCTCGTAGTGCAGGGCCTCCTTCACGAGCACGCGCAGGAGGAACAGGAGGAGCTCGTTGTGGTCCCTCTTGAAGGTCAGGTACTTTCTAAAGCTCTGATGGTTCGTTCCACAGATGAGTTGATAAGATGACAGTCGCAGCTTATAAATTCTAGGAGATCAGATTCAGGAAGACCCAGCGGAAACCTTGCCAATACCTTCTGCAGGGCTTTCTGGACGCCGAATTTTTGGGTTGAGATGAAGGAATCCAGCAGGACGCGGATCGCCATGTCGACGTCCTCCTGAGTCACGTAGTTCCTCAGGTGCATCCTGGCGTGCGCTTCGGACATTCGTATCATGGATTCAATATGCCTCACCGCAATGGGGACTCCTTGCCCGTGCTGCGCCGGCCCAGACAAACACAGAGTCAAAGGGGGATCATCAGAAGAAGAACATTCTGACTATCGAATGCCCGCCAACTGGGTAACGTGAATTCGATGAGGGTATCTCACAGATGATTCTCTTCGTAACTCGGCATAGACGTGGGTGAGCTTGTCCAAGTCCGCGTCGTGCAGCTTTGGGAACACGTTTAGTTTTGCATACGTTATGTACTTCTTGAGCATATCTTGGGAAAGAATCTGAGGGGGCAGTTGATACTTGTAAGGTAGATCCCGGAGGAAATCTCAGGAAGAAGACAAAGAAGAAGAAGAATACTATTTGGAGCTCAGATGGTGGAACCTCAGGGTCAACAGGCCTCGTAGAAGGTGATAAGTCTTCCTGGGAGTTGGCGGCAGCTTGCTCGTCTAAATTAGCTCCCTTGGGTTGTGATCGAAAGTGGCTGTCGACAACGAAGTTGGCGAGCATCTCATCTTTCACCGGATCGACAACATCCTGCATTCGTAAGGAACCCGACCATAAGGATCAAGGGGACAATGCAGATGTATGCTGGGATGTGCTGACAATGAAGAATTACCTTAACGACACAGAGGACATCGAATCGGGATATAATGGGATCTGTCAGCTCCACATTTTGAGTAAACGTCTTTGATGAGTCATATCTGATGCACATGAACATGGAGAATCTGAGTGTCACTGAATCAAATCAAATGCCGAGAAGCACCCGTCAAAGTAGGCGAGACGACATATTATTTAATTGCATACCTTCCCCCAATAGGATTGGCAGCAGCAATAACACTACACCGGGCCTGGAGCGAGGTGACTATCCCAGCCTTTGATATACTGATACTTTGCTGTTCCATGGCTTCGTGAATACTTACCCTGCAATCCAGGACAGCTCACAATCCACGGAATGCAGTCTATAAAGAAAGTATCTATGAAGAAGGAAAATCATCACGTACCTATCTTGATCATTCATCTTGTCAAACTCATCAATTAAACAGATTCCCCGGTCAGCCAAGACTAAAGCACCTCCTTCCAGAGTCCACTCCCTTGTGACTGGGTCCTTGTGCACTGCAGCCGTGAGTCCCACAGCAGATGCTCCCTTCCCTGTCGTGTATACAGCTCGTTGTCCAGTCTTCTCAGCATATCTGAAGAGTAGTGTATTCACAGCAGACTATTGTATGATTTCCCTTTGCAGAAACACGGTGTTTAGAGAGTAAAGCTTGGGGTCCCTTACTTAAGGAACTGGGATTTGGCAGTGCCTGGATCACCAAGAAGAAGGACGTTAATGTCACCTCTCAACCGGTGCTTCCCTTTCACATTTTTCTCTTGGCCCCCAAACATGGCAAGGGCCAGGGCCATTTTAATGTTCTCATGGCCATATATTGAAGGTGCAATGGACTTGACAATCTGCAGGCATTCTGGGTTTAGATAAATAATAATCACTGAATAATACTGTGAACATGACGAATGAAGTGAAGAGACTAACCCTTTCTCCAATCCTTGGGTCCTTGGCCAACTTCTCAATGTCTGCTTTGTCCTCATCAGTAAGCTTATAGGCAGAAAATAAATCGTGCTTCTTTGTGACATGGTTTGCTTCAACAACCGTTGCAAACACAGGGAATCCATTCTTCGTATTCAAAGATAAATCGAAGTTGTTAGTGTATATCCCTGTAACCTCCTGAAATCAAAAAGGACGTGGAAATTTCCTAAATCAATGTGATAAGTGGAAGTCACCCAGAGTGAAATACCCATTGATGAAAGTCTTACAATTTCCTCCCCTGGACGAGCACAGTCAATAAGATCATTCAAAAGTATCACTTCCTTATATCTTGGAAGCCTACCAGCCGGGACAGTGCCAGGACTCTCCTGAAGCGTCAGTTTCTGGTAGTTTCTGTAAATTGTCTGCAGTGAAAAGAAATTGGGAAGGAAACTTTCAAAAATAAATAATGTTTTAAGTGCTGATAATCACCAACATGGAGCTTAAATTTCCATGACTCATAGTAAGACACTTTTTACAAGATTGATCCGAACCTGCTCAACATTGATGGTGAATGGCCCTTTGGACTGGCATTCAGGACAAGATCCCACTTTCACTTCTGAGTATGAGTTCTGAAAGAAAGGACCAAGGATTGCCCCACATTTATTGCAGTCATACTTCACCTGCTGAAGCTGTGGGAAAACCCCAGATCGTCGTGTTACGACACCTCCAATACGAATCATAGTGTTCAGATGAATCTGCCTGATACATTCATAAGGATTGCATTTTTTTAGTAACACGGTTATTCAAATGTCATCAAATGTCGGGAATGTAGCAACCCACCTGATGTTACGTATTTGATCGTACACTGGCAAGTTAGTTATTCGGACATATATCTTTTGCTGAATGTTCTTGTAATTCTTGTGAAAATCAAAGACCACATTCTGGGCAACCTCTTCCATGACCTCAAGAACTGACTGAGGGGCATCAGCCAGCCAAATAGCAATGTTCGGAAGAATGTAGATAAACTGTTTGTAATCTATCTCCAAGCTACACTTATTAGCTGCAAAATAAATGTTGTTGAGGATGAAGTGTTCCAAATAAAGAAACTTTCACAAAAAAAATCGAACTGTATTGAAAAACAGTAGCGCGATACATGAAAAAGCATTAACCTGACCTGATTAAATATAAGTTTCATGGTTAGTACATTAGGCAAAGAACACTAACGTAAAGATCAGTTACCTAAGACCATTTCATTTATCAGCCGGACGTATTCAAAATCCCCTTGTTCATTCTTTGGGTTCACATATGTCAGCAGGAATTCCTTGAACTTCCTGGCGATGAAGCGACGGACTTCATCCCTTGTAACCCACTCCCTTAGTGTTCCTTGAACACGGTACATATTCATCTCACTATCTTCATCATATTCATCCTATCAAGCATATGCAGACTCAGAATATGGCAAAACGGTATGCTCATGAAGTCAGAACCAACAATTAGAAAGTTGAGAAAGTTTTTGATACCTCATATGGATCATCATCAGTCTGATTAGTCATAGGCACATCATCTCTTGAGTGCCCTCGCTGAGATCTTCCTGGTGAACTTTGCATGCCATCACCATCATCGTCACTTCTTGCCCCTCCAGAAGGCCTGAAATCAGCTCTATGTCTCTTTGATCGTCTAATAGTTACTTCATCATCTGTGTCTGCCATAAAGAAATGATGCAAGGAATTTAGTATTCACTGAATATGTGATGCCATACAACGCTATTGAAGAAATGAAACAAAGAGGGCAAATCCAATATTAAATTATATGATAATCTGTACATCACAATTTAAGGCATGAGGAAGATACGATTGCTTCCATCGTAAAGACGCTTCCATGGTTGAAAAACATGTTTTTCTTGTCGAAAACGCAAAAAAGAGGTGCTCAAACATGCTCCGTTAGAAGTGGTAAAGAATGTGAGTGACCTTTTAGCATTTATTCCTTATAAACCAATTACCTTGATCGTGAAGCATACGAGGCAGCTTCCGTCCGCCGCCACTGCGAGTGTCCCGGGCATCCAATTCGACCTCCGCAGCCCTCCTATCTGCCATGATTTGGTCTAGATCTCTCTCATCCCCCATCGAGTCGTCCAAACCCACAGATTCATACTGGTCATGTTCGTCCATCCGGCGGTAATCCCTGTTTCCAAATTCCAGCCATACCCCACAAGGTAGTTCACATTGTCAGATGCTAATCATCTCAGAAATTGAGGAATTTAAAGAAATCCGGAAGCCGGGATCATCGGGAAAGGCACGTACTCCATGAAGTTGTCATTGTAGAGATCCTCCCCTTCCTCCTCCTCCTCCTCTACGGCGTCAGCCTCATCGTCCTCGGGAAGGACATGGGGGTCGACGGCAGCCTCGTCGTCATCCGAGTACGAGTCGGTTGTTCGGCTCGTGTTGGGGGGCAACCGATCCGTACTGAATCCTGCCGAAGTGGGGGAGCCCGGAGTCGACGACGGGTTCTCCGAGTCGTCCTGAATCAGAAGAACGCAAAAAAAATTGAGAGAGAAGCACAACGAGACGGAGAAAGCGGAGGAGAAATGTGAGGGATGAAGATCCAACAACTCTACCATTATGATCCCGACAGAAAAGTTCTCCTCGCCTCCGCTTCACTTCCTCGTCCTGCTCCTCACCGTTGCCACTGCTGCAGCTGCCGCCGGAGGATCCGAGTAGGGTTTCGCGAGGAAACGAGAGGGAGGGTCAGGGGGGGAGTGAGAAGAAGAGGTTAAATTGGCGGGAAGTGTTCGCGCCAAAAGAGTGGTGACTATTCTGTATGCTGGGCCCACCCCAAAACGTGGACCCCATCACCTACTTCCGGATTCACACCCACGTGGACAGTGAGGGATCCGTCGGTGGATTTCTTTTTTTATTTTTTAAAGTGCCACACATTTCACTAAATGACTCAGACATCCCCATATAATTTTCTATATGGAATAAATTTTATATTATAATTTATTTATTTTGATATGATTGCTAACAATAAGAGTTGGGAATTTTTTTCCAGACGCCAGCTTTTTAATGGGCTGGGCCCATCATGCACCCACTGGGTCTTCAGCCCGCCAGCCCATTAGGCTGGAAAAGAACGTTGTGGCTGATACTCCACAACGCGGCAGGCTCGCTTCTCCCATCCCTCCGCCTGCCGAGCAGGATCCCCTACTGAAGCGGTGGCTAAGCGGAGCTAATGAAGACGAAGAGGACCGAGGAGCAGCCACGCTAGGCATGGTGAGGGGAAGAACTCTCTTCCAGAAGACCTGGAGATGAAGCTTCGTATCCCAGGGGAGAGGAGGAAGTCGAAACGTGGGATGAAGACTGACCGTTCATGAATGAGTACGGAAAACAAGAGCCAGCGGCTGTTGCTCTTATCTAAGAGGGGAAGAACGAAGATGATGGCAGAATGGAGCTGGGGGGCCCGATTGAAAGCTGGAAGGGAAGAAGAAAAGAGAGGGGTCGGTTATTCTGTGGACTATCCAACGTAGGAGCTATTTATCCCAGGATAACATACCGATCCTTCTGGATGATCCCCCACCGACTTTATTTTTCTGAGGGGCGATGAGAAGGAATTTCTGAGAATGGGAGAGGAGGGAAGCACACTTTCGCACATAAAAGGAGTTTTTCAATGCATTTACGTCTACTTTAAATAAATAGTTCTTTTATTAAGTCATTATCATACCGCGCCGGCGAATAAAAGTAGTAAGTATTGAATAAAGCGAAGGTTATAATCACATCGGATTTATTTTTTTATTCTTGTTTACTTTATACAGAAATTATGGCGTTAGACAAGGTATGTAAATGTACTAGTAAACTGAGGATGATATAATTTCTGAAGTTCCCTTACCCATTAGAAGCATATATTAACTGAATAATTATATAACTATGTAATTACATATTATGTACTAACTACATTATTGAAACCCAGTATTCATGAATCAAAGTAAAATGAAAATGTGAACATTAATACAAAGCCCCCCCCCCCCCCCCCTTTTCCTTTCTCTGCCAAGATTATCACCATCCTATGAAGAAGGAATAATTTTCATTACCTACTAAATGTATCATAATATAGCGGAGGACATCATAAAAATTATGATTAATGGAGACGCTTTAATGTACTTTGACAAATTGAGATTTATTTTATGGCTTTAAATATAGTGCTTTGGCTGACATCTGATGAAATGAGACTTTATTTGATCATCCTATGAATCTTACAATTCTCTCTAGGAAGTCTAGTTTCATTAGATTGAAACTATGCTGTCAACCTGCCAAATACAAATGTGTTTTTAGTAAAAAAATTACGTTACAGTAAAATGGATACTCATGTGTTATGAAGTTATAGATAATTTTTTGAAATTTTGTGAAGTCCTTTAGTTGATTGTCTTGTTGATCATATCTATTTATATATTTTTTTTGGATTTTGGGTTTAAAGCAGGTGGGGTTCTTGGACGCTCATCCAAAGACTGCATATTCTCAGAATAGCTTACAAAATATGAAATACTCTTAATTTGACAAAGTCTAACAGTGACAATAAGATGAGCTGCATTTTGATTCGTCCATTAGGCATACTCGTTGATCTAATTTTAAACTTATCTTAGTCCAAATCTTGCAAGACTCTAAAGGGATTATTGAGTTGGCTTAAGGAAACAGGTCAACTTTGTCACGACTTCATATTAGGACCATACTCCTGATTTGACCACAGCTTGGCATGTTTTTTAGCCGAGGAATGATGATCATGCCAGGACTCTGAACAAGGGTTTAAGGGATTGGATTCCATGACTTCAACCGGTAGGACATGATAACATTCCAACTTTTTGGTGACTGGTTTAACCACCTGATCGGATTCATACCATAGCTAGGTTGAGGAAAATTCGGTTGATTAAACATTTAACACGTAGAGAAGCGTAACGATGATATGATTTCGCACAGGAATCTCGAAACTGTTCCGTATCTATCATCCATTGTTTCCGGATCACGTCACTGTATCAACATGATAATCTCATCAACTTCACCATGAGTGTCTCTACCGATCACGTTGAAAGATATTTCGTGGGAATTTTTCGGCCCACGGGTTGAGAAATCAAGATTTACGAAAATTGTTGACCAACTCATCCGACAGTGTAAGAATTGGGGGTTGAGATCTCTTAATGGTTGTAGATGTCCGTCGCGCAAAAGGAACCTGGTCTCTTGGTTTCAAGCTAGGCCTCATCAACTACGATGGACTGTCACGCAAGGCTGGAACATCAGACATGACGGTGATGCTATGGCTCGCGGAGGATACCTCATCCTTCATGGGGGACTTGATCCGGGATCTAGGTTCAGATCCGGCCTTGGTGGCGGTCTTCTTGGGTAGGAGCTTCTCGCCGATGTTGGGGAGGACAGCACCGCAGGCAATGGTGATCCCCGAAAACAACCTCGCCAGCTCCTCATCGTTCCTTACGGCCAGCAACAAGTGGAGAGGATGATCCGCTTCTTCTTGTTATCCCGCGCAGCGATCACGGCCAGTTCCAGAACGGAAATCTGTCGTCGCCGGAACTAATTACTCGAACCAGACCAAGACTGGAGAGATATCTGGGCGTCGGTGCCGACTCGTTTCGCATAGCGGTCCATCTTGAGGAGCCGCGCGAAGCGGGCGACGAGGAATTGCAGACCGGTCTTCACCGACTAGGGCACCTCCTTCTTCCCCGATCCCGCAGCTTCCATCCCCGCCGTCGGCAAGACGCCTCCCCCCCGCCCTCCTCCGCCATCTCTGCCTCTCTCTGTCTCTCTCTCTCTCTCTCTCTCTCTCTCTCTCTCTCTCTATGCTGCGACTGGTTACGAATCGATGTTGACCAAAGGGCTTCTACCATCAATTAGCCCCAAGTGTCCCTAGTTTTAAGAGAATATAAAACTGGGTAGAATTTCGTAAAATGAATAAATTGGGAGGTTTTCTTCATAAATGTGTCTCAGACATCTTGACATGGGATATCCATTTTTTTGTGACATTATAAAATTAGTTTAATAGCATAATGGGCTCATGAATTTGATTTTTTAGTGTAAATAAAAAATTGCGTCCTTTTAATGACCACAATATTTTTATTATTATTCATACAGGGCTTGGCCCCTCTTATCAAACCACAATATAATGTGGTTGTGAGCTAGCTTAGCAATATTAATAATTATTTGACAAATTCTTTTATACCCGTAAGAAATTAAAGAAAACTTAGGAATAATATATTATTCATGTTTTTTACTAATGATTAGTGAAATGCTATGCGGTAATGGGACTAATATTTTACGATTTATTAAATTAAATAAATACAGGATTTAGAACAATAATCTTATACTATATTATGTTGGAAATATATCTCTATTGACTAGTAGCGATGAGCGTATGTGAAGGTTGTCCACGCATGTCTCGTGACGTGGCGAGCTAAAATTTGCCTTTCACTACCTGGCATCTGTCCATTGGCTGTCGACAAGTCACTGATGCCTCCCCCCCTTCTCTCTCTCTCTCTATCTCAACGCCTTTTGTTCTTGTACAGGGGAAAAAAGATTTACACTACCGTTCCTCTAGGGATACAAGTTACCGATATCAGCCAGCTGCAATCGGTGAGATCGTCTACCCCGCCGTCAGATCTGTTCTTCTTTTGTCTCCCTATCTTGGAGTTTATCGGTTTTTAATCCGACGCTAGCTTCTTCCCTGTCTCTTTTTCGTTGGTAGCTTCTTCGCCATGATAGCGAGCAAAGGAATGGCGGCACGGTGGCTCTTTGTGGTCATGCTGGCTTGTTTCGCCGTACAGCAGCTCCTCGCTTCAGATCCGGTTGGTGGTTTTACGTTTTGCCTTAATTTTATGCTTTTTTTGTTGATCCTATGACCTAGTGCGCCAGGGTCGAGTGTGAGTCACTGATTTTAGATAGTTGAATTTTTGGTACATTTCTTTTTCTAATCACGAAAAAGTGTGGATCCTGATGCAGCTTTTCCTCGAGTCGTTCGACGAGACGTTCGAGGGGCGGTGGATCGTCTCGAAGAAGGATGACTATAAAGGTATTCCCCTCCCATTGGCGAGTTTTCCCTAGAAGGTCACGCAAGTTTTATTGTTAACCAAATAGGAGATGTCATGGGGTTTGACATCTCTGTTTAATCCGGATATGATGATTTGTACTGCCTCTTTGATATGCTGAGAAAGACGCTCTCTGATTGTCGATCTCAGTGTATTATCCACTTTTCTCTTCACTAAAGACGTGTGGTATCTGTCTTTTGTAAATTCGATGGGATATCATGTTCAGATTATTAAATGAGGAAATTTGTTTTCATATAGAGAAGCTGGGTGTGAAAACGACGGGGACATTTGTGACAAATTTTCTTCTGTTATTCTTTTGCTATCAGTGTAGTCACTTTGCAAGTATCAGGGTCTTCAAGAAATCTCTTTTAGCCTTTTGAAGAGATCTCAATTACATCGAAGGGATTGCAACATCATTTATCAACTTGTTAAGGCTATTTCCTTTCTCGTTCTCCTGAGACTTGCTGAAATTCTGCAATGGTTGCACAGTTGGTAGAGATCACGCAGTGACAATATTGTTATTTTCCGCTGAAATGAAAATCGTTTCAGATTGAGTTTTTTTTTAAAATTCCAAATATCTGCAAATTATTTTCTCCCATTTTCTTTGTGAAAATTATATACATATTATGAAAATATGCATACTTGTGAGGGTCCATCAAAACTTTGTTACCTTTATGTTTCATCACTTTTCGATATCTCACCAGGAAAACTGGTTACACAAAACTATAGTGGTGACTTTCTAGTCGGTTCCAAAGGGAAAGGATTTTTAAATGGTCCAAAGGCAGGTAGGGCCTCTGATTGCCTATGCTCCAGAATAGACTTTGAGAAACAAGAGAGTTTTGGGCATGTAGGGGCTCTGATTGTCTATGCTCCAGAATTCTCAGAGGGGTAGATTCTTGCTGGGTCTCTGAGGTTTAGTGAGAATGCCCTTTTTTTATTCCCCTGAAAGAGTTTATAAGCATGATGAGAGTGTATAATAAGATGAAAATCACAGAGACTTTTCATAAACAGTTACTGATGTGAAATTCTCATGACTAAGCAAGGATCCCTCAAGAAGTCGGTAGCATGTACATTTTTATTGACTGATGTGGTTTCTAATGATGATGACAGTCTTTACCTTCTAGTTGTAGTCTCTTGAGGCGTGTGTGTGTGTGTGCGTGCCTGTGCATGTGCACGTAAGTGTTAGATATTATGAATGGGCGACATCTTGTGAGTGAGACATTTGGATAATGTGACTTCAGATTTCTTGGGATTACCTGATGTAACAGACGTAGATTTTCCTTCCCAAGTTACTTGTATTTGCCTAATGTTACGGTATACTGTCCATGGTTTGCCAATTTCGTTGCCTTTTATTATCGTGCGTCACAACCCACACATTTTGTGCTCAGGTACTTGGAAACATTCGAAGAGCGAGGGTCATGAGGACCATGGTCTGCTTGTTAGCGAACCAGCAAAGAAGTACGCAATTGTAAAGGAACTTGACGAAGCTGTCAATCTCAAAGATGGAACCGTTGTTCTACAGTACGAGGTCCGCCTTCAGAACGGACTTGAATGTGGGGGAGCATACCTGAAGTATCTCCGACTGCAGGAAGCTGGATGGATTCCTAAAGAATTCGACAATGAGTCTCCTTACTCCATAATGTTTGGACCGGATAAATGTGGAGGCACCAATAAAGTGCATTTCATTCTCAAGCACAAGAACCCCAAGACTGGTGAATATGTGGAGCATCATCTCAAGTTCCCACCATCTGTCCCATATGACAAGCTGACTCATGTGTACACTGCCATCTTGAAGCCTGACAATGAGGTTAAGATTTTGATTGATGGCGAGGAGAAGAAAAAGGCAAACTTTCTGTCAGGTGATGATTTCGAGCCCCCACTCGTTCCTTCAAAGACAATTCCAGATCCCGATGACAAGAAGCCTGAGGACTGGGATGAGAGAGAGAAAATTCCTGATCCTGACGCAGTGAAGCCTGATGACTGGGATGAGGATGCTCCCATGGAAATTGAAGATGAGGAGGCTGTGAAGCCAGCAGGGTGGTTGGATGATGAGCCTGAGGAGATTGACGATCCAGAGGCAACCAAGCCAGAGGATTGGGATGATGAAGAAGATGGTGAGTGGGAAGCACCAAAGATTGATAACCCAAAGTGTGAAGCTGCACCTGGTTGTGGGGAGTGGAAGAGGCCGATGAAGACGAATCCTGCCTACAAGGGTAAATGGCAAGCTCCCCTGATTGATAACCCCAACTACAAGGGTACTTGGAAGGCACAGGAGATCCCCAATCCCAGCTACTTTGAGATTGAGAAGCCTGACTTTGAGCCCATCGCCGCCATTGGCATTGAGATTTGGACCATGCAGGATGGTATCCTTTTTGACAACATTTTGATATCTGACAATGAGAAGGTGGCTGAATCTTATCGGGAAACGGTATGGAAGCCTAAGTATCAGGTTGAGAAGGAGAAGGAGAAGGCTGAAGAGAAGGCTCCAGGGCTTCCGGGCTCACTTTCCGGCATTCAGGTGAGAGTAGTCATTTTGGGTCACTTCCACCCTACTATCGTGAGTTTGCAAAGGCCTTAAACTCTAACATTGTTGTCTCTCTCTCTCTTCCTCTCTAAATCTTTCAGAAAAAGGTATTCGATGTCCTTTACAAAGTGGCTGGGATTCCTTTCTTGGAACCGTACAGGCCCAAGATCATCGTAAGCATCCCTCAGAATCTCTTACATTCGATTTTGTGGATAATCATTTATCTCCTTCCAATGAATAGCCACTTTCTGATCGCATGCTATGCTTGTAATCCTGGAAGGATGTGATTGAGAAAGGCGAGAAGCAGCCCAACGTGACAATTGGAGTCCTAGTCTCTATCGGTGTTGTCCTTCTCACAGTCATCGTCAAGATTCTCTTCGGAGGGAAGAAAAAACCGGCAGTAAGCCTCCCTGCCATAACAGGTGCTTCGGCTACTTTATAAGGTCATCTTTAAAACAACATCTGGACTCTTCATTCCACAGGCACCTGCTCCGGCTGCAGCTGCGGTGGCAAAGCCCACTGAGGCCAATGACAATGGAAGCAGCATCAAGGAGGACGAGCAGGAGGACACCACAGCGGCTGCCGCTCGTCCAAGGAGGTCCAGGCGCGAAACATAAGGCTAGCTCCTTGTACCCCAAGGATTTTGGCTGTGTTGGAGGAACTTCTTGGCACATAGTGCCTGGTTTAGACTGTAAACCTTTTAACTCCAAGGTCAAGCCGCCGGAGGAACACTTTTCATTTTTGCCCCATCTCTTATCCCTTCATTTATTCAAGTAGGTTCCACTTTTTGGCTCGTCTGTGAAAGTTATTGGCGAGTACTATTTTGCATCATCTTCTCAGGCAGGAAAAATGGCGTAGACGGTGAAGGACTCTCTCGCTTTGGCTACATTTCTTACTCTACCATCTGCTAGGATCTCCCCTTGAGTGCCCTTCCTTCCATGCCTCCTCGGATTAAGAATAAAGAGATGCAAGAGATACATGGATTAATAAAGAGGAGCGTCTATTGATTGAAAGACATGCAATAGACACTTCCCTTGGATTTGATTCCTCAATTGTAGTTATTAGAAGTATCAATGAGAATTTTGATGAAAGCTAAATAGCCAACCAAGTATCATCAGTAGTATGTTATTAAATACCAAGTAAGATAATGGCCATTTGGAAGTAAGCCCTAAAGAAATGAGATTGGTGTCCACTTATACAATGCAGCAAACACCTTAAGTAAGTTTGAAATATTTGATTGATAATTATTTTTTTGCCACTATGGTTTGAAGGTGAATATCAGTAGTATTGATTAGCAAGGTCAATGAACTCGTCCCTTATGTATATTAGTTGCATCTCACACCTTAAAACAATGAAACTCACCAAAAAGAAGTTATAACTCTTTAAGAACTTGTATTTCTTCTCAACTTATTATTTTGATTCTCCAGGGCTAATGAGTGTTGTATATAGATTTTTGTGACCATGGTATTCAAATTTAAGTTAATTGAAGCCTTGATGTTAAGTGGAGGTTTTTTGAAACATTAGGATATGCTCATTTCACTAATTCTTTGTTAATTTTTAAATTGAAGCATCACAAACTCAATAATCTATGAAAAATGGTTCAAATATATTTTACAAAGAAAATAAGTTTTCTTATCTAATTTGGGCAGCATAATTTCAGCCAAGAAATACATATTTAAGAAGATATTAATGTGCTAACAAGGATGTAAAATACGATAATATTTGGCATCATAAAAGTGATAACCTAGGTTGCTTGGGAAACAAGTTATATGCTCTAGAAATTGTGAAGCATGAAGAAAATGAGGAGAGAGTCCGAGGTAAGGTCTTCTATGGGTAGTAACTACTTACCTCTCTAGCCTTCATCACTCCACAACTTTGTAAATCTAGGGTCAAGTCCTTACTACTGATGTCTTGTCGTCTCTTGCAATTACTTTTTTAAAGTATGTTTGTGTGTCCACTAGCTAAGCTCCTTCTACTTTTACTTAGGTTGTCCCTAACTTCTCCACCATACTCATTATGGGTGGAAAGTGGAAGAGACATGGCTGAGATAATAGGCATGGTCATGGATGCAATGGAAAATGCGACTTAGGTGATTGGGGCCATCTCCCTCTATGCAAGCACTACGGGCAAATCAATCATTGATTAGACAAGTGCTAAAATAAGTTCGATAAGTTTGATGATTGAGCTCAGATTACAGTCAACTCAATATTATCTAAGAACTTCAACATATCTTTATTCTGGGCAGAATATGATGATTGGATGAAGTATAAGGAGGCCTACATTAACGAGTCATTCAACCACCTATGCTACTACTTCCACTTCATATATTATCACTTTACTTGTCTCAAATCCAACCTCTTAGATTATTGACTCAAGGTGTTGACTCATATGTTAATGTTGACACAAGAGAGTAGAATCTTAAAATCTATAAACATTAAATTAAAATACATAACTCCTATATAAAAGAGAGGAAAGATAAAAAAAAGAGATAAATAATGAGTCTTAGTAGGTCGAAAGTACAATATTACTATTGAACACTCTTTCTCAAGTTAGAACATACAAGTTAAATATGTCGAACTTGGTACATGTGGTGTTGTAAGAGATGCCAGTCAGACTCTTTGTGAAAACATCTACAAACTAATGAGATGATGTCATATAATGAATAGAGATAAGTCCAAATATAATCTTATCTTGAATCTAGTGACAGTCAATTTCAATGTGTTTTGTACGTTCATGAAAGGTGAAATTACGAACAATGAAGATGGCGGCTTGATTGTCTCAATGCATGGGCATTGTACCACCTCTCTCCTTAGTTATCGTTATTACATCATTTTTATAGATGATTAATTTCGTGTCTCATGAGTCTGTCTCTACCAAGTTGCACTAATGTACTTCTTATTGTTCAATAATTTATTCATGAAGTTGTTACTCAATACTCTTTGATTCCAAAAATTCTTTGAATGAAAAATGTTATCAAATTTGTTCAAGGTTCCTTCCAAGATCATTATATATCCCTCAACATTCTCCACCAAATATCTTGTTCACACACTTCTCAATAAAATAAGGTAGTTGAATGCAAACATCATCACTTTTTTGATGTCATTTGAATATTATTGATAAAGATAGAAGTCACTCACTATTTATGGTCTAACACTATTTTTATAGCTATCAATTTACTCAATCAATTTTCCTCTTCACCCTTGCGTTGAGAAGTCTTACTTCGTCGTCTTTATCTTCATATGGATCTCTTTTCTCTCCCACCATGAGTGTTTAGATGCACTAACTTTGTTTAAGGCCATTTATTTAATATTTTCAAACTCTCTCTTCAAGCTCTTAAAAGGATATTTGTTGGTTATTCTTACACTCATAATGATTACCACATACTTTTTGGATTATTAACAACACATATTTTTATCTCTACCAATGTCGCATTCTTTAAAAACACTTGATTTTTCTCTACTAATTTTATTACCCTCACATCTCCCTCACCTTCACTATTACTTTATTTATCACTACCTTCTTTAGAAGAGTTATTAAACTCACTACTGATTGAATCATCAAACCTAGACTCATTGTCCTTGTCTACTTTGATGTTAACTCTACCTTCAAGTATGCCGCCATTACTTAACTCCAACCTTTATCTACTAATCGTTATTCGAAAAAATATTTGAAGTTGTACTTATTACCTTATTTCTCTCTTTATTTTTATGACCATTTTCGCCTTAATGCTTACCTCTGAGTCAATACCCAAGATGTATTTAGAGGTTCTGTAGGTATCTTAGTTAAAGGTGGCTATAAACTTAAGAGCATAATGTCATGATTACATGCAAAATATGAGAGTTAATTATTTGTCCTAAGAATACTAACATTGTCACTCGTAAGTGGATGTTTACACACAAGTATTCCCAAAAATGTAATATCATTTAGCACAAAGTGCACCTAGTGGCTTTGGGTTTTTTTCAAACAAATGGTGTCAATTACCAAGAAACATTTTCTATAATTATTTACCTCAACTCTATTCATATATTGTTCTTCTTAGTTCTCAATCAATAGTAGATGTTTATATAATTTGACATCTTTGATACTTTTTTTTATATAGAGACTTAACCCAACAAGTTTTTATGAAGTAGCCTCTAGAGGATATTACTATTCACGAAGCATCTTAAGTATGACTTCTCAAACGTATCATTTATGAACTCAAATAGAGCATTTGGGGGTGATTTGTCAAGTTTAGTAAGATCTTAACTATTCATGGGTTCACAACATGCACAATAGACCCTATTGTCTTCCACAATATATTGGTATTAGTAATATCATTTTAGTAATTTATGTCGATGACATCTTTCTCTCAAGTAGTGACATGGTTGACATTACATACACTAAGGCTTGCCTGCATAAATACTTCATTACTAGAGATATGGGCAAATCTTATTATTTCTTAGAGTTCAAATTGATCTATCAACATGCATGAATAGTTCTATATCAACACAAGCATGTGCTGAATTTATTGGAAGACGTTAATCTTTTGAGATGTAAACTTGAGTTATCACTGATTAACTCAAGACCTATTTTTAGAACACTACATTTTCTCTCCTTGATGATGTTAATCAATATTAATCATTGATCAGGAAGTTAATCTATTGGACAATCACTCGTTCTAACATTGTCTACATGATAGGACTTCTCAACCAGTTTATGTACAAGCTATGTCAAACACACTAGTTATGAGGACTAAGAGTGTTGACATATGTCAAACATGCTCTGATATGAGGCTTGGTATATCAGTGACATTGACATTTTCTGAGTTGAGGCTTACTCAAAGTCTAACTATGTAGGTGACAAAGGTGATTGTAAATCTACATATAGGTATTATACATACGTTGGAGGTAACCTTGTCACTTAGTATAATAAGAAACAAAATGTGATATCTCACTCCAATGAGACGACATGTGAAATGATATAAGATACATTCAATTCTATAAAAGTTATTCTTTTCAGTACATACTTCTATGCCTATGTTATGACAACAAAATAATTTTAATTACAAACAACTTAACATTTCATGAGTGCATGAAACACATTGAGATAGATTGTTACTATATTTACAACAAAGTACTCAAATGACTCATCATAACACCACATGTTATATCATCAAAGGGATTAGTTATCTTCACAAAAAGTCTAAGTGAGACATCTTGCAACACTCTATAGAATAAGTTAAGAATGTTGGACATCTACTCTCTAGTTTGAGGAAAAGTGTAAGTGGGCCATATTAGCCTAATGAGCTTATTGTATCTCCTCTTTTCCTAGCCATCGCTATGGACAATTATGAAAGAACTCAAAGTTTATCAACCTATTTTTACGATATTTAACTTGTATGACTAAATCAATGATGAGAGGTTGATAAATCTTGAGTTCATTCATAATTGAATTGAGTGGACGTACAATAGAGGAAGTGATACTCTTGAACATCTAATAATTATGGTCAAGTCTATCATACATCATTCATCGTATTTGTCACTCTTCTCCTCCAGAGGATCTTTGGTGAGAGATGACAACTTACTATGTGACTGGGAAAAAGTGTTTGAACTCGCTGCCTATTATATGTAATTTGTCATATTGAATACTTCGAGTACTATTGAGTTGTGCCACGAAGGTATTTAAGAGAGAGGTAGAAGACGCTAGTGTCAACTAACTAGGTGGCAAACCCTAACATCCCAATCGAAGAGATGCTAGTGTCAGCGCTCGTACGGTGTGAGCCATACGACGTTCGGCATGGCGAGGTGGTGTGCTGGCGGCCCCAGTGTGTGCACTGCTGGTGGACGCGCGGCGTGCGAGGCGTGTGCCATTGGAGGATATAAGGGCCAGCTTGGCATTGGATGAGAGGGGGCCGATAAGGGGTGTGTGAGAGAGGGGCCAGCGGCATGCCCTAGGATGAGAGGGGGCCGATAAGGGGTGTGTGAGAGAGGGGCCCAGCGGGGAAGGGGTTGGCGTGCCCTAGGATGAGAGGGCGGGAGGGCAGTGCCATGCCCTAAAATAAATGGAGGCCGGCCTGCTTTGATACTATGTGAAGCGTGAAGAGAATCAGGAAAGAGAGTCATCTACCCTATATATATATATAGATAGAGAGAGAGAGAGAGAGAGAGAGAGAGAGAAAGAGAGGAGATATAATAGCCCATTAGACCCATATGGCCCACTCACATAAATCAATATTCAACATAAATGTCAACTTTGGTGCAATAACTAGAAGAGTTATGGAGGTTAAGATTTCAAAACTAGAAGTATTTCACCCTTTTCTTAACTAACTTTTTGAGGTTATCATTTTTTTATTATTATTCGTTATTCTTTAATAGCAAGTTTTTTCTTCATCTTTAAGAATAATGCTTGACTTATTTAGAAAATTTGGTCACAAGCTAAGGTAAGGTAACCCATGTATTGTTATGACCTTTCGAAAATTTCAAGGTTGGGTTGAGAAAAGATGTCAAAACGTCATTATTAGGGCACTTCATGTCTTCTATGCAAAAAACTAGGTATTAGATATTTAATTAGGCCAAGAGGCTGAAAAGTAAGAGGGCGTTAATTTATGAAAAGTTGGGATTCAATCCACAAAATGAGAGGAGATCAACAATTCAACTAGTCTGTCAGTAGCTAATATTAATGAATTAACTCTGCTACGCAAAAAATTGAGATACATGACACCTTTGTTTGGCTTCCAAAGTCATGGGGGGTCACGTGGCAGCCGTCTCTAGATCTGCTCACGGAGCCTGATGACGTGGGGACGTATGATTCGTCCTTCGATACGTGGCAGTTCTCCCGATTGGTGGATGCTATGTCACGGAAGCCTTCCTCTGACTCTCTTTCCCTATAATTGTCCGAGGATCCCTTGCGAAGAAATATGTGCCCCCCCGCTCTCGTCTCTGGATCCGTCCGCTGTTCTTCCGGCAGTGGAGATCGAAGATTTGGTCGTCCCTCTACCCCCTGACTGGAAGGTATCCACCGAGTCAGAGCGTTTGCCACGGGTGAGCTCTTGTTCTCGACCGTCAGATCTGTCCTTTCGTCCCCTTTTCTTGGAGTAGGGTTTTTAGACCGAGTGTATTAATCTCGCCTCTTTTTCTATTGCAGCATCCTCGTCATGATAGGAGGCAGACGTACGCCCGCGCCGCGGCTGGTGATGTTTTTGCTTGCTTGTTTCGCCGTGCAGCAGCTCTTCGCTTCAGATCCGGTCGGTGGCTTTGCGATTTTTTTCATTATTTTGTACCCTATTTGTTGATGTTGGTAGATGATGCGGCAGTTTCGAGTTTTCTTTTCTGATGGAAATCCTTTTGGACTTTTTTTTGGCGCGTTTTCTGTTCTGATCATAGGAAATTTCGATCCTTATGCAGCTATTCTACGAATCGTTCGACGAGACGTTCGAGGGACGGTGGATCGTATCAGAGAAGGATGACTACAAGGGTATGTCCCTCCGATTCCCGAGCTTTTCATACTTGCTGTCTCTTCATTCGTCGTCCAAATTTAACAGCAGGGTAAACTGGATATCTTATGGATTGCGGTGTGTACTCTACTGTTTTTCCACCAACTCTGTCTGCCACGGATCTGAAAATGTGTTTCAGATGGTCGATGTGCTGAAATGACGGTTTTAGTGGGAAATGTTGAAATCAGTGTATAATAATTTTTGTTTGATTGTTGATAAAGATTTTGTGATATTGATGTATAATATATCTGACGGTTTCTCGTGTTAATATTGTCCAACGAGCTACTTTGTTTTTTTTTTTTTGCATTGAGATCATGGCGACGAAAATGACAGCCTGGATTTTAATTTGAGGTTTATTTTCGTGATTTTATTTATCTCATGTATCCTTCATCTTCGTATAGTCTTTTCGCGTTGTTATGCTTCAGAGGGCGCCATAATTTTAAAATAAAAATCAATGCACTTCAAGCATTATTTTGATCTTTGTCAGTTCTAATTCGCATTGGACAAGCAGAAACGACGATATTTTCCTTTTAAGTTGTTAAGATAATTATTTCAGACAGATTGTGATTGTTCTCTAGGAGTTTCTGTGAACTGTTACAGCAAATAACCTATTTTCTAATCCCATTTAGTCTTTTTGTATGAACGTAATTGAAACATTTCTTCTACGCAGACAGCCCTAACGTTTGATTGTGCATAAGTCTCCATTCAGTGTGAAACCATTGTCTGCCAGATAGATCATTTGTGGAAGAATTGTTAGTAGTCGCAGTGTTTTTAAAGTGATTCCTGGACTTTGTGACCGATTTCAGTTTCTAGTCGTAGTTGTCAGGGCATGTGTGTGCGTTTCAATGTTACGAATAATAAACATACTTCGAACAACACATCTGGCCCATGGGGTCAGTGATATCTGGAATGCTCTTCCATAACCAATCAATTAAAAATTTCTTTCCAAGTTACCTGTTCTTTGTTGCCTTTTATTATCATGCGTCATATCTCACACAATTTGTGCTCAGGTACTTGGAAACATTCGAAGAGCGAGGGTCATGAGGACCATGGTCTGCTTGTTAGCGAACCAGCAAAGAAGTACGCAATTGTAAAGGAACTTGACGAAGCTGTCAATCTCAAAGATGGAACCGTTGTTCTACAGTACGAGGTCCGCCTTCAGAACGGACTTGAATGTGGGGGAGCATACCTGAAGTATCTCCGACTGCAGGAAGCTGGATGGATTCCTAAAGAATTCGACAATGAGTCTCCTTACTCCATAATGTTTGGACCGGATAAATGTGGAGGCACCAATAAAGTGCATTTCATTCTCAAGCACAAGAACCCCAAGACTGGTGAATATGTGGAGCATCATCTCAAGTTCCCACCATCTGTCCCATACGACAAGCTGACTCATGTGTACACTGCCATCTTGAAGCCTGACAATGAGGTTAAGATTTTGATTGATGGCGAGGAGAAGAAAAAGGCAAACTTTCTGTCAGGTGATGATTTCGAGCCCCCACTCGTTCCTTCAAAGACAATTCCAGATCCCGATGACAAGAAGCCTGAGGACTGGGATGAGAGAGAGAAAATTCCTGATCCTGACGCAGTGAAGCCTGATGACTGGGATGAGGATGCTCCCATGGAAATTGAAGATGAGGAGGCTGTGAAGCCAGCAGGGTGGTTGGATGATGAGCCTGAGGAGATTGACGATCCAGAGGCAACCAAGCCAGAGGATTGGGATGATGAAGAAGATGGTGAGTGGGAAGCACCAAAGATTGATAACCCAAAGTGTGAAGCTGCACCTGGTTGTGGGGAGTGGAAGAGGCCGATGAAGACGAATCCTGCCTACAAGGGTAAATGGCAAGCTCCCCTGATTGATAACCCCAACTACAAGGGTACTTGGAAGGCACAGGAGATCCCCAATCCCAGCTACTTTGAGATTGAGAAGCCTGACTTTGAGCCCATCGCCGCCATTGGCATTGAGATTTGGACCATGCAGGATGGTATCCTTTTTGACAACATTTTGATATCTGACAATGAGAAGGTGGCTGAATCTTATCGGGAAACGGTATGGAAGCCTAAGTATCAGGTTGAGAAGGAGAAGGAGAAGGCTGAAGAGAAGGCTCCAGGGCTTCCGGGCTCACTTTCCGGCATTCAGGTGAGAGTAGTCATTTTGGGTCACTTCCACCCTACTATCGTGAGTTTGCAAAGGCCTTAAACTCTAACATTGTTGTCTCTCTCTCTCTTCCTCTCTAAATCTTTCAGAAAAAGGTATTCGATGTCCTTTACAAAGTGGCTGGGATTCCTTTCTTGGAACCGTACAGGCCCAAGATCATCGTAAGCATCCCTCAGAATCTCTTACGCATTTCTGCTCCCAATTAATCACCGCTGTCTGATCAATTCGCCACGCTTGTTAAATCTGACAGGACGTGATTGAGAAGGCCGAGCAGCAGCCCAACGTGACAATCGGAGTCCTCGTCTCGATCGGTGTGGTCATCATCACGGTCATCTTCAAGATTCTCTTCGGAGGGAAGAAGAAACCAGCGGTAGGTTTTCTCGTTCAGCTTCTTTACCGAAGATGCTTCGGCTACATCGTAGGTAGGTCATTTGAACTGTTTAATGACTCTTTCTTTCTGCAGACTCCTGCCCCAGCTGCTGCCGAGACGACGAAGCCTGCGGAGTCCTTGAACGGAAGCGGTGGGGAGGAGGAGGACGAGCAGGACGCCTCGGCCACCGCACGCCCCAGGAGGTCGAGACGTGAAACATAGGGCTCGTTCCCTTCAACCCAGAAAAAAAACGTACTCTTTTTGGCCCACCGGGGCGACCCGCGGATGAACACTGTACTCGTTCTTTGCCCGATTTCGGATCCCATAATTTATCAAAATAGGAAGCGTTTGCCTGCTCTTGATCTTGTCTAAGTTTGCTGTATGTCGTATCAGTCAGTTGTTGTGAGGGCCTGCCTCCCTCACCAGAGATCCCTGCAAGAGCACTCCCCATCTCTGAAATGGTGGAAGCGGAGAGGGTCCTTGAGGAGGATGTCCCGTCCGGTCAGCCAAGAGATGTGCTTCGCGGAGGCGTGGCAGCTCCGGCAGAGGCGGAGGTTCTTTGTCACTCTGATGACGGCGCCTACCGGCGTGCTGATCAGCCCGAAGGCGATGGCCAGCAGCTCGCTGTGCCCCGCTGGGATGCTTTCCCTCTCCTCGTCTACATCGTGCAGGCTGAAGTCCGCATCAAGCGAGAGCCCCTCCTCCCTCATCTTCTCCATCATCCTATCAAGCTCCCAGCGTATCCTCACCGACCTCGGGTGGAAGACATCGCCCACGCGGAAGACGTGGAATTTGCCCCCCACCTCGATCCAGCTGCAGGCTTGCTTCGTCCTCAGGCCCATGTCTCTGATCGTCCGCCTCAGCCCCTCCACCGAGCCCCACCGGCCGCCGGCGGCGTGGATGTTGGACAGGAGGACGTAGTTCTCGGCGTTGAGCGGCTCGAGCTCTGCGAGCTTCTCCGCCGTCCGCTTCCCCATCGGCAGGTTCCGGTGGATCCTGCAGCCGTCGAGGACCGCCCTGAGGACCTCCGGGCGGTCCTCCATTCGCCGTTTCTCGACGAAGGTCCGCGCCGCCTCAAACTTTCCAGCGCGGGCGAGGAGGCCGGCGAGGAGAGCGACGTGTTCGACCCCTGGCTTTCTGATGCGGCCGAAGAAGAACCTCCCCTGTTCCACCATGCAAGCGGTGTGGCAAGCGTGGAGCACGGCGTAGTAGGCGGCCGCGTCGGGTGCCACGCCGGCGGGGTCCCTCTCCATCTCTCGGAACAGCTTTACGCCGTCCTCTCCACGCCCGTGCAGGCTGTAGCCCATGATCATCACGGTCCAAGAGACGACGTCCTTCTCCGCCATCTGGAAGAAAATCTTCTGTGCCGACTCGAGGCGGCCCGACTTGACGAACATATCCATGAGGGCATTCTGCACGGCCGGCAAGCCGGCGCCCACGCCGTGCCGGATCGTGTAGCCGTGGATCTCCCTGCCGTGCCGGCTGGCTGACATCCTCGCGCAGGCAGGAAGGACGGAGGAGACCGTGAAGTGGTCGGGTTTCCTCCCCTCCGCGCACAACTCACGGAACAGCTTCAGCCCTTCGTTGAAGGCCCCCGTGTGAACGGCCCCCGAGATGACCGTCGTCCACGAGACCATGTCCTTGGCCGGCATTCGGTCGAACAGAGCTCGCGCGTCCCCCGGCACCTCGCAGTCGAAATACATTTTCACGAGAACGTTGGCCACCAGGGGGTGTAACTCTAAGCCACTTTTCCTCGCCAGGTCGTGGATCTTCTTCCCGTCCAGGACCGACCTCAGTCTGCCGGAAGCTCCGAGAGCCGTGGCAAGCGCCACGGAGTCGAGGGGCACGCCGGCGGCCGCCATCTCGTAGAACACTTTCAGCGCCAAATTGGGCTTTTCCTGGTCCGAGTACATACCCATCAATAGCGTCCAGGAGACGGGGTTCCTTCGGGAAGAGCCGTCGAGGATCTTCCGCGCCGAGCAAGGGCCATCCAGGTCCCCGTACATAGACACAAGCGCAGTCACCACGAAATCGTCGGAGCCGAGCCCCAGCTTCAGGACATGGCCGTGGACCTGCCGCCCGCTGAAGAAAGCACCTCCGAGGCGCGCCGCGTTGAGGATGCGCGGAAAGGTGTGATTGTCGGCGTTGACTCCGCGGAGGAGCATCTGACAGTAGATGAGAATGGCCTCGGAGGGCTTGCGATCGGCGAGGCGCGCCCTGATGAGGGCGTTCCAGGCGAAGATATCCCTTTTGGGAATCCGGTCGAGCATTTGGCATGCGGGAACTGTAGAAAGCCGGGGGCTGTCCCTGATCTCCTGTGGTTGCCATTGATTAACGCCATTCCGGTGGGAAAGCGCCGGGAGAGAGGAGGGGCAGGGCAGAGGCGGCGCCGCCTGGAGAGGCAGCATGGGGAACGGGATCTCGACGAGAACGACGATGGGGACAGAGACTCCAGGCTCCGCCTAAAGAGTTGATGGATGATCGTCTTGCCGAGAAAAAAACTGTGTGAACGGGGAAAAATCAAACGAGCAGGTGAATAGAAATCGCTGTGTGGGATCCGCACTCCTTTTGGCTGGTCTCACCCACCTCCCCCTTTCGACGACCCACGTCCCACCTTGCCTTACGTTTGGCTGCTGTCTTCTTCCCATCCGTTCGTATTCCGTTCCCATCCAAGTAATAGAAGTTAATATCAGTAACTTTTTCAACATTTAGTCAAATAAGTATTAAGATTAAAAGTTTTTCGTAAGAGAGTAGGGTCAAAAAATTGTCAGATTAACCTTCGAGTAAGAGTCAAACAAATGTGGTATAAACCTGAAGTTTTACCATGTCTAATGAAAAAAAATACATCTTTATTTTTGTTGGTGGTAAAGGACACCTTGAAAAAGAAGACATTGTATCTTGATGAAACTTCTTATGATGAACCCATTTATATTGTTTATGGAGTCCATGAGAGTTATATTTAAAGTGTTTGTCAAATGTGGTGAAATATTTAAATAATAGAACAACATACCACCATATTGGGAAATGAGGCACTTACATAACTTTCATGTGAGACAATCCAATTATTACATAAGGTTAACATCATGTAATATGAGGTTGTCATTGCTCCATATTACACACATTAGATCTAAGCTCATTAACAACACTTTTGACAACAAAGAATAAGAGTAGCATATGTTGGAACTAGCCAAACATTTTGATGCGCTAATTTGATCATACAAGAACTTTTACTTTTTCCAAACACAAAAAAAAAAGTCCCTAATAAGAGCTATGCACATCGAAAGGAGTTTAGCCATTATACATTGTTGAAATTTTGGTTTTGCTGAAGACAAGAATTAAAGCTTTAATCAACCTAAGTTTAAAATCAATCTCTAAATCAATCAATCACATCATGTAATATGAGGTTTCCATTAATCTACCACAAATATTATATCATTGTAATCACGACCCTAAGAATTGGATGGCCGTCTAGGCAATTAGTTACTCTAGTACTCATGCTACTAGTAGTGAAATTTTTCTAAGGCACTCACTTTGCTGGTAACTTTACTATCTGTAGCTTGTAAACAAGACTCACAGCATAGTCACTTGATTGGCTTTACTAGTTATAGCCTACCAAAGAGTAATCACATTGTTGTCAAGCTTCCACTTGCTTTACCAAATTTAGTCCACTAAATAGCTCATAATGATATCAAATTAAAGTGTAAATGTATTTTATAGTTAATAAGCTACAAGGATGAAAATTAAACTTACTTAGATTATCAATCAACTTAGTTTGATTTGTTGTCTAACTTGATGCAGTTCCACCAAGTGTTCCTCAATCATTTAGTTAATTGGAACCTTCCACCAATAAATTGGGCAGCTTTGTATCTTAAACACAACCTCCCTCTTGACTATCTTGAGCTACATCTGGTTTTCTTTTCTTCTCAAGTGCCTGAATTTGTTTGTAGGAACTCTAGACTCTTTCAAATGTAGATATAGATATTGTGACTCTCCCCCTCTTCCTCTAATGTGGTGCCAAGTACTCCCCTTATATGATGAGATTTTGGACATTTAGTAGTTGTTTACAATGGTTATTAATGACTAAAACTTAAACTACTTCTTGTCATATCAATGCTTGCAATATAACTTCAAAATGTTTTTAGTAACTTTATTAAAATTATAAAAAATAAAATATTTGAATTTCTAAGAGTCATTTTATGCATAGTGTTACTCTTGGAATTACCTTTCTATGAATATATTCATTCTAGACTTGTCATAGACACTTAGATCTAAAAGTTATTTGAATGATTCAATGTTAAAATTTCACTTACTCTTTTGACGGCCAACTAATTCTTGATTCATTTACCTAAACATTGACTTACCTTGTCTTCGATAAATAAGTTATTCCTAAAAATATATTTAATTATGTGATAATATCAATATTTAGCTTGTAGTGAGATAATCAAACTTATTTGCACTTTATGAACTACTTCAAAATGGCCCTATGCAAACTGATCTAATGATAAGAATTTTGAATAATAATCCATGATGGTTAAACACATTTTGAATTTGATTAAACTTTATATTGAATTCAATAAATTGATTTCACAATTAAAGTAGTTCATCCATGATCAGTGAAATCATTCTAAATTTAATATTTGAATTAGCCTTCTATTTGAATTGAGCAAACTAATATGATGGTTAAAACATTAAAAAATCCACAATTATTAAAAGCATTCCAAATTTGACATTACAATATTCTAATTAAATATTTAATTTAATTAAGAAAATTAATCTAATGATAAAATTTTAATGCATGATTATTAAAAGTATTTTTAATTTGATAGTGAAATAAACAGTTTGATTGAACATTCTCATTGAGTACAACTGATTAAAATATTTTATCTATAATCATTAAAACCATCATTAATTTGATGTTATATCTATATTTGAATTGGTTTGATGTGTACAATTAAACTACCCATTATGAATTCTTATGATTAAAACTTGTAACTTATATATGGAAGTTCAATCAATGCGTAGTTATTGAAGCCTTTAATTCATGATAAGTAAAACATTCAAATATCCTTTAAATCAAGTTTATTCAACTTTTAAATCTTGTCATGACCAAAACTATGATTCTAACACCAACTTAACCAATATACTCTATTATAGAATTCCTTTCTTCATATGCTAACGTTTTGTCAACATTAATGACATGTGGTATGATACATTGTTTTATCCATATTATGCTCTTAAGTTCAATACTTGAAATTAAACTTTATTTTCAATAAACTGAATTTCATTTTCACTATGTAACTCCATATAAGTGGACATATGAATAGCGATGTAGTATGTTATTATGTAATGTAAATCGTCATATGCTAACATTTTCAATTTAATCGGTTACAATGTTTTGCAATGTAGATCGTTATATAATTATGTATCAACATTGTTGTGTTGTATTATTTTACCTTAAAAATCATATAATGACATTTTGATGATGATGTATTGTACCTTACTTAAAATAACTTCTAATATACTCACATGTAAATGTTGATGCATTAGATTGTCCCCACAATGTTATAGTTTATATATATATACTAATATTAATGTGTTTTGTTGTTTTGTAACATGATATAATAAATTAAAATATTCTGTTGATGTACTACACACTTCTATTATGCAAAACACTCATATATTGTAATATTGTCTCTAAGGTACTACAATATTTATAAATTTAAAAGTAACATGCTTTAATAACTCAAAATGTCTTTATGGTTTCAAACTCAACAATCTAAAGAAAATCAAGCAAGTTAACAACATTTTTTTACCTTATATTATGGGCAACACTTACTATCTTTACACCTTAAGTTTTCTGTAAGAGAAATAAGATGTCAAAGAAATCATCTTGTTTGATTTAGCATATCCTTTTTATATAAGCTCATTAAGCTCCTTGTTCCCTATATTACATGTGGATTTACTCTTAGACTTTCAGATATTTGATTTTTCTAGTGTCAAAATGGACAAAAGAATGATAATTTTTAATATGACAAAAAATACATTATGTTAGTCAAAAAATGATGGGATTATTATATAAAATAATATAAAGAAATATCTCATGAAATTTCCAGAGCAAAAACATTTAATTTTGTCTATCTTTTTGTTCAAAGAAGTGCCAATTCACATTATATGAAAAAATGAAAGACCGTATTAAATTATTAACCAAGAATTATTATAAGATGTAGCTAATTTCAAAAGTATTGCACATTAACAAATTTCTTTTATGAGATGTAAAACTTTTATAAAGAGGTATCTTGATTAGCATGTTGGAAATCAGAAAATTATATTATTACATTTCAATTAATCATATCTAAAGTGAGAATGCTCTTATTTCAATGTATAAGTTATGTATTATTTATAGCTTTAACAATAGATAAATCAACTAAGGTTTGTTTCTTTGAGGTTAAACATATAATGAGAACTGTTATGTAATATAACTCAAAAAAATTAGTGTTGAATATTTAATATACAATAAGCCAAACTTTATACAGTGAGGAAAATATCCAAATGGTATCTTTCCAGTAGTTAGATGAGAATATTGATGCATTTAAAATACAATAAAAAAATAAAATTGATTAACAAAAAAGGTAAATGACCGATCATTCTTCTACACTTGGTCATGAATTTCCTTTCCCTTTCATCCAAGTTCAATGTACACTCAAGTCTTTAAACAAATGCTTTAACCTAGGATTTTTTATTTGGAACTTATTTATAAATTCTTAAAAATAGTACTACTGTAAAATGAATATTAACTTTTTTTTAGCTTATAAAAAAATTCCAATTATACTCATGTTCCCACTTGTACAGAATTTTTGGTTAAATGAAATACAAGATTATCTTAAGTATGGATAATTAGAATACAATTTTGATAACATTTAATTGATATATTTATAAAATATTTCTTTTGTGAAAGGTTTTCTCAATATGAGCATACTCAACCTTTCATTCAACCACTCTATTGGTTTATTTAAAATCGTAAAATAAATTTAAATTTACTATTTGTTACTTTAAATATAATTATTCGAGTAACATTAACTCATAAGGCAAAATTATATTTTAGGATGAGGACATGAACTAAATTCAACTAATTTGATAGTATTCTCTTAAAGATGTAGGATTTTGACTTGATTTTACCATGGATAATTCAACATGTTATGAGTTTTTTGTCCTGTTTAATGGTGACTCATGATTTTCATTGTGATTCTTTAGGCTGCCCAATTTCTTTTCAAAATCTATCGTGGTTTGCCTCACTACTCGTTTCCATAGTAGTTTTTTCCTCCATAAATTAGACAAGCTGGTTCTTCAATAACTAAGATTCTCTTCTAAGTTTTTATAAATTCTACAACCTTACTAATGTTCAAATTACAAAAAGGTATGCCGTACTTTTTTTTGTCATAGTTTTTTAATTTCCTCATATACAGTATCAGCAATAGGATGGTCTGAAATATTAAAATTCAATTTTTCTTTCCTTATTCTTCCCAAATATTGATCAAATGAAAATCACCACTAGTTATAGTTGCTTGCATTGCCGGCATGAGGTAACTACAGGACTCAAGGGCCGTTCAAGAGGCGCGAGAGAGGAGGAATCGGGGACGTAGGCGAAGAATGGGCCCTGCGGTGGGGCCCTCACAGCTCTTCCAAGGCGCCTGGAGAGTAGGTCCACCGCGCTGACTACTACTTTGTCGTCTTCCTGGGGTCAAACCCCCGACCCACTCAGTGCCCAATAACTTCGCTTACTCTCTCCCTCTCTCTCTAAGTGAAAGCATTGAATGCAGGACTGACTGTCACCACTCGCATCTGGGTCAGAGCCTCCCAGATTTGACCCGAGTCAAAGTCAGTCAAAACCTGAACCTAACCACTATCTCGAAATAGTACGTTGATTTAGGTGAAGTTTTAGATTTAAATATTTCGTGGCTTGATGGATATTTGGGCGGCACCGTGGTCTGAAAAATCGCGGAGCTCCGACCTCACTGCTGACGGCGTCAACTCCCGTCCGACCCTCAATGGCGGCCAACAGTAGACAGCCAATTTTTTCTTGTTTGTCGGAGTATGAGATCACTGAAGTGATCGACAAAAGCTATACAACCACCCCACCTCATCAGAGGACATCAGCTTCAGCCGAGAGAGAGAGATGGAAAACCCAGAGAAGAAGGGGGAAGAAAAGAAGAAGACTTGAAGTGCCCAGCGCGGAGATATTCTCAATGTTCGTCGTGTCTCTAATCTTCTTTACAAATTACATACCGCCGTCTGCTTCCCGTGGATCGTCCGGGGCGGCGGATTTAAGTGGTGGGCGACGACGGAAATCGTCTGCTTCTGCTTCCGCCGCTCCCGATACGGGTTCAAATGGTGCGCAATGGCAGAGATCCGGGTCTTCTGGTCCGGGTCCTATTGCTGTTTACGGTGGCGATTCCGCTGATCTCCCTGGCCCTGGTGGGGATCTCTCCGTCTCCTGATGCCGACGAGGGCCATGGCACCGGCGGCCACGAAGACCAGCTTCCCCCTCCCCATCTCCGACTCCGTTATCGTCTCCAGCTTCGGCTTCCACTGCCTCGCCTTCCCTCCGGCCACCAGCTGCCAGTAGTCCTTCTCCAGCGCCGCCGTGGTGCACACCCTCCCGCCGCCCGCTCTGTCCTCGACCTCCTTACTCCTCCCGGCTAAGCCCTCGAAGACCCTGATCTGCAGCTTCCCCGATGGGGTCTTCTGCACGTCGAACGGCCCCTGCAGCAGCGCCCCGCCGTTGCCGGCGGTGGCGGCGCGCGAGAGGGTGACGAAGGAGAGGACGGACTGGAAAAAGTGCACGGGGAGGAGGAAGTAGGCCTCGCCGGGTTGGAGCACCTCCTCCTCGGGGATGGCGGGGATTCTCTGGCCGATCGTGAAGGCGTCGGAGCGGCAGAGCAGGTGGCGAGGGTGCTCGCTCATCAGCTCCGACGCGCTCACCGCCCGGTGGTAAACCTCCACTCCGCCGTCCGCCCTTATCAGCTTCACGCCGCCGCGGTGGGCGTCGCTCCGGCGGCCCTCGCCACCACCGCCGTGGCCGGAGGCGGCGGCGCCGGCCTCTGGGTCTTGGCAGGTGGTGGTGGTGGCGCCGCCGCCCATCATCATGTGGAAGCACCACGTGAACATCTGCAGGCTCAGGATCTTGACCCCCATGGGAGAAGAGTGAGAAAGGGTAGAGAGAAGGGCTCGAGGAGGAGGACAAGGGTGGCTTGCGGGTTGGTGTTTCATACGACAGAGAAGGAGAGAGAGAAAGGTGAGGGGGGGGGTGTTCTGTCGACAGTCAGGCCACGCACATAGAAGAAGAAACGTAGTCAAATGCCAGTCGCGAGACAGATAGAATACTTTTCCCGAGCCTCTCTTGGACTATACAAGCGTGGCGTGCGACCCACGTACGTTCAAAAGGTGCCTCTTTCTCTCTCTGTCTCTCTATTTTCTCTCTCTTCTCAATGCGAGCCTTTTGCTTTGTCTGAGCTTGACTGGCCGCTTCTCCTTCCTACAGCCATTCCCCTGCTCCTGCCAGCTACATTGCTTTGATGGCACTCCGGCCGTCCAAATTGTCGATTATTTTATGACAATATTAGCGTAATACAGTCTCTACTTGTTTTCATTATCCATTTTACCTGACATGTACAATTATCCAATGCATGCGTCCACAGCTTGGAAAACACTTGGCGCCGCCATCTTACCACCCGACCACTCTCGGACACAGAATCTTTCTCCGATCCTTCCTTCTCTCTCTCTCTCTAATCCACTGCACCAAGCAAGAGCAGAATAGCACCAGTAAAGCCCTCGACAGGGTCACAACTCAGTAGTGAGACAACCTTTATTAAGAAAGTCAAAACCGATGTCCCAAAAATCTCTAATAAGGTTAAACAAAATTAAAACACCTCTCAACATTTTTTTTTCTTAAAAAGGGTGAAGTTTCTCTCTCTGCCTCACTCTCTCTAGCCGCAGACGGGGTGTGCATCTACCGGCGGCCGCCGCCACCGCCGCCGCCGGGTTTCCTCGTCGGCGGGCCCGAGTCCTCTTCATCGGACCCCACATCCCCGTACTGCCAGATACCCAGCCTCTCCTGCTTCGCCTTCTTCTCGTGCTCTTCAAGGTTCTCAAGTGAGGCCTGCCTCTCCTTGGAGTCCCACCTCCTCCTCCTCTCCAACCTGGCAAGCCCTTCCTGCATTTTCGGACAGAGTATACACGTTAATGGAAGAAACAAAACCAGCAAATATTTACAGACATTAAATAATGACTATGAATATAGCGCTGACCCGCAGCATCTCGGCGTTGACGCTTGATCCAGCTTCCACGTCAACCAGAGTAACGATGATCAGCGGCCCAGTGCCTTGGCCTTTGACTTTCCCGGCCGAAGAGTCTCTCTCCTCAATCTGAGCTTTGAATTCTTTGGAGCTGCTCATAGTCCGCTCGCTCAGGTACTCTGCAGCCTCTTGACCGAAGTCTTCGTCGAGATTCGGTACTTTGACAAAGGCAAGACTGCACAGCAGAGCCAGAGGAGGCGCAGAGGAGAGAGAGGGGTCCAGGGGCCTCAGCTTACTGTAGGTGACTGTTTCTTGGTTGCCGTAGTCAATGTAGAAGACATCAAACTGGTCATTCACCGATTCCACTGCCCCACGCGGCGCGTTGACGATCTTGATTCAAAGAAGAACGATAAGAACATGGCTTAGTAGGACTATATGGATACTTGGCAAGCATTAAGATAAAAGGCATTAAGATAAGCAAGCATTATAACTTTCAGAATATAAAGTCCACGAGAAACAGCAAAATGAAATGTTATTGTATATTGGTTTTGAATTCAAACAATAACTTTTTGATATAATAGTAAATATATATTAAAAAGTAATATATATATATATATATATATATATCAAGCCGATATTTATAAGGCAAACTTTTTACAAATTAAAAGAAGAGGACTAGAAAATCAGTAATAATTAAAATTCATCACATTCACTGATTTGTCAATTGCCATATGCTCATAGGGAAAGGAAGAGGTTAATCTTACCATGGCCCTATTCCAGGAATTATCTACGCTGAACTGGGCAAGAACGATTTCACCCTTCCCAGGATTAAAAGTGCCAAGAACAGGAGCTTCTTGTAGAGTTAATGAAGCAAGTTGACTCTGAATAGAAGTTACTCTCTGATCATCAACTGTCTGCACGTAGAACTTGCCGCCACCGAGGACTTCAGTGACCGAAACCTACGGACAACACATGAGTATATCAAGAAACAGAAAAGTGAGCCTTCTCTCCCTTCAAACTAGCAGTCAACTGGTACCTTCAGCACTTCCTTCTTTCTGCTTTCGGGAACACTGCCATTCACTGGCTCCTGACCATCAACATAGTTCTCCCATACCTATAAATGCAGAGGTTAGGAGCAAAATTGAAGAATTGGATCTAGTTGGAGCTTTATTTATAGAAAACTTCGATCACCTACTTTCAGTTTCTGCTGCTTCGCAGATTGCTCAGCCTGAATAAGGAGATGAGAATCTGGGATCCTATCAGCACCAAAGGAAGCCTGAAATTTTGCCAATCCTGCTTCCAGAAGACCAACAGCTGCATTTGTTCGTGACTCCCACAGGGAACCCAGGAACGTTCCACCCCTGTCCACAGTTTCCACTTCTATCTGTAATAGAGAACGAGAAAACAAGGGAAAAGATGAGGAAATGTGAGCAGAATAACAAGAGAAAAAGGCAGCGTTATGTAGATTGGATGGGTATTCCGCACCTCAACATCCCTCTGAAGGATTCTCCTTCTCATTAGGGCAATCGCTTCATCTGAATATGGCTCATCTCTCCCAGGGCATCTAACACCAGAGAAAGAAAAGGCAATACTACAGGTTTCCTTGGGAATTAACAGCTTAAATCTATGCCCACTAAGAACGTATTCCACAACAGCAGGTTGCCTTCTTCCACGTTGCAGGAATGGCAAGAAATCTTTGGCCTTCTTCGCTGACGCCTGAAGTAACACAGTCAATCACACAGACCAATTATACGAGAGACAAAGTTTAAAGAAACCAACACAGACGCCGAAAAAAAGATCAAGGGCCTTGCACGAACCGTTGTCAGATCTGTTATGTGCATGACTGGTGGATCCTTGGCCGAATGCATCCCCTTCTTTCCTACGATAGCACGGGACTCAGCCGCTAAAAGAGCGTCGTAATAGCTTGACCTTTCCTCAAAATCTCGATGCCTGACAACAGTTGCAAAGCCACGTGCAACCACCAGTTCAGCAACATTAACTCCGGGTGGGCTTCCAGCAACAGTAGGCGCAGCCTCATCATCTTTGGATGGAGAAATCAGGAACACAGATCCAAAATCCATCAGTCTTGAGTCACCAGAGGCAGCAACAGCTGCATTGGGTCCATCAGCACTGCTGACTTTTCTCGAGTATTCCATTGAAACATTTACCTAAGACGGAGAAAAGAGAAACATTATTCTGTGATCTGAAGCCATCACATAAGCCCTTGTTGTGAAACTTTGAAACTCATGCATACTTGGCGGCCTATAAGGCGTGTGCGCAAAAACTCCTTGGCTTCACGAGCATATGGAGCAGGTTTCTCATCTCTGCGAGGATTCCCAATTTTAGGAGACCTGATGCTTGAAAGGTTGACTCTTCTCTCAGCTTGGGGACTCCCGTACGGCACTGCATCATCAGCAACAATAATGCAATCGCCACTTACAACCTCAACCACCTGAAAAAAAAAAAACACAGTTTCACCACCAAAAATTAATCCATGAGATATTTTCATTCAAGAACATAGAGGGTTTCCAGAACTAATGTTCGGAAGCTGGAAAAATCACTCACCTTTCCAGTATAATTCTGATTATGAATTGCTTTTGAATTTGTTGCAGGCGGAACATAATTTATCCATAATCGCAACCGTTCTTTCTTTGCTTGAAGTTCAGCTGCCTTCAGCTTTCTCTTAGCTTCCTCCTCCATCATATTTGCACTCCATTCAACATACTTCGCTAAACCCTAGGGAATAGGAAGAATCATTGAAAATAACTTTTGTGAGAATTTTAAGACGTTTGCATAAAGGATAACCGATTTCAGAGCAGTATAAACAAAATTCCAGGAAAGATAACTAGAAGAAACTTAATGTTGGATGTATATCTTTTCAAAATATCTTGAAAAAGATGAGTTGAATTTCCTGCGACAGAAAATCTAACACAAAACCTTAGTATATATTCAAAAAAAAAAAATTGTTCCTGAAGTAGAATCCAAGGGAGACAAATCATAAACTTATAACCCACAAAAAATGAATGAATAAACCTAAAGGTAGAGGGAACTAAAGATTCCCATTAAGAAGTGAAAATAGAAATAGATCCACGCTCTTTATTTCATGTTAGTCAAGTAACATTTGTGAAATACCAACATTCCTCGAAAACAGAATGAAACTAAACTGGCGCAAAAAAAGTGCCTCATTCCTGAAACATGGTAGGGAGAAAATAATCGTTAATCCGCCTATCATCCTGAAAAACACGAATTGACCTTAAACACCTTAATTAGGTAGAGCACTATATCATACCCAGATGTGATTCCATAGCTACAGGATAATTCAAAGAGTAATGATTCACTTCGTAATTCTTGTATTTCTGTCCTTTACATGTGAATCGAAATTCAACATACGAATGCCATATCATTTTTGCTTAGCACTAAGAGCATTTGTTTTCCATGCTAATAACTGGGTCCTATTCTGTGAAAAATCATACCAACGATACATGTCTTGAAATTTCGCAAAAAATAATTTATCAGATCACGAGGAACAAGTAGTAGTATGCATGTGTTGATCACGAAACTGTGGTGGAGAAAAAATTACTCAAACAGAAATTGATCATCAACCCTACAGTGCTGCAATCATTCAAAGCCAAAAATGACAAACAATCATAATGTAAGGGCTATCCATTGGTTCTAAATGTATAGGGGAAGTAGTCTTGTTGAAAAATAAAAGGCTGGATTTATCTTAGATTCATGGAGGCTTTAGTAAAAAAACATACATTCTGTATCAGCTCCAAGGCAAGATCCTTCGCATCATCACCATCAGGATAGTATACAGATCCAATCAAATTGTTAAATTTGTCCAATCCTTCCAGCACGATTCGGATCTAGCAGTTTCACAAGTCAGAGGTAAATCAGTAACAACCATCCAGAAGAACCATTCTGTGGAACAAGGGGAAAGGTACACACTTCTCTATTTAAAACACGAAGCTCAGTGAAATGTTTAGCCTCCCTCCCAAAAGTATCTGGTGCTACTTCTGAGGATGCAGACGCAGCAAGCCTTTGGGCTGATGTTAGAGTTGGCCGACTATCAGTTGCATCTCCATTGGCATCATCGCCATTTGTTTCTACCTCAGGAAGTATTTCAACAGCAGCTCTTCTTCCCATGGATGGAGCCTAGTTACAGATGAAAATAAGCTTTTACACGTGGAAGCTAAACAAAACACTGACATGAGAAACAAGTATCATCCAGAAGAAGATAGATGCAGCACAAGAAACTGAGTTTTCACCTGAATCCCTGCCACAAAAATTTGGACGAATTGGAACTCAGGGAGCAAGTATGCTCGTACAGTGCTACCATCACGAACTTGCTCAACAATGCCTTGAATAGGCTTTCCCTTATTAACGGCCAAGAAACCCATGGCATCAAAATTACCAGCATCTCCAATAGCCGATGGAGGAAGCTTTCGTTTTGAAGCCTCTTTTATCTCCGGTTCCTGCGCCAGCCAGGAGAATGACAGATTATGAGATTCTAATTTACAATTCACCTATGGCCAAGGCTTCATATCTTTCCAATCGAAATGAGAGAAACACCAGAAACTTCCTTACTCGTGATTTTTCCATGTCAATGAAACTGGCAGAGCAATAAACGTTCAGGCAATGTATCTAAATATTTGACAGATGGAGAAAATAGTAAATTAGAGAAAGGAAAATGAAGCAGATTAACCTGGCACCATAGGCCTAAACCCTTCTCCTTTGCTTGCTCCTCCAGACGCTTAAGTTCGTCTACAAAAGGGCTTGCCTCACCTTTCTGTTTGCCCTGGTCTCGTACCTGTGTAATTATGACCATTAGCCAACAGAAGATGAAAGGGTTATCATCCATTGAGCAGCATGAATAGTGAAATGTCCGAGCATGAGAATATTACCTTTGCCCAGCCTTCAGAAACCACCAATGCGGCAACGTTCTTATCACCAAGGAAAACGGAGCCAAATTCACGACCTATGGATGGTACAGCATAATCCACTTTGAAAGTCACCTCCTATCGAACACACGTAAAGAACCATGATCAGCATATATCTTTTTGGAACAAGAGTAAATGTAAGAACATTCATTAATCAGGTTTCAAAGGAAGACCTTTCCTATGCAGAGCTTCCTCAAGTATTCCCGACTATCCCATGCAAAATGCTCATCATCTGTACCTCGACGTGCCTATGAGACATAAAAACAGAAACATCTCTCAGAGAAAGAAAGAGGCATCAAATGAAAGAAACCAACCGACCAGAATATCGAGTACAGGTAAAACCCAAGAACTGACCAAAATATTAAACAAAAATGATGCATAATCTATTTTCGTCGCCATAGCCCAGCACATCATCTCATCAAGTTAGAATATAAGAATGAAGAGTCTATAATTTATGTACGTTTCATATGCACCAGGTACACTTTTTGTCTGCAAGGATGCAACAAAATCCAGAAAATGAAAAACATGAAAAACTAAATTCACCTCTGTGTGCCATCTTTCTTCAGCAGACATATAAAATGGCATGATAAATATCTACTTTTTGAGTGATCCACACAATAAACAGGTAACTTTTCCAGGAAATGTTATAGTACCAGTCTAGGAGCAATCAGTGAAGACAGGGTGATGGTCTTCTCAGGTGGGATCTCTGATTTCGAACTTCCCATTATCACCAAGCAGTCTCCAGACGAAACAGATTTCACTTTGCCCCTTAGCCATCCCGTGGCCCCCGCTGTAGACGCCATGATGGATAGCTACAGCCTGTATCGCCAATAGACCGTTAAATCTGTAAAATATCCGAAAAAAATGATCCTTAATGTACTGTAAAAGCGTTCATTTTCAAATGTAACGTTGGCAATTCCATCACTAATAAATTTCCCAAATACATAAAGATAAACAAAAAAGAGACTTTTGCGATCATGAATAGTAAATTAAAAAACAGAAAACCATCCAAATCCGTGATCTCGCTCAACTTACAGACGGGTAGCAATTCACGGGTGAAGCATGCAAACTATATGGCTAGCAATGGACAACAATTCAATTCAGCATCTTATGACCACAGAGGAAACCTGACCTGGATGGGTGTCTGCATGTTTCCGACCACCAAAGCAGAAAAAAAGAAAATAAATCGTGAGGGGAAAAGACAATCGCCTCATTCAACGGAAAGATCCATCACATTTGGAGGATCGGAAAGCGTAGAAGAAATTAACAACACAAAACAAAGCCGAGACGAAAACACAAAACGGGCGAAAAAACCAGTTCTCCCGATCCAGAATTCGCAGATGAAAAATAAGAGACGCATAGATCCGCTCGCAGATCCAAAACCAAAGAGACGAAGGCAAAACAGTCTCCTTGATGCTGATACTACCACAGATCTAATGGAGACTAGCATTCGAGGCCTGAAGCAGACCTCGATCAAAAGTCACGAGGGAGCCGAGTGAGGGATCTCGAGATCCTGACCCGATCCCCCACTCTTCCACCCGTCCCCTGTCCGAGCTCGATTCCTTCCTTCGATGGTACCGAGACGCGGAGGATAGGGAGACAGAGGGACAAGCAGCAGGGAAAAAAAGAAAGGAATAGGTAGCTATTAATGTGTACCAGAGGGAAAAAACACATCACCCTCTGATGTCAAATAATCACGATAATGCCAACATTTACTGGTAAATCACTAAATCACCCCTGCCATGTAAACGGGCCTGGACCCCTCTCCCCCTTTGCAAAAAGAAAGAAATGTGGAATTTCGACAGCTCATGAGATTGCCGCTCTTTGACCTCCTAGTTTCCCACTCTTCGTTCGATGTCGGGCAACATGACCGTCTCTCTCTCTAACAAAACGTGCCGCCGTAGAGGAGAGAGAAGAGAGACAGAGGCCCGCGTGGAGCATGGTTTAACGGTGCGGATGGGAATGAGAGTAAACGATATTATTCTGGTAGTAACGGGGATCTGATCCGTAGGTAGTAAATCTGGAGCGGAAACGGGCGATCTGACGGCGTTTGACGGCGTTTTCTCGATCTCGTAAGCTTGCGGGGAAACGACGTTGACGGGAATCCAGATCCGTCAGGATGGAGTGGGTGAGGATCCGGATCGGAGAGGACTTGCATCCTTAGTCTTCTCCGCGGTCTATCGTACTCTGATCCTCCCCACCACCCAGAACATCCACGGGGACCGCCACCGCTCCCCGGCGGTTTCGAGAGGAGCCCTAGAATCGCCGGAATCTGGCCGTCCATGCAAATTACAATGCAGAGGTTGGCCTCAGGGACTCATCTTGGTGCTGATTGCAGAGGGAAGAGCTGCCTTTCCGTTTGATCTCCAGAAGATTGGCGAAAGAGAACGAAAAATAGGGTTTAATTGTCAGGTTTGAGCTGCCTCCTTCCTGCGAGCCTGCTTTCCGATCTTCCCGTCAATGATTCCCATGTTTTCGTCCAATAAATCGTCCTAAAAAGGCGCGTTCGAGCCGGAAAGGAATTCGAAGGTAATTGCAGCCAAGAGCAGTCGATAAGAAATTTGAATAGGGCGCCCATTTCCTACTACTGAGCTCTGTGCCGCCGGACTTGGGCATTCGCAGTTGTCATGGACATCAACAACCGAGTTGATCAGCCGCGAGCCTTACCATCTGCGTGTGATACCGAGGAAAAACGAGGTAAGGATTGACCTCCTCAATCTTCCTCTGCTCCTTTGGCTCTGTGATGACTTTGTTCGGACCAGATTTTTCTTCTTCTCCGGTTGTTGCCCCTGCTAGGGTACTCAACATGTCACGGATAACCTTTTCGCGAATTGTTGTTCAGGGGATGAAGATAGTCCCGTGAAGGAGAGGTGCTGGAGCCAGAGGGAAGCGCTGCCTGGCGAACCTCGCTGTGTGGTCTGTGGCCGCTACGGTGAGTACATCTGCGATGAGACGGATGATGACATCTGCAGCATAGAATGCAAGAAGCACCTCTTGGACAAACTATCCCGAACGAGGAAGGCGCCTGTGAATCGAATCCCACCCGAAAAGTTGCCTGCCCATGATGAGTGCTTCTATATTAGAGACGATGCGTCTGCTCAGATTGAATCGTTGAGGAAGCGAATCGACATTCATGTTAAAGGGGAATCTGTACCCGCTCCGGGTTTCTCCTACTCATTCTTCAACCTCCCTCAGAAGCTGCTCGAGAATCTGGAAAGTGTGGGGTATGAGATCCCCACACCAGTTCAAATGCAGGTGATTCCTGCTGCCCTGAGTCGTAGAAACCTGCTGGTTTCTGCAGAAACCGGGTCAGGAAAGACGGCATCCTTTCTTGTGCCCGTGGTGGCTCGCTGCTCTGAAGTTCGATTGAGGCATCCAGAAGCAAAGAAGAGGCCATTAGCCCTTGTTCTTGCGCCAACGAGAGAGCTCTGTGTGCAGGTGGAAGAGCAAGCGAAGCTTCTTGGGAAGGGCCTGCCCTTTAAGACTGCGCTTGTGATCGGCGGCGATGCCCTCGCTGGGCAGGTCCACAGACTCAGGCAAGGCATAGAAGTGATTATCGGAACGCCTGGTAGGATAATTGATCTCCTCACGAAGCACCCCAACTTTGAATTAGATGAGGTCTGCATTCTGGTTCTAGATGAAGTGGACTGCATGCTACAGAAGGGATTCCGCGATCAGTTGATGCAGATATTTCAGGCACTCTCGCAGCCTCAGGTGTTGATGTTCTCTGCGACTATATTGCCAGATGTGGAAAAGATGGCGTCACTGATGGCCAAAGATCTGATTTGTATTTCAGCGGGGAGACCAAGCAGGCCCAACGATTCTGTGGCGCAGGTAGCCATCTGGGTGGACTCTAAGCATAAGAAGAAGAAGCTCTTTGATATCTTGAGGAGTAAACAGCATTTCATGCCACCTGCCGTGGTGTTTGTGGAGTCAAGACTGGGAGCTGATCTTCTATCTGAAGCGATATCTGTTGCAACTGGAATCAAGGCCCTCTCAATCCATGGAGAGAAGGATATGAAGGAGAGGAGGGAGACCATGAGGCTTCTTCTGGCAGGGGAGGTCTCTGTGCTTGTGGCAACGGGGGTTCTTGGGAGGGGGGTAGATTTGTGGGCAGTGAGGCAGGTCATCATATTTGACATGCCAAACTCCATTGAGGAGTACATTCATCAGGTCGGAAGGGCTTCTAGAATGGGGGAGAAGGGCTCAGCTATCATCTTTGTGAACGAGGATGACAAGAGGCTGCTCAAGGAACTGGTCCAGGTTCTTAGGTCCTCTGGAGCTGCAGTTCCCCGTGAGTTGGCAAACTCTAGGTACTCGATAGAAACTCGGCAGACAAATGGCAGACAGAAGAAGAGGAAACTGGGAGCTGGTTGAGGACGGATCGCTTTGCAGAAATGAACTGCATTTGGTACTGTTTTCATGTGATTCACGTTCAGATAATCGATGAAAGAAAGTGTGGGGCTAACAATTATGGACAATTCTCACTGTTATAAGGAGAGTGGGCTGAGCTCCGCAAAGGAGAGTCACAGAACTATCTTATTGGATGATAAACCACATGACTTGGTACAAGGTTCAGCTCTGGCTATCATCTCAGAATGATGCAGTCCATATCCAGTTAGCAATTAGGCAAGGTGACGGAATGTACAGATAGATGCTGAAAAAGGATGAACAGATGTCTGGCCCCACACGAAAACATGGCTGAAACAAAAAAGAAGTGCAGCATATTCAATACCCGTCACCTCACTGTCTGGTCCCAAGAGAAAAGGTGAATGCAGTTAAGAGGGGTCGTCTTGTCCTGCTCGCATTAGTCGTGACCCATGTAAATATAACTACGACCCATTGCTAACATAGTGTACAAGATTTGCCCGTTTGCCTGTATTATTGGCTGCTACATAAGAAGACCTTTCAACTCGGTCTTCAGAAAAATTGTCCGTTGGTTCTGCTGCTGCGCCGCTCGTCGCCCTTTTTGCAAACTTTCTCTGTTAATTTCCACTGCCATTGACACCCCACCGGTAAACACCAGTATGCAAGAACTCTTCCGCACTGTTAGAAGCACTACGTTTTCTGGTGGTTGGTCTGAGAGGAGCATCTCGACGATTGATATCTATATGCCAGTTTATATGAACCTATGCGGGTCATCAGAGGGTGAGGCCAAACCTGTGATTAAAATATACAGTCCTCCATTCATTGTCGGTCGATTTTGAGCAGCAGATGAAGATCTTAAGTGGATCTCCATTCCGCAGGTCTCCCTGTTCCAGTTCTGAAATCAGGCAGAGAAGACCCAAAGCGGGAAATGAGAATCCCCCAGATTTTTACAGTAATCTTCAAGATCATTCCTCAGGCTGCATCCCGAGAGAGTCAGAAAGAAGAGGACGGAAGAATAAAAATCTCCATAGACTATGGAAATATCTAGAGAAGCTGATAATGGCCCTACAACAAGCTTTTACTGCCCTCTTCCTTCAAAAACTGACATAAACAGAACAATTTCTCTGCCAAAAAAAAATGGAAAAACAAAACCCCAGGGACATGGGTGGCAAGCAAGAAACGCGTCAAGCCCGTCATCAATCAATTGGCGCTATTTGTGGCGGTCAGTTGGGACATGAATGGCAAACAAGAAATTCGTCCAGTTCCTCATCGATCGGTGGGCGCTGTTTGTGGTGGTCAGTCGCAGATTGATAAGCCATGGCCAAGGCTAGAGCCTGATAACAGAGAGAAGGGCGATTTTCAGAGCCTGCTCCAGTAACTTCATGGTAATGATAGAGTCAACAAGTCGACACTCTTCTTATTGGTTGAAAGAAAATAGTATGAATCTATGGATAACACTTGGCTTCTTAAGCTCTGCATGGTGAAATATTCTGTTGGGGCTTACAATGTGATCATGATCTGGAGGAGCATATATTCCGCTTGTCACTGTGGTTCTTCGTCGGGTCCCGGCCTTTGGGGGGTCATCAATCTCCTTGAAGCCTGTAGGAACAACAACAACGGGCATACCTACAAGATTCCCCATGCAGACTTTCTCCCAGTCGGTGGCATTCCCAATGAAGGCATCCACTGTGAAGCTCTTACGGACTTCGTGAATCAGTTTCCCCCGCGCCCTCTGAGCCTGTAGAAGAAGACGGCCAAAACATTTTGATTTGTATAAACATATACATCTAGTTATTCCATGTTCCGTCCCTCCACACTACAAAAAAAAAGACACCTTTAAAACGTGCATCAAGCTCATTCATGCCCCTTCTGGCAGTTATGCCTCTGTAAAACTTGAGATGAGTGAAAAATGGCAATTATGCCTTTTGACGGATGTCCAATAGGTAGGTGGTTATGTCGTCATTAGCACCATTTTGGAAGAAAGGTTGGAGAAGCATTTCACACCTGAATATAATCCACAGCAGGAACCAGCCGGGCCCGTCGTAGCTCCACGGGCCACTGGTCTTGGGCCTCATAGTCATCCTCGTGCCCCGATCGTTGCCAATTGTCAAAGTGAGCCAGCATGTCGACATCCATGGTGAAATTAAGAATTGACTGAACGGATTCCACACTGTAGCTTAGCTCAAAGGGGAAAACTTTGACTCCCTTAGAAGCAAGCACATGAACAACCTGGCAAGAAGAGAACAGGAAATTTTAAATAACAAAAATTGAAAATAAGATTACAGTCAGCAACTGCTTTCACCTCCATCTCTGCATCCTTGAGATACCCGACTCTAAGTTTTGTGATGTCAACGTGAAATGGGTCCTCGAGGGAAACCTCTCTCGATGAAGGGTCATCCGGATCACGACCCCTTATGAGATCAATTATGACTGCACAGTCTGCAGCAGTTCTGCAGACGGGACCAAGCTTATCCTGTCAGCCAAATGGTCATGCCTTGAGAGTCCTGCATTGGATACTATAGATATAAATCTATGCTTATATAGATCGGCCTTGTCCACTCATTGCCAATTACTTTTGAGATGGATGTCCCAATAGCTCTAATAATCTATGATTATGAAAATGGCCCAATGACCCTAAAATCACAAAGAACCATGAAGAGAAATTGAATCGATAGAGATATCCACCAAGCTCTCGGAGATGCTCATAACACCAGTTCGACCAACAGTCCCAAAAGTTGGCCGCAGCGTTGTTACCCCACAACGTGCAGCAGGATATGTCAACGAGCCTGCTGTTTCTGAGCCAATTGCAAATGGAACCATCCCTGCAAAATGTAATTTTTAAGGACTTTAAATATATATATAAGTATATAGACATGTGAACATGAACATATATATATATACATATATTTGTGTTTGTGTGTGTGTGTGTGTGTGTGTGTGTTTCTTTTTATTTCCTCTTGAAAGCATGCTCAAGTAAGAGACCTGCAGAGGTGCAGGCTGCAGGCCCAGCTGACGAGCCAGTGGAAAATTCTTTGATATTCCAAGGGTTTCTAGTCCTTCCGCCAAACCATATGTCATCATAGGCCAGCGATCCAGAAACCAACTTCCCTACAAGAACTGCTCCCGCTGACCTTAACCTGTTGTTCACCAGAAGGAAAGATGAGGAATAAAAGAGGACAAGAACAGGCAAAGGTTGTCATTCTTAGAAGGTAATACGCCTCCATTGACCACCTCTTGTACACCCATGCTTCCATGTCCAGGACTTGATCCTTGAAGGTCACCGAACCCCAAGTTGTCTTATACATGGGGACTGATATAATATCCTTCAGTCCGTATGGTATTCCATGGAGAGGTCCTGCAAAACATGATTTCCTTCATATTAAAAGTTATGGTTTTCAATGGCCAATAGAATGCAATGTAAGACACTCTCAGCAAGGGATTACCTAAATATGTCCCTCTCTCCAGCAACTCATCTGCCTTCTTCGCTTGACTGTGGGCCAGATCCTCTGTGAAGGTGACCACTGCTTCGAGAACACGATTATACCTGGTTTGAGGACATGGAAGCACTGTTGGAGAGAGAGAGAAACCATGATGATTGTAGATGATTGCATGATGCGGCCCACCTCTTCAATCTCGTCAGAAAGATGCGTGCAAGCTCCTGAGATGTGATCTGTTTTGTCCTGATCAGCTCCCCAAGCTCCAAGACCTGATAGATCTTCTCCGCTCATATGATCAAGAAGAGTGAAACAGTATCCATGGACAAAAATAGGACCCATCTGGACTCACGCTCATAAACGCAATGTCTTCTTCATTTATGGGCCTCTTTGCCCCAGCAGCAAGAGGATAATTAAACCCTCCGGTCTTCCTCTGAACTTTGCTCTTGCTCCAGTCTGAGTTAAAGACCAAAACTGATGGGTTATGCAGCCCTCCATCTTCGGAAGCAACCAGCTTACGATCTGCTCTGAATGCTGGTACGTTGAGTTCCTTCGCACCTTTGGCCATTTCCCGCACCTTCAGAGAAGTAACACATACTTTATCCAACATTTTAACTTTACCGATTACTTCTGTTAAAAACAGATCACTGATCATGGTGACTGGAGCACACCCATGAATTTCAACCAAAATCTAATCATCTCATCAGATAATGAACCATGGACTTAATTGACCACCTCGAACTCTTTTAAGCACATTCCCCCTAGTACAGTTTCCCTATGTGGTTTGATTAGTGTAGTGTTATTCTATCATTGCCAAAACTACCCAAGTAGAAGAAGAAAATAAGACAGACGGATGAGGAGATGCAATGCCTTGGAGATGTTGAAAATATTGGCATCGAGGAAATCCAGTGCATCTTTGAGGTGCAATGCCTTGTCGTCCTCCTCTTCTCCAATGGCGGGTTTGACAAGATGAGCCTCCACTCTACCCTGAAAAAAAAATAGTCAGCTACTCAGTCCAAAACGAATGTCAATATAAAACACAGAAAAAACTGGTAGCTTCTCTCTCTACCTTCCAAATCTTATGGTATCCTCTCACATGCATGTGAGAACTAAGATGTGCTCTTGTACAGGAGAGTCCCCACGGGTTCCTAAACTGACTAGACTGTACGTACAAGTCAAGATATTAGGAAAATGTTGGTATTTATTTTATGAGAAATCATTAGTTCCAAGCTATAAAATTAGACAGGTGTAAGTGATATTATAAGAGTTAAATGTCATATCATACACAGCATGCTCCATCGGCATTTTCCCAAAGGTCTTCAATGGAAAAACTGATCAGCATGTGTCTCATTTCACCCAATCTCCATCTCACCCGCAGAAAAGAGAGAAAGCAGCACACAGATTACCACAGGTGTCCACTAGACCACACGTTGCAAATCTTTCTCGTCTAGAAACCCAATGGTTCGAGTACTTCCATCAAGAACTCGTCAAAAACCAGGAGTCTGCTCTACTTGCCTTGAAAATTCACAGGCCCACCTCCGAAAATAAGAGAATCGCCTATCATCATTAAATAGCAAGAGACATAGACTCAAGAAAACCCAAATCTAGCTTCTCAGATTGCGTTCAATATATTAAAAACCCGAAGAGGGATAAACATCCCTTTTTTTCTGTAAATATGAAGGAAAGGAAATTTGTAGGGTCTTCTGTGTTGAGTTCTAGTTTATGAGCACCAGACGAGAAGGCAAATAATTCACATAGAGATAGAGAGAGAGAGGGAGAGAGACAGAGAAAGGGAGGAACGTATATGTATTTTGTTACCATTGCCCGCGGGTGATGCCGTCGCCGTGTTGCTGCTGCGGCGGCAGCCGGAGCCGAACCCAGAAACCCAGCTGCAGAGAGAAGAACAACGACGGCCGCCAAGAGGGCGGTGGAGGAACCACGGTGGGCTGTGGAGCCTCTGGCAGTGTCGCCACGTGCTTGCCTCTGGCTGGGACTCATGGCGGCAGCCGGAGCGAGCGGCAGCCGGTGCCCTCGGTGTCCTCCAATTGCCTGGAAGTTTTTTCCTTTTTAACGGTCGATCTATGTTTTTGTATATGATTTAAAATTATATATTGCCGCTCTACCCTCCGAAGACTCTAGAAAATGGCTCTATGGGGTTCTTACACAATACGTAAATATTTGAGGGATAAAACATAAGCACATGAGGAGAGGATGGAAGGAAATATGCTGGCTACTGCAGTCCCGTCGCCGTCCCTCATTCTGCAGATGCTCCGCCGCCGTGTTGCTCTCTTCTCACGTCTCCTTTTTCTGGTGTTCGTCAGTTGAGAATGGTAGGGAGGGGGATACTGCTCCGGGCGACCGTTGCGGCGGCCGCGGTTGGGGCCATTGCGGTGGCGAGTAGGCGGTGTGGGCTGGACAAGGAGGCGGCGCTGGGGGTCCTGCGCCGGATTTCGGAGAGATTGGGCCCCTGGGCTATCCCCGCGTACGTAGCGGCGCACACGGTTACTCTGGCCCTGTGCTTGCCCTACGCCGTATTCTTTGAGGCCGGGGCGCCGGTGCTGTTCGGTTTCCTGCCCGCCGTCGTCTGCGTCTTCTCCGCCAAGGTCCTCGGCGCCTCCCTCTCCTTCTCGATCGGCAGGTTCGCTGCTCCACCCCTTCCCACTCCTTGTCGATCGGGATTCTGCGCAACCCGTGGCAGATAGATCAACCGAGCTTTTGGCTTCTCATTCTAAAGATTGGTGTACACGGCTATTAAAACGGAGAATCCTGGCTTTCGTCACTGCCTCTCATGCATTGTCAGAACTCGGGTTTTTGAGCATTTGGTTGTCATGAAGGCCTGATCGATAGATTTGTTGTTCTTCTAATAGCTTGAAACGGAGGATTTGAATTTTTTTCTGGCTTTCTTTCGATCAATTGACATTTGAAAAAAAACTTATACCAGTTCCGTGCACACAGTGTATGAGGGGAAAGGATTTGCTAGCATCTTTCAGAGAAGAACGAACATTTCCTCTCGTTTGGACGGAGAGAAAACTATGGATCTAATCAAACGAGGAACATGATGAGGATCTCACCTGGGAGGAAGTCGAGGAAGAACCGGTAGCAGCCCCCAAAGCTTACCATCTCTAAACCCTTAATCTAATTGAAGAACTATTAACTTTCCCGAGATTCAGGAGAAACAAAAGGGCGGGTGAACACCCCTTGCACGGGGGAGATCCTCAAACTAGGGAGGGACCATATGAACCGAAAAGTAGCTGTGCAACAGGGAGCATTTTTTTCTACCTATGCGTATGTTGTTTCTGATGCGGCCAACTCCACGGAGCATGCATATTTACATTTGATTGCAACCCAACAAACGACTTCTGCAACACTAGCCCAGTTTAGTTTAGTACAGTATGGTTTGGTGAATTGGGTTTTGCTGCTCGTTCTAATCAAATTCTGATGATCCTCTGTGGTGTTCAGGGTGATCTTCAGGAACTCTAAATCGGCAATGGAGTGGGTTCGCAGGAACAAGTACTTTCACCTCCTGGTTCGAGGAGTCGAGCACGATGGCTGGAGGTTCGTCCTTCTGGCGAGGTTCTCCCCCCTGCCCTCGTACGTGATCAACTACAGCCTGGCTGCCACGGAGGTGAGCTTCCTCGTGGACTTCCTCCTGCCAACTGCCATCGGCTGCCTGCCGATGATCCTGCAGAACACATCCATCGGCAGCCTAGCAGGCGCTGCCATGGCATCTGCTGCTGGATCCACAAGATCCCATCTCTCCTCGTACATGTTCCCCGCGCTGGGCATCATCTCCAGCATCCTCATCTCCCTGAGGATCAAGAGATATTCCAGCCTAATCTCAGCATCGGCAGAGCCAGAACCGAGCCCCTCCCCAGCTTCCGAGAACCGCAATGGTTGCCACAATGCTGGCGATTGTTCTGAGAAAATAGACTAACAGGGGAGATTCCCACCCTTCTTGTATGTGGGTTTTCTCCGGGGTAAAGAATTCATTTTTTTATCACTGTTACTTCGGTGCTGTCACATATGAACAAACAGAAGTCATCTCCCTCGCCCCTTCTCCTGTTAATTAATTTCCCATCACAACCTGCTAATTGGCTCCTCACGTACAAGGAAATCTGCTGAAATGGAAATGATTTCATGGAAATTCGATTAGAAGTTTTTACCCTCCTGTGGGAATCAGGGACGATGTCTTGTGCTCCTCACGTACAAGGAAAAACATAATCAGTACAAGCTTCCCTACACGCCGTTCTTTCTTCTGGATCTCTGCTTATCACAGGAGGTAGAACCGCATAACTCAAGACAAAGAGGGGCATCTTTCTGTATCTGCACGTACCTACTGCTATTATCCATAAATGACTTGTTTTTGGTAATAGATGCACATTACCATAAGTATACTCAGATGCATGGTAGATATCGGTACTCCAGTGCTTCTCCTTCTGATTCAGAATAAATATGTTTTCCAACCTTCTCCTTAAAATTTAAAGTGGATGCCCTTTCCATTGTGCAAGCAAGATTGGTTGGATTGGCCCATTTTTCTGTAGGTTATATATTCACTTATGCCGCTTTCTTGATTGCCCTCTACATCAGCAAAATTTGGTTAATTTAGTTATTTTATTTATTTTATGTGCTGTATCGGCAAGAATTTCAAAATACTATGTAAATTATATTCATTATGTATTTTGACCAATTGTACTGTTTCTTTGTGTATTCCTATACGAAGGTTTTGTAGATGTGTTTCGGGGTGTTCCTTTATCATTTCGTTCAACAGAAAAAGTTCTTCTAATTCTATGAATTTTTCTAGAACGTTCTTCTCTTGAATATCATTCAAGGAAGTTTCGGATTGCCTGTTATTTAACCAATCTCAAGAGCCAGTCCGAATAGATCCTGCAACTGATCTGCTACAGAACGAGTACGTTTATTTTTCAAGTGGTTCATATCATCAAGTGTGCCCATTCCAAATTTCATTCCGATCAAATGATCTGCAGCAGCTAATACATCTCGTGGTAACAAAAATGTATTGTTCTGAGGTACGTCAAGATTCAATCTTGGGTTGATATTTCGCCGACCAATTTATGGTGCTGATATAGACCGAAATTCCGTTATGGTCCAATTCGGAATGGTATTAAATACCGGAACTTTGCAATATTTGATTAATTACAATTTTGTAAGTTTCATTTACTATAAAGGTTCCCAGGGAATACTGTAAGTTCCATTCATCAGAGGAATGTTTCCAATAAATACTGTTTGTTCTTTCATATCTCTATTGGTTTTCCAAACTAATCCCGCAAGTACATATAATTCAGAAGAATATGTGAGTGATTCATACCCAGCATCTCTTTCTTTTATCAAGGGTTCTGCCAATTGATATGTTTCCAAAAATGATTTAAATTCGATTTCTTGATCTGTATCTTCAATTTTTGGAAACTTATGAAATTCTTCCATTTCGTTAGAAATTGGACAGGTAAGGAAATTTCTGGTTCAGTTGCGTACCTACTTAAAAAAGAATAAAACTGAGTTCAAAGAAATTATATCTTCCACCAAGACATTCACCCAGGAAGCAGAAGCCCTTTTGAAAGAGGCTATTCGGGAACAGATAGAATTGTTTCTACAACAGGAGCAAACCTTAGATTAAAAATATTTGTGCCAGAACAACAGATGCTGCGTAACGGATCTTGAAGTACTATCTCGGCATCTCCCTGACCAAATCCCCCCACATTTGGATTACTCGTTAATAGTTGTTCAAGCTTGATAGACTCATCCTCTGAGACAAGAAGTTCCGGCATCTCTCTGCCTCTCTCTCTCTCTCTCTCTCTCACACACACACACACACACACTCACGGGGGTGCAGCCACTGAAGTGATAGATTAGACGTAGTTTCAAATGCATGGTAGACATTCGGACAGCGCAACCTTAAAATTCAAAACACATTCAGATGCTCACTGATTCAGATAACGACATAACTTGTCAATTCGGAGACCATTTCAGATAGCGACATAACTTGCCAGCGGAGCTCGGTAAACTCCGCGCGGGCTTCATTCTCAGAGGCAAGGAAAACAGGGTTGTCTCGCACGTATGTGTGCATGCCCAGGGTGTACATCATTCGTGGGGGAAGAGGAGGATGAGAGAGGAAAAGCTTGTCTCACCCAAGAACACCCCTTTCATGGGGGATGAGACAGGACGCATTGATGCATGCCCCCTCGCCCCCTTCTTTACGGGTGGGTGGCTGAGGCATCGTGGGCTAGGTAGCCTGCTTTGCTCGCACGTGCGGAACTTTCTGGTGGGTGCGTCCCGGGTTGGCCGGGGTTGACCCACCCAGGAAAGAGACCTGCTTATTCTAGTCGTCGCCAGTATCCGGTTCTTTAGAGAGAAGAAGAGAAAGAATTCCTCCCGACCTGCGGGGACTTATTTACGATAGAGGAACTATCTAACATGGGAGTCCTTTTCTCTCTGGTCAGCCGCCGTCTCCGCCTCTTCGACGGAGAGGCTCGGTTCAAGCGGATTCGAAGGAGACCGCGGCGGCGTTGAATAATGAATAGGGAATCGCCAGGTCTGGAAGCAGTGGCGGAGGGGGGGCTGGGTCTGAAAAACGGCCCTCCCCCTTGTATGGAGATGGCGGCTCAGAAGTTTTCCTTGTGGAAGTCGAACTTGGTGGATGTCTTTCGGGAGAAGTCGAGGGCCAGATGGCGGAGCTCCTTCGTCAGCGCCGGCGCTCCGCAGTAGAACACTCCTGCAGCCACCGCATTGGAAGTGGATCAGGACTCGCCGACGAGAAGGCTCTGAGAAGGCCTTCGAATAGGCCGAGCTAGAGAGAGAGAGAGAGAGAGAGAGAGAGAGAGAGAGATGGTTACCGATGCGTTTGTCGCGGTGATTGAGAGCGAGGCTCTTGTAGACGTTGCGCCAGTTGGGCTTGGCGAAGTGGGTCTTCACGCGGGTGCCGGAGACGACATCCACGCCGTGTTTGGCGTGGTTGAGGCTCTGAAGCATGGCTATCAATGCAGATCGGGCATCTCCTTCCTCGTAGACGCTAGTGCAGTAATTGTGCAACTCGATGACGCCATCCTTGTCCGTCTCCGCCACCTCGTTCATGACACCCTTGAACCAGTCGAACGATCCCTGCTCCCGGGTCACCCAGTAGAAGTAGGCACGTCGGGTCCGGAAAGCGCTGCTGCCGGACCCTCCTCGGCGGCGGTTGCCGGACTCCACGTCGTCGTCTCCAGCACCACGGCCCTCCTCCGAGAGATGCTTCATGTTATTGACTATGTCCTTGACGATGCTGATGAAGGGCGTGGCCCCAATGCCCAGGCCCACCAGCAGCACCACCTCGTACTTCTTGTAGTCCTGCGCCGGCGCCCCATACGGCCCGTCGATCAGAACCTTGGGCAAGCTGCCAAGTCACAGACGCAAGCAAGGATAAGATGATCAGCGGGGCCGACGATGGCGAAGTTCAACGTGGTCGAACGGAGGAGGCGGGAGGATGGGGGAGAGTAACATACCGTGGGTTGGGGCCGTCGTCGCCGTTGACGTCCGCCCGCAGAAGCCCGCTCTTCCCGCCGGTCGGCGGCTGGCACGCCTGCAGAAAAACACCGTCGCAACGGACTTATCAGAAAACTCGCCGTCTGCAGTTAACATCGAACCAAGGCCTATCGGAGAAATCAACCTAAGTCACAGTGTTTCCAGTTTTAACATCGAATGGTTCTAATGGGAAGAGGAGATTCATACCTCAGAGAAGACGACCTTAAGCTGACGGGTCCAGTCGCCCAAGGTCCGGATGTGAACACTGAGGTAGTCGTCCTCCGGCGCCGACGTGATCGAGAAGGGGTGCCTGCGCCACCGAACGACGCAGGTTGGCGCGAATCCGATAAGGAAGGAGGCCATCCATCCGGCCATGGAGAAGAGCTTAAAGGATAGCGTACCACTGGAAGGGGGAGACGGCGGCGCAGTTGACGAACATGTACTGCCCGCTTCGGTACTTGAAGCCCGGCGGCTTCGACACCTGCAGCGTCAGGACGTTCCCTGGGTACACCGCCACCTTCAGAATCCTCACCGGCCAGACGCCGGAGCGGAAGGCCCGGAGAAGCCTCTCGCACGCGTACAGGAACATTGGCACGGCCACATACATCCATGTCTGCGCCAAAAGCACGTTTTCCGGTCAGTGAGGAGCTAGTCGCAGTCATAAAGTCGAACGGCGGTGGGGCGGCGAGGGGCTCACCGTCTTTTTGTACCACTCCTTGGTGAGGTAGAGGAAGTAGCCGTGGACGATATACAGAGCGTAGACGATGATGAAGAGGTGGTGAGTGTACCAGAAGGCGTTGAACCCGGAGAGCCTCTTGAGGGGCTTGGGGAGGTTGATCTTGTTGCGGCGGAACCACGGGGTTGCGAGGGTGAAGGCGATTGTCATGAGCACCACCATGACGATGCCCGTCCACCCCTCGGTGCCCTTGACGAACCACCAGTAGTTATTGGGCCGCTCCGAGCCGAAGAAGCGCTTCATCGGCTCGTACTCGCTGTCCGTCGCGTGCAGCAGCCGCGGGAAATCGCACGTCAGATGGGCGATCGCGTGCATCCCCACTCCTACGGCGATGCCAGCCGCTATTACCTGCCCGCCAATGGCATGCAATAGGAGATATCAGGCCAACAGGATTCTGAAGGACTAGACCGTACCAGAGGGAATCCCAAAGCCCTCTACTTTATTTTAATATATTCTCATCGGCGCATAATTTTCCTTGGCAAGTCTCCGTCCCAATGGAAACGGTTGCAGTGGGGAGCACCAGAGGGGAGCAGTTTTGGGTACCTTGTGGAAGTTGAGGTTGTCGTCGAAGGGGACGACGGTGCCGAGGCCAGTGCGGTTTCGGAGCCAGGTGATGGTGTTGCGGCAGACCGGAAGGAGAATGAGAGCCATGTTGAGCTTGGTGGTCTCGGCGCCGCCCTTGGCCGTGGAGACGCAGTAGCCCATGACATGAAATACAGCGCGCTCTCTGTACTGGATGAACTTCCAGGTGAAGAGTCCCGCGCAGGCTCCCAGCCAGAGGGCTATCACCCACAACCGCCGCCAGTTGTCCTCCAGGAAGTATCGGCCCTTCTGCCACCATCGCTTGAGCGGGTTGGATTCCCTGGTCGACCGCAGCTTCTGGCTCAGCATCTGGCTTAGATTCCGGCTGGTCGTCATGCCTCCCCCTGCCGCCGTGTAGGTCGGCCCCTGCAGCAGCAGCATCTCCAGATTGTATATCTGCACAATGATTTTGTTACCAAATCAGATGCAATCCTCCCCAGATTAGGACTGAATTGAGCGGACTTTTCTCAAAATTGTTCTTCGATTACTTTTATTACTACTAGTACTAGCAGTCTTACCTCGACGTAGCCGAGATTGTCAGGGTCCAACTCCTCCATGATCAGCGCGGCGTACTCCTCCGCCTGGTCTTGGATTTTCGACAGCTTGTTGGCCGAAGCGCTCAATGATATGATCTGCATATTCAACCCCATCGTCCGCGAGAGTTAAGCGCCGGAACCAGGCGTCGCCCTGATCGGCGAAAAAGATGATGGAAACCACTGACCTCTTTGACTTCTTCCTCCGTGATCCGGCCGTCGGAGTCTTGGTCGACCCTGCATTATGCGCCACCGTGCTGGTTCAGAGATGTCTGTTTCGGGAAAAAGTGGCGAAAGGGGAGTTTAAGGGGCGGGAGGGAGGGAATTTTACATGTCGAAGAAGGTCTGGAGACGGGAGTCGAAGCTCTGGTCGGACATCTGCTCCCAGAATTCCTTCAGCTCCTCCTTGTTGACCGAGCCCGACATGATGTTCCTCCTCCTCGCCATCGCGTCGAAGAGAACTAAGGCGAACTCCTTGGATTCTTTCATCCCTGAACGAAAAAAATTGCAAAGATTTCCACCAATGATTTATTTTGTCGGCAGAGAGAAAAAGACAATTGACAAGAGAGAGAAGGGAGACAGTAGGCGGCACCACCCGTACCGATGCACTGGCCGAAGAGGGCGCGGGGAAGTCTCCCGTCGACGGCAAGACTGTCGAAGCGCTTCTCCACGGCGGACCACCCGTTGGCCGCGTCGGCCTTACTGATGAACTTGAGCCCCTTGAGCGCGTGCGTCGCCGCCGATTTGCTCCGGTCAACGTGGCCCGTTGCCGCGTTGCCTTCGGGTCGCCGCGTGACGGAGGCGAGCCGCTTCAGCTCATGGGAGACCTGACGGATTCGATTAGACGCGCTGCGGAAAACGGAAGCCCCGAACGAGGCTGATCGCCGCTCGAGCGTCTTGGCCAATAGCGTCACCTCCGGGTCCTCCTCCTCCAAGGCCCCTCCCCCACCGGCCGGCTTCACGCTGTGCACCGCCACCGAGTCGTCATGGAAGTCGAGCGTGATTTCGACATAGTCTTCTCCTCCGGGGGGTTCCCTGGACGGCCCCTGGTGGTCTGGGATGTTGAAGCGGGCGCTCTTTTTGGTGCCTCGCTTGTTGAGCGGCCCGCTGAGAGGCCCGCTGAGAGACCCGCTCAGCGGTCCGCTGTAAGGGACCCTTTCGCCGCCGGTGCTCCCCATCTCGAACCGCTCTACTTGGTGGCGTTCCGCTCCCCTCCCGTCTTCCGTTCCCATCTTCTGCATCTGGCGGCGGTTCTCCTCCGGAAACCTCCTAACAAAATCTCCGACCTCTTTAATCCACCGATCCCAAGCTGCGCCGTCCTGTCTCTCTCAGAATTTCCACCACCAGTTTCTCTCTTCGAATTCTCGGAGGACACAGATGGCGAAGGAGGCTCTCTCTTGCAGCCGGAGGTAGGGGAAGAAGATATATATGGGCCGCCCGGCCAGGAGGTGCGGTTACCCCCCCTCCTTCCAGACCCATTCCTGACCTTCTGGAAGCACTCGGCCGGTCAGGATTAGGGTGATTAGAGCTCGTTCTAGTCAAATGGACGGCCAACACGGTCGTTTTGTGGCGCGGGTGTAGACCCCCGCGACGTTGACTTATTCGGAGGCGCGTGAGGATCCGAACCGTGATGAGTACAGTCCAACACATACTGGATCCGATAGCCGGACACCGATGCACGCGTTGACCCTTCTGCCACGGTTAATTCACGGCATTCCTACGCGCATCGCACCACCCAGGATGATTGGAGCCCGTGGACGGCTGTGGGCCACTTGAAGTGCAAAACAGCGAAATTTTAATGGTTACTTCTAACGTTGACCCGTCTACGCCCAGCTGTTTCCGCCTTCACCAAACCCTGACGCCGGAGGTGCTTTAGGCGGCCAGCAGGAAGCTACTTGTGGCTTTCTTCCCGTTTCAGGGGAACTAGAAGCGCTGCTACAGGAAGCGGTCGAAAACGTGGGCAAGGTGTTCCTACCCGACCTTGGTCTATTTACGTCTCCGCAGCTCACCAACCCGAGGATGGTCGGCCCCGGCGGCGCGTTGACCATGGCGCCGACAACCGGGATTCAGACAAGAACTGCCTTCTTCAGACAGGAACGGAAGGAGATGCCTCCGTCATTAACACTCTAGGTCGTGAGCCTCCGCGGTAGCCGCCACGTCTCAGAACAGACTCTGAAGAGAAGATCAGCGCTGAAGAGATAGGGATTTTCCTAAACGCGGCACGGCGTCCGCCGCCGCATCCCCGCCGTTAGAAGCCCTCTTTGTCTCCTCTGATCTTCTCCGAGGAACAGCGGTTGAGAGAGAGTAAGAGAGGGAGCAAATAGAGAGAATCAACGGTGCATTTTGACAGATCTTAGAATTCATCGTATCCTTGATCATCGACAAGCTGATTTCCAACTAATCGATGAGGAATAATGAGATGGAAGTCGCGAGTCACAATCCCCCAGAGAGAAAGAGAGAGATAGATGATTGGTCAATGGTGCATGCGCATCAGGCTTCTAGATTTCTTGATCATCTTCGTTTTTTGTCCACAGCTCTCCCACGAGTAACCCTGTTCTCATGGGTGCGCTGGTGTTCCTACTCCCCCAGGGATCCTCTTCCGAGAAAGCCGTCAATTGGCGGGCCCAAAGTACAGTCTCTCTCTCTCTCTCTCTCTCTCTCTCTCGCTGTCTATCCACCTCACTTGATCGCTTTCACTTTGTTACTCGCTCTCGCTAAGTCACACTTACGTCGAAGATGTTCCTACCAGAAGAGGATCGCGTAATTCTGAGCGATTTATTTTCCTTCTTCAGTTAAGAGCATTAATGGACAGATTAGGTGCATTCAAATTAAATATTAATGGACAGCTCGCCCAAGGCACGTGGGAGAAAGTTACTGGCTAACGTGGGGGAGGCGACACCGTTGATTCTCTCTCAACCCCAGATGTAGAGCCTTTTTCTCTCTTTCTCTCTCTTCTTTGAGTGCACATTGTTCAATCTTTGGCTTTAAATTATTGCTATTATTATGATCCTAGATAGAATCTATAAATAAAAGGAAGAGAGCCCGTTGACTATGCTGAAGCTTCAATGAACCTGTAGGGGTGAGGGAGAGAGACAGAGGGGGGGAGACGGAAAGATTGACCTCGTGCATTCCAAGGCCACGTCTGGTCCTCGTATGTTGAAGTCAACGAGAGAGAGAAAGAGAGAGAGCGAGAGAGAGAGATAGAGAAGGTGGGGAGAGCTCAACCAACCCTTGACCAGTTCCCTGGAACCGAACGTGTTTTGGTGGGGAAAGCCGGCGAGACGGCGGGCGGTAGGGTGAGGCCTTCTCAGCCTCTGGTATTTGGCATCCTGTGGGCCGATCGGCTACCACCCTAATTCCCTGCGGGATCCATGTGAGCAGAGCTTTGAGGATTTGGAAGATTCGCCTACTGATGGTGCCGTTCCGTCGGATTCCTCCTCTCAGATTCGACTCGTTGTCGGTTTAGGGTTCAACCCGAAAGAAGCCTCAGAGACTACGCTTGTCATCATCCGAGAAAAAAGAGTCTCTAGTCACTCCATCCGGCGGTGGATGCTCAGGGCGCTCCACCGCTGGCCATGGCCCAGAGAACTCACCGCCGCCTGCAGAGATTCTCGGACGCTGACGCAAGTGCACGCCCTCATGATCGTAACCGGAGCCTTCAAATGCGGCGCGTCCAACGGGCATCTGATCGCGGCATATTCCGGCGCCGGCGACAGGCCTGCCGCCCGCTCCGTGTTCGAGAATTCTCCCAAGGGGAAGATATCGACATGGAATGCAGTGATCATCGCCTACTCTCGGGTCAACGCCCCCGATGAGGTGCTCCGCCTGTACCGCCGCATGGTCTCCGAGGGTCAGGCCCACCCCGACAGCTCCACATTCACCGTCGCCATTAAAGCGTGCGCCTCGCTTCAAGACCTCGAGACAGGGGAGGAAATCTGGTCGCTGGCCGCCCTTTCAGGGTACTCTAGGGATGTGTTCGTCTGCTCCTCCCTCTTGAATCTGTACGCGAAATGCTGCAAGATGGACAAGGCGATGGAGGTATTTGACGGAATGCCGAAGAGAGACCTTGTCTCTTGGACCACCATGATTGCTGGGTTCGCAAGCGCTGGGAGACCGTTCGATGGCATCGGGATCTTCCAGAGGATGCAGTCCGAGGGCCTGCGGGGGGATGGAGTGGTGATGGTGGGTCTAATCCAAGCTTGCGCCAGCTTAGCAGAGATGAGGGTCGGCCGATCCGTCCATGGATACGTGATAAGGCACTATCCGGAGCTGGACCTCATCATCGAGACGGGGCTCGTGGACATGTACGCGAAGAACGGGCTCCTGGATCACGCTTTCCAAGTGCTCGAGAGAATGCCGCGCAGAAATGTCGTGTCATGGAGCGCACTGATTTCCGGCCTCGCGCAGAATGGGTTTGCAGGGGAAGCACTCCGCACGTTGATCGGGATGCAGAAGGATGGCGGGCTTGAACCCGATCCGGTCGCACTAGTAAGCTCTCTGCTGGCGTGCTCTCAGGTGGGCTTTCTCAGGCAGGGGAAGACGATACACGGGTACATTGTTAGGCGTCATGAGCTCGACAAGATTTCAGCCACCGCAGTGATCGATATGTACTCCAAATGCGGTAGCCTCTCTACTGCCCGTCTCCTCTTTGACAGGACTAGTTCGAGGGATTCGATCTCCTGGAATGCCATGATCAGCAGCTACGGGCTCCATGGCCGCGGCAGGGAAGCGCTTGATGTCTTCCTTCAGATGAGGGAGGCGGAGGTTCTGCCTGATCACGCTACCTTCGCCTCCCTTCTCTCGGCCCTGAGCCACTCTGGAATGGTCGAGGAAGGAAGACGATGGTTCAGCCTCATGGCCAACCAGTTCGGCATCGATCCCAGTGAGAAACACTACGCCTGCATGGTGGATCTCCTGGCGCGGTCGGGCTTCGTCCAGGAAGCTTACGAGCTCACCAAGGCTATGCCCACTGAGCCCGGTATCGCCGTGTGGGTGGCTCTGCTCTCGGGCTGCCGTCACAGAGGGAATCTCCTGCTCGGGGAGGAAGTGGCGGAGAGAGTCCTCCGGCTTGGCTCCGACGATCTCGGCGTTTACGCTCTGGTTTCGAATTTCTTCGCCGCGGAAAAGAAATGGGACAGAGTGGCCGAAGTGAGGACGGCGATGAAGAAGATGCCGGCGAAGAAGGTCCCCGGGTACAGTCTGGTGGAAGTCGACGGCAGACTTCATGGGTTTCTGGTGGAGGACGAGACCCACCCGCAGCACCGAGAGATTACCCGCATGCTGGGGGAGCTGGGCATTGAGATGAGGAAGATGGGGTACCGGCCGCAGACGGAGTTCGTCCTGCACGACCTCGACGAGGAGGCCAAGACCAGGATGCTCTGCACCCACAGCGAGAGGCTCGCCATCGCCTACGCCCTGTTGAACACCGCCCCGGGGGCGAGGATCCTGATCTTCAAGAACCTGAGGGTATGCGGGGATTGCCATGCCGCTACAAAGCTCATATCCAAGATTGTGGATAGGGAAATCGTCGTGAGGGACTCCAAACGATTCCACCACTTCAAAGACGGCGCTTGCTCATGCGGAGACTTCTGGTGAGGCGTAAGGAGGGACGGGGGAATCTGCTCTTCCTCGTGTAACGGTTCCTGCAAAGTCTTCGGACAAGCCATGGACGATCATGGAGTGAACGCCATAAGCTTCAACTGTCGATCCAAGATTTTGTCAGAATAATCGGACAGCATGAATTGTGCGTGTAAACGTGCCGTCAGATCTCTAGATTCTGTTCCCGAGGTGTGTCTGATATTGCCTAACTGACTAATCGATAGGGGCATGCTTAAATATTTGATCATTAGAAAAAGAGTATTTTCGTTTTGATAATTAAAGATGTATTATCTACTATGATTAAAATGAAATGAAGATTCTTTACTTTACTTTAGAATTTATGTTGTAGCCATTTTCACTTTAAAATATTGAAACTATTGTAAAAATAAAAAATAAAATTCTAGTTTGTCTTTCACTAACTCCACTAATAATATAATTGAAAAGTACACTAATGGAAAATAACGTTACTTGGATAGTAAGGTCACAGCTTGAACAAATACAAATGTGTGTGGCTCAATAATAATTCATTTAAACAAGAGTGTACATTTTTTATTATTTATTGATGATTTTACTTGAGTGAATTAGATTTTTTTTCTATTCAAAGTCTAAGACGTTCGAAAAGTTTATAAAATTTAAAGCTCTTATAGAAACTACAAGAAAATGTGCTATAAAAATATTCTATAAACAGAACTATTGCAGAGAAAGTGAGACATTTAAGGTTGCATGTTAAAATATGAAGTAAAAAGAGGCAAGTGGAGAAAGTTTGGCATATCATGTAATCAGTCAATTATAAAGAGTTAATCTTGACATAAAGGTTGTTGAAGAAGCTTGAACAAAGAAAAAAGTGGACCATTAAATAAAAGAACAATTAGATGACCTAGTTATTTCATTTTTAAGTGAAGAACATTCAAAATTCTACTCAAAATCAAGAAGGTACATTTTCACTAATGTATTGTTAAAAGGTAGAAATTTTGAGATCTAATAATTAAGAAAACTCTAATTAACAAAAATGTAGTGTTCGATAAAACTTATATATTAAATATTATTATGTTCAATAAAAGTTACTAGTAAATACTATTAAGTATTACAACTAGATAATTGAAAGTCTAATATGAAGAGTATTCAAGTTAAGGTTCATGAAACAATCAATTAAAAAAATAAAATGAAAAAGTAAATTGAAGAAGAAGACTAAAATTACCACCAGTTCTTTTGAGAACTAGATGCACAATAAAAAAAATTTATGATAAATGATTTTGAAGATTATGTATTTTTCTTGACTATAAATGAAGATGAGACTACATCAATTTGTCAAGTAATATATTACAAAGATAATGATGAATAAATTGTTGGATTTTTGGCCATACTAAAATCAGAAAAGGGGTTTAAATTGATTAGTTTTTGTCATCCTTAGGATAAGATTTCTTTTGATGAATCAATCTCCTCCTTAAATTATTAATTTGTATGGTCTTTCTAGGTTGATAAATATAAGACTAAGGGATTTTAAAGTTGTTTGACTCATAAGCTATCTATTCTCTCAAAAAAAATATTGTTCTAAAATTTCACTAAGTTCATTTGATTACAAAATATGGATTACTGAGCTCAATTAATTTTAAATTTCACTTAAAAAATTCCTTCTAAATTCACAGTTTAAGGAGGTCAACAACCATTTATTAAGACAACTCTCATAGAATTTAATCTTTAAATTTTATTCTATATGGCTCTATGTGGCCAATAGTTGTTTAATAAGACTACTACCACTTGTGATTAAATGAATACTTAGTATCACATTTTTCAATAAGAATATTAAAGTTATCACTTCAAGATGTTTTCAAAAAATGAGGTTGAATATGAGTATTTTTAGTATTTTGATGAAGAGAATGATGATCAATATCTGATATTTACTATACTCTTCTCATATAGATGCTAGTTGAAGGTGAAAAATGTTACCACTTTAATTTAGTTGGAGATGAATGTCGAATGTTTGAATAATGTTCATCAACTTATTGATTTCATGTAATTCAACTAGTCAATAAAGAAAATCACAATTTCTTTTTTTTACAAAAAAAGTTAATATAACTATTAAGGTAGTAAAATGTTAAGTTAGAATGCTTAGTTCTAATTATTCATTGAAAATGTGTAGTATTTATTAAGAAATAATATTCAAAATCCTTATATATCTTTTTGTCATCTCACAATAGTCATATCTTTAGAAATGATTAAAAGTTTAAATAATTAAAGAATCAATACAATATATCATTTATCGTTTTGGATATTCTTATGAGAAACTAATATATGATTCCATTAAATCATAATATAGATATTTGAATCTTATTAGTTTAGCCAAAAATCAATAAGATTTGATATGATAAAATAAGACTAAAAATAGATACTCAAATAAAATAGTGATTTAATAGTTAAATATTATTTAAGTCACCTCAAATAAAATACAATCATCAAGTAAACATCTTGAATCATGGACACAATATTTATAATCATGATTTCATTATTTATGACATCTTAAATATATTATGTAATATTTAAATAATATTGTGCTGTAGAATGAACTATTTCAATTTAATTGATTGATTCTATATTGAAATAATTTGAAAGTATTAAATACTTATTATGAACTATTTGAAAGTGAATATAACTCACTCTTTATTTTAAAAGTTCTTGCTGATTCAAAATTATAAATCATTACTTTCTTATTATGAAATATTTTGTACACTATTGGCCCACTTGGCCCCATTATCTCCCTCTCTTCTCCTATCTATATAAATACATATATATCTTTATTTAAAGTGAATCTAATCTTAGGGTTTAACCCTTCTCATCAACATTTTTTATGATATTAAAGCTCTAGAGTTTTTTCTGGCCGCTGATACTATCTCACTTGTTGTTGTCATCGTGCCATTGCCACCATATCCTCTCTCCTCTCTCTCTTTGCATGCCATCATCTGTTGTGTGTTGTCATCTATTATGCGCTGCCAAAATCAACTACTGCACTACGCTCAGCTAGCATGCTGGTGCCTGCCTTTACCACTACAGTTCCCTATTATCGTGGCCCCTGTCGTTGCGGCCCCCTACCATCACAACCCTTTGTTATTGTGGTCCCCCATTTTTGTCACATCCTCTTACCATCACAACTCTTTGCCGTTGTGGTCCCCTTGCCACCACAGTCCTTTACCACCATGGCTCCCTTGTTATTGCCGCATTTGCCTCCATGACTCTCCTACCCCAAGACCCTACTATCACGACATCTACCACTACAACGCCTCCTACTCTTGCAATATCTCGTAGTATTGTCTTTAATTACACTACCTCCTGCCACATTATCTTCTTACTGCATATTATCTCATACGATAATGTTCAAATGTAGATCACTGAGATATAAATCAATGTAGAACTCTTGAGGATATTGTTCAAGGATTCGAAGTTCAATGGTCGGAGATTGGTAAAAAGAACCCTTAGATGATTGCTTGAAGTCATCCAAAGTGTATATAGAGTGAGATATTACCTTGTTGATAAAGAAACTCAAATAATTATACGGTACAACTAATATTTGTCTTGTTAACATACATGGTCTCTACCGTAAACTAAAATTATATGATAACTTGATAGGAGCAAAGGCCTCAACAATAGTCTACTCAATACTTTGAAGCATCCAAGTGACTACAATAGAGTCAATTTGGGACCAAGAAGCATAGGTCGGGTCAACGATAGTCGACACTCCTCTTATGGTACTTTATCATAGCACAATTGACTCAGCTAGCATACCTCTTCATTGATCTTAATTATGCGTTGTGGATATCAGATTTTGATTATTTCTTTATATCTCACAATATGACTTCATCATCTAATGGATGATCTGTCAGCCATCGTTGGCTCAATCCATGCTTCTTGGTCTCAAATTGACTCCATTGTAGTCATTTGGTTGCTTCAAAGTATTGAACAAACTATTGATGAGACCTTTGCTTGTATCAAGTCGTCATACAACTTTGGTGCACGATGGAGACCATGCATGTCAATAAGAAAAATATTAGTCATACCATGTAGTTATTTGAGTCTCTTCTCACCTATATGGAGGATGAGCTCTCACTCTATGTACACTTTAGATGACTTTAAATGATCATCTAAGAGTTATCTCTTTACTAGCCTCCAACTACTGACCTTCGAATTTTTGAGGGGTATCTTAAAGAGTTATATGTTATAATATATCTTAGTGGTCTACATCTAGTCATTGTATTGTAGATTCATGATAAGATTTTCTCAAGTGATCATGTGTAAGGACATCTATTGTTATCTCTATAATACTTCGAGTGAGCGTGAACACTCCTATCACTCAATTAAGCACCACTTAGCTAGTTGCCACATTCACTTTATCAACTTTGGCTACATATATTTCACATGGTTGGGATGATGGTCATAGCCCAAAGATAAAGGTCACAATGACTTTTTATTATGTCTTTACTGTAGTATGTCGAGCCCCCTGTCAAATTAGTATTGGAAGGAATTCAATAAGCCTAAGTGGGCTCAAGTTGTTGTCTCTATCATTTATTTAGATTCTTCTACATTAACTTCATCCACAATTCATTCAATGACATCTTCTCTTATTATTCAAATGACTTTCACATTGACATAATATAAAGTATGAAAACAGTTCATGATCACTCTTTCTTATAAGCCTTTATCTAATTGTCTTACATATATATGTTAGGAGCCTCCATGCCAAGCACACATGTCTTATTTATTTCTTTATCACTTTAGATTCTTGACTTAGGGGCTTCTACCTATATGATTGATACACTCTCTATACTTTTTATACTTCATCACACCATAACTTATCTCTCGATGACCATTGTCGATGGTCAAATTTATTTAATCAAAAGTTATAACACTACCATCATGACCTCTATTTTACTGTTGATTGTCTTCTATATTCTTGATTTTTTTACAAATCTTTTATTTATTAAGGCTATCACTCATATCCTACTTTA